AAAGTTATGGGATGGTTTGCTCAAGACAAGAAGGAGTTTTGGCAAATTTATATGGTGCATATTGAGTGACTTTAATGCTGTGAGGCAGGTGAAAGAGAGGAAGGGTTGTCAAGCAGACCATGGTATCTCTGAAATGGATGGCTTCAATTCTTTCATTTAGGAAATGAAACTTATGGATCTTCCACTTGTGGGTAAGAAATTTACATGGATTAGCGGGGATGCTTCTATGATGAGCAGGTTGAATAGAGTCCTTGTTTCTAGTTCCTAGCTCAATTACTGGAGAGATGGTTTTATTTAGGTTATGAGCAGAGATGTGTCTGATCATTGTCCCATTATTCTAAAGCACAAAGTGGTTAATTGGAGTCTGAAGCCGTTTTAATTTAACAATTGTTGACTGACTCATAAGGGAATTGTAAAGGTGGTGGATGAATCGTGGAATAGAGATATTACCCTTCCATGAGCTGCCCAAAGAGCTAGCCAGAGGTTGAGGAATGTGAAAATTGCATTGAAAAAATAAAATATTGAGATGTTTGAAAATGTTGATAAGGTGATTTCTAATTTGACAAATGAGTTGAACTTAATTGATGATAAAAATTCTGTGAGGGAACTTTCTGATGTGGAGAAAGAGCGTCAACAGAAATTGGTGAGTGATATTTGGAAGGCTAGAAAGAATAAGAAGAGTCTCCACTACGCCAAAATGGAGATCTAAGAGCGGTTCCGTTTTGAATTAGAGAGCGTTTAAAACTGCTTTAAAATCTTACGCTATCTGATGTATTATATTTAAGAGAGCGGTTAAAGAATTGCTATCAGATGTTAATATTAGAGATCGATTCCAGATGGAACCGCTCTCTAAAGTATAGGTGTAACATTTGAGAGCGGTTTTGCGTGGAACCGCTCTCTAAAGTATAAATTGAAATCGCAAAATTTGAAATTGATTTCTTTGTGAGTTTTCTGTTGTAAAATATAAAAATTTATTATTACGTTTAAATCAAAATTTAGAATTAATTTCTTTGAGTTTTTTTCATTTTTATCACAAATCAAAATTGAATCTTGAGTTTATATATTTGGTGTTAACCAAGCAGCCCACATCTGCATGAACGAAACACAAGTAAGCAAAGAAAAAAGAGAACAAATTAATAGGATAATTTTTAACATTAATATAGAAAAAAAAGAAAGAAAGAGAGAATGGATGATTCACTCTTAACAAAGAAAAGAAGAAAGAAAGAGAGAATAAAGAAATACATATAGATGTAAAAAAAAACTAATTTGTTAGCGTAAAGAAGATGAAGAGAGCATACTAACACAGATTGAAAAGGTACTTACATATGAAAAAAAAATTAATTTGTTAGCAAAAGAAGACGAAGAGAGCAGACTAACAAAGAAGATGAAGAAAACATAAGAGAGCAGAGAAAAAACTTACAGTGAAAGAGACCAACTTTGTTAGCTATGAAGAAGAAATCGATGAGCGTGTTCATTTATAAATGACTTTAATAACATTAGAAAGTGGTTCTTTATTAACCGCTCTCTAATGTGTGACTTTAGAGAGCGGTTAACTATTAACCGCTCTCTAAATATATAATTACAAATTGGTTTTTATTAACCGCTATTTAAGTTAGCGCTTCAAAAACTCATTTCTGGCGTAGTGAGATAGCCCAAAAAGCTCATGTACGATAGGGGAAGGAGGGTGAGTTAAATACAAAGTTCTTTCATTTGTGTGTTAATGGGCAAATGCAACGAAATAATATACATGTACTTCAATTTGAAAAGAGATATGTTGAAGATGTTGATAAGATTAAAGCAGGTGTGACGTCTTATTTTGCGGATCATTTTAATAGTAGAGGTTGACTTCAACTTACTATTGATGTTAATGATTTATCGATAATCTCTGTTCTACAAAATGAAGGGCTTGTTAATGCTTTCTCGGAGGAGGAAGTGGGGAGAATAATTTTGTAGTGTGAGGGGGATGAAAGTCCGAGGCCTGATGGTTTTAATTTTGTGTTTCTGAAGAGGTTTTGGGGAGTGATCAAGGAAGAAGTGATGGGTATGCTTACTGAATTTTTTAGAAATGAAAAACTATCTAGGTCTTTGTTATCCTACTTTGTAGCACTTGTACCAAAAGTGTCTTACCCACAACAGATATCTGATTTTTGGCCTATCTTATTGCTAGATTGTATTTATAAGATTGTTTCCAAGCTTTTGGCAAATAGGTTGAAAGGGGTTCTGGATTTAATAATTTCAGAACAACAATAAGCTTTTATCCCAAGAAGAAACATGTTAGATAGTGTGCTTGTGACTAATGAGGCAGTTGATTATGTGCTGAGATATAACAAGAGGTATTTTGTGTTAAAGCTTGATTATGAGAAAGCTTATGATTCGGTGGAGTGGAATATCTTTTGTTTATGTTATGTAGCTTTGGATTTTCAGAAAAATGGGTCAGTTGAATGGAAGCTTGTGTGTGGGATAACCTATTAGCTTTGATTAATGGTTGTCCTACATTGGAGGTTCATATTAGGCGGGGCCTAAAATAGGGGATCCTCTCGCCCCTTTTCTTTTTCTGGTGGCAGCGGAAGGGTTAAGAGTTCTTATGCGGAATGCAGTGGCTTATGGGTTGTTCTCTAGTGTGACGATTAGGGTAGAGAGACCAAATATTTCTTTGCTGCAGTTTGCAGATGACACATTGATTATGGGAGAGGCTTCGGTTCAGAACCTGTGGACTTTGAAAGCAATAATGCATAGCTTTGAGTTAATGTTAGATATGAAAATTAATTTTCATAAAAGTTGTGTATTAGGGATTAACACTGGCGATGAGTTTGAAAACTTGGCTGCGAAATTTTTACATTGTAAGATTGGTAGTTTCCCATTAAAATATCTTGGGTTACAGTTGGGTATTAACTCAAGAAAATCAAGTGCATAGAAGGGTGTGTTAGAAGAATTTAAAAAGAGGTTGGCATCATGAAAGCATAGGTATTTATCAATTGGAGACAGAGTGACTTTGATCAATGTCGTTCTTAATTCTATGTCATTGCCCTCATTATAAGTCGGTGATAAAGGAGATTATCTCTATTTAACGAAATTTTTTATGGAAAGGTGTTAAGGAAGGATCTAAAATCCCTTGGGTAAAATAGGAAACAGTTTGTAAACCGCGAAAGAATGGTGGCTTGGACATTAGGAATGTACAGTGGTTTAACTGGGCGCTTTTTGGTAAATGATTATGGTGAGGTGATAATTGTTCTAGTTCAATGTAGGTGTAGGTATTGGAAGATAGGTACGGCAGATTAGCTTCTTCTATTCATCGTCCATCAGTCCTCAACAGATGTTCTTTGTGGTGGCGTGATTTGCTGGAGGTTATTCATCAAGGAAATTCATGGCTGGATAAGAAGTTAGATAAGAGTGTGGGTGCAAGTTTGCACACTATTTTTTAGAGAGATAAGTGAGTAAGCAGAGTGCGATTGTGTGAGGCATTTCCGTGATTGTTTGCGGTGGCGAGAAATGTTGAATCTTGTATATTGGAGAATGATTTTCATAATGACATTAGGTGAGTTTGGAATGTTAGTTAGTGAAGAGGACTATTTCAACATGAGATCTCAAGCTTTAATTTTATGTTAGAGCTTATGGATAGAGTTTCTATTAAGGTACTACAAGAAGATAAATCGGTATGGAGAGCAGATTCTTCAGGTTGTTATGCAGTGAATTCTGCGTATTTATAGCTATTTAAACTTTTTGGTGGTCCAAATATGATAAATTAGTGTACAGCGGACGCCTTGCAAAGGCTATGAAGAAGAAAGGTCTCTCTGAAGTATTTAGTATTTTTTAGCAATTGTTGAATGTACTTCCTTGTAAAGATTTGCTGATTGATCATGGTGTTCAAATTGATGATATAACTTGTTACTCTTGTCATGGTTTCGAAGAACTTCCAACTCATTTATTTTTAACGTGCTCAATTTTATTCCAAATATGGTATTTTATTGCACGTTAGCTTAGATTCTCACTGATTTTCCCTTCAAATTTATCGATTCACTTTCTTGAATTAATATTGATTGTAGTAAAAGAAAAGTGATATGTTTATTAATTATTTGGATAAATACAGTGTAGTCTTTGTGGTTACATAAAAATAGAATTGTATTTTTCAATAATGTTTTAGATGAGAAGAAAATCCTAAATTCTATTTTTCTGATGACTATCACTTGTTAGTAAAAGAAAAATTATTTTGTTAACTGATTAGTATTTAAATTCACAAAATTACATCTGTCTTAGTTAAGTATAAATATGTTTTTATTTTTTATTTTTATTTTTTTTAATAAGTATTTATTTTTTTTATGTTTATATAAATTTTGAATTCCCCTTGAACTCTATAATAATATATTTTTTTATAAAAAAATTAAACAATATATAGATTTTATCATAATGAGTATGATCATATATTAAAAAATTAATTTTTTATTTATGAAGTGAAAATATTATGATGAGAAAAATAAATAGCATTAGGTAAATATTATATATTTGAATATATTTAATATGGAATAGAATAGAATGAAATGTGATGGAAACAAAAAGCAATAAAATTATCTTTTTTTTCATATTTCTATTGAAAAAAATTAATTCTATTCCATATCTTCCAAATTAGAAGAGAAAAGGAGTACTAAATAAGTTAAAATGAAATCGTTTTCAAATTTAATCCATCACATTTAAAACAGTCTAAACAATAAAACCTAGTACGATATCAATCTATTTCAGTTTGCCCCTTTTTGTAATTTCAACCATAACCTAATAAATTTGCATGTACAGGATAAAGTTAGCAGAATCTAATTCAATCTCATACAAATGTTTAAATTTCCAAAAAAAAAAACTCTCATAAATCTTCGCAAATATAAAAGTTACTCTGTAGAAAGAGTTAATAGAATTTCAAAAGAAGTATAAAGACCAACTCAATTTCTTTTTCTTTTTCATACTCAGTCAACATTCTTCAAAACAAACAACTTTTTCTAGTATCTAGAGTAAAAAAAAGTCTCTTGTACCAAGATAATTCTTAGAAGTCAAAAGTTTGAGACTGCTATCAAGCTGCTACTCACTTGAGATGGGCATGTAGCTAATGGTCACCACCTGAGGATTGATCTGTCTGTGTTTTCCTTCTACGTTCATTATGACCAGCCAATCTTGCCCTACAACTTCTTTTTTTGTTATCAAACTCCGCAAGTTCATGGAACCTGCATGGCATTTAATCCAAAACAAAATTACATTTATGCAACATTAGCCCCCAAAAATAGCCATCCCAAAGTCAACAATTTATGTGGCAATGACACACACCAAACTTACAACATTCAAACCACACACACACCCCATCTATTTATGAATGGAAAACAGGCTGCTAGGTATAATTTTCAGCTACTAATAAAGTTTATTGTCAGAATGTGCCCCCAAAAAAAATTAATTAAATGTTGGATCACTCAAACACACTAATTAACACCCAATCAATCCATCAACAAAAGAGAAACATTCACCATAAATAATAACAATCCCATGTAAGAAAAATGAAGAAAATAGGAACATCTGGTCTATTTTTATTTCACACAACAACATGAATGGATTAAAAGTACGTACAAAAAACACACATACTTGCTACATTGTTGGCAGAACCTCTGACGAATGCTAGACACTAAAACGACAGGAGCCTTAGCATGTCGTTCACAAACCTTGTGTCGCCTATTGTAATTCTTGGCCATGCTCAAGTCCACCCCACATTCATCAGAACGACAAAAACTGAAGCTTGAAGAAGACGAAGATTTTGTCGAACCCTTTTCTCTCACTACCTTTATCGTTATATTAGGTACTTTCTTATCCCCATTCACTGCTTCCACCACTTCCCCATCCTCATTATTCATTTCTTTCTCTTCTTCTGTTGATAACATTGGGAATTAGTCACGTCGTTGCGTAGCCCTTAACAGTAATAAAAAATGTTATGCAAAATATTGTATTCTATTCTATTTGTAGTTTTTATTTATTTACAGTGAAAAGTGAAATAAGCAGTGAAGCAGAGTGAATACGGTTCTCAATTGGGCACGTATAAAGTGAGTGATGATTCCACGTTTGCTTCTTTTTTAATTTATTTTGAGCACTTCCGTACCATTTTTTGCTGATTGAATCTCCACCGTTTATTCTGCTATTCGCTGTGTAATCCTTGGCCGTTGGATTTCCCTTCCGGAACAACTTGACATGATCCATCAGCAATCGCCTGCGCCAACATCTGCATGTAATACAAGTTATATACACTGAATCAGTTACACTCGAATCCTAATTAACAAAGGAATGAAGAGACTGTTAAACGACCGATAAAGAATACGCGTATAAGAAATTAAAACAAGAGAGTAAAAATTGTTATTCAGATAAAAAAAAAATATATTTTTACTTATTTAGATGAATACAAAATTGAAAATAATAAATTATACAAAAGAGTTTTATAATAAAAACTAATTTTTCTATCTTTATAAAAAAATTGTTTTAATTTTATATTACAGAAAACTTATTTAACATTAAAGTAAATAAAAAATCTATGTCTTTCTTGTCCAGATCGGATAGGAATAACTAAAGTTTACTTTTTATTTAAATTATAAAATAAAAAATTTTGTTAACTTTATTTTTAAGACTAAAAATAAATAACTAATAATAATAAAATTTTATTAAAGATTAATCGAATGATAAATAATTTAATATCATTTAAACATTTTTATATATACAAAAAAAAATTTAATAGTAAATTTACTTACTTTTAATGTGTAACTCAAATTAAATCTAAATTAAATTAGATAAAAATTAAAATAATAATAATAAATTTTATTAAAAAAATATTTATTATATTTTTATAACTTCAATAAAATAAATATCTAATTTTTTTATAATTTTTTTATTTATAAATATTTAAATTTAACCTTAAAAATTGAGGTTAAAAAAATTTTAAAATAAAAATATACATACGATTGAAAATTCATATTTTATATTTAAATAGACTGATCGACTTAAATTTTATTATAAAAAAATGAATGAAAAATGAAAAATATATAAATATAACTTAAGCTAAAAATTTAAGAAACAAATAATCTTATATTTTAGGAGATTTAATCAAGTCAATCCACCGGTTCGTCTCAATTTTACCAGCTCTGTCCCTTCTGAAACCTTTTTTCTTCTTCCCCAACCAAACAAAGTGATAGCGAATTGGATTTGTTGAACTTCCACCTCAATGCTGTGAAAGAAAGCTTTCATTTGTCTTCATGTCCATTCTAGTCAACAATGAGCATTTTAATAGGAAAAATAAACTTGACTGAGATAATGATTTTTTTTTCACATGGGTGTAAAATGAATCTATAAAAAAAAGAAGATAAAATTAAAATGATAATCAGTATAATATAAAATTAAATAGAAAAAGAATATAAGATTGCTATTTGGTTTAATTCCTAGACAAGTGACTGATTATTTTACTCGAATGGATAATGTTGTCATAAATTTTGCGAGAGAAATAAAGAGAGAAGAAATAGAAATATTAAATAAAATGAATAATGTACATGATAGAGTAAGATAAAGAGGAAAAATAAATAACGAAATGTTGTAAAAGTTTATGAAAAATATAAATCGATGATATTTTTCAAAGATAGAAATATCAAATATAAATCGATGTTCTTAAATTAGAGATTAAACATCCCCTGAAAATGAAAATTTAGTATTCAAACTGGAAGAAGTTGATTTGAGGAGGACAGGGCCACAAGATAGGGTTCAAGGAGCGAAGTGAGTGAATAGAGATGGTCACTGGTTAGGGCCTGTGAAGGGGAAGTGCATATTCAAACGAAATACAGATAGGAGATATGAACAGAGTTTAAAAGATTGAATACCTAAAAAAATGAAACAAATGGAATGATGCAATTGCAGGTAATGTGGGGACTTACGACGAATCGATGTCTTTGAAGAAAATGCTTCGGCAGGAAATGAGAAGAACTGAATAATGATTCTCTTTGGTCCATTCCAGAGCTCATTCTGCAGAACCAATCACCTTTCAGGGACAAGAAGCGCAATCTCAGGGGTTCGAGATTTATAAAACAAACCAGGACACTTGCTCTTCTTTTATTTTCAGAGAAATGCTAACAACATCATTTTTAATATATTTTTAAATTCAAGTTTATTAAAAATTATAAAAACATGAGAGAAAAATATTAATTTAGAAGTAAAAAAAACCATGTAATTCACTTTTTTTTCAACAGATTTTAATTAATATTTAAAAGTATGTTGAAACATTTTAAATATTTTTAGTGATTAATTTTTGTAATGAAATCAGCCTCGTGTATTTTTTTGCTAACTGATTTTATCGAGAGTTTTTCACCCCTTAAAGTTGAAATTGCCATTTTTAGTCCTAATTATTCAACATAGAAAATTATGTAATAAGCATTTATTTACGGAGTGCAATAGTACTGTTGTTTGTTTACCGTTCCTTTTTTTTTATGTATTTATTATTTGGAGAAAATTATAGATTAAATTATTTTATCAGCCATAATAGTCGTTAAATTTTTTTAAAAAATAATGACCTGTTCATAGTTCTAATACTTTATTAATAAGTCTTCATAATTAAGCTTGTATATATAAATGTTGTTAATGTGACATCTTTTAATAGGAAATTGCTTGTATAAGTGTATAGAAACTTACAATGTTTTATAAAACTAATATTAAGTTCATCATTTAGGATTATTATATAGTTTTTTTTTCAGATTTAAACTTACAGTGTTTATACATAAAATTTAAATTGTCTGTAAGAAGCTGCAGTTAGGAGGAGAATCTCCTCACAAACGTGTCTAGCTAATTTAGGTAAATGCTATTATATTTTTTTCTATTTATATTCATACTATTTTTAAATTGGATATATTTCTCATCATGTAAGCCTTTATCCGTCTGTAGCTGTAATTAATTAGTTATCTCTTTAATTAATTTTATTACTTAAACTTACTTTTTTTTGGGTAAGCACATCTATTTAGGTTAACTATTTTTTTTAATTTAATACAATTACATTCAATGAGATATTAATTTAACATTATAAATTAAGTTGGATCAATTTTATGTCAATTAATCTATATGTTTAATGATTACTTACACACATTTAAATACCAATATTTAATTTATTTTAACAACTAAATTTTATTTTATAGTAAAATCGTATGATCAAAACATCATCATTATGAAAACACGAGAATTTTATTTCCTCATAATATTTTTTTCTTTACTTTTTTTTTGTCAAACTATTAAAGAAAAATGTGTTATAATGAAGAGGTGAAAGTTAATCAATTTAATAAAAAGATTTTTAAATTGAAGCAAAATAAAGAAGCTTTTTAATATTTTTGAAATTTTATTCTTAAAGTCATGTTAAAAGAAATATACATAAAATTTTCTCCTAATATAGTTTTGCAATGTATAGGTAAAATTTATTCATACGCTTTAGTAACTGAAATTAAGTTTGCTTACAGTTAAATTAGAAAAATATCAAGACAAAAAATTCAAATATACTGACACGAAAATAATTTTTAATAATTTTAATTTATGATTTCATATATATATATATATATATATATATATATATATATATATATAAATACACTTCATGGAGCATTTAATACATGTTTTAAAAAGCATTACAACATTGTACATTTTCTCATTATTATTTTGTTCTATGCATGATTGACCTTTATTCAGATGTCCTTAGAGTCTAGGGTTTTAATTTGTATCGACGTAAGAGAAAATTCATTTATGATTTACTCATTTAATTTGTAAAACTGTAAATTAAATATCAAGAAAGAGGAGAGAGCACAAATTCTTATATATCAATTATATCATTTTAAGAGAGGATATAATTTACTTAAATTTTTTGTTAAGTATTTATTTATATATCAATTCAAAGTCATCAAGTTAATATTTACTTATTTATTATGAATATTTTCATTAGTAGACACAATAAATTTATTATTCATTATTGAAATATTTAATGATAAAATAAAAAGTTGTAATTTCATCTCATATCTCACAAATTGAAGAAAAAAAGAATTACCGAATAAATTACAATGGAAGGCATTCCATGTATCGTAATCAATTCCATTCCAAGTTATTTTAAATAATCTAAATAGCGGATTTCAACATATTAAGAGTGTAATCATATTTAAGAAGAAGAATTTATTATTTACAAGATACTATGAGGGAAATAAAAAAAAATACATTAAAAATATAGAAATAGTTCACGATTGGATATTTAACGGTGAAGAAAAATAACATAAATTTAACTATTATTCTGATATTTTAACCATGGAATAGGGGGGAAAGTACTTTCATTCCATCCTTCTCAAATTGAAGGAAAAAAAAGAATGAAGAGAAATGAAATGCATTTACATTCTAGTAATTCTTTTTACTTCAAAGAGTCAATAATATTTGAATATAACTAATATCATTCCATGATATTATTAAGGAGTATTAGTAAGTACTCTAAAAGTACAGAATAATTATATCCTTTTCATCTATCATAACATATCAGAAATACATAATGAAATCTAATTCAGAATAAAGCTTACATAATCCAATTCATCACACTCGGTGTAAATCCAAGAGCTATAATCTAAAGCATGAGTGAAGTTCCAGTTAAGTATAAAGACAAACTCAGTTCTGATAACCTTCAAAATATACATACAACTTTGGTATTGAATGTTAAGAAACCTTCTCATCTCTCACAAGTTTGAACTTTCCAACAAGTTGTACACTACATTGTCGAGTGGCTAAATCTAGATAACCTTAGGTCTGCATGGGCTTTTTATTCTACGTTCATTATGCCCTACAAATCTTACCCTGCAAATTCTTTCAGTATCATCAATTCATTGCAAGTTTCATGAAACCTTCATGGCTAATTCAATCGAAAACAATAACACTTTTACCCCAATCCATTGTCAGCCCCCAAAACTTCAATGACTCTCCCCAATTGAGCACGAGACACGGAGACAGTACGATTCCTAATTGAGCACCAAACTGACCGTTGCAAATATTTCCACGCGCTTTGCTTTTTCTTTTGTCTTATTATTTCAATCTCCACCGTTTACTCATTTGCGCTGTATGAATACTCGCCGTTGGATGTTCTGTGCTCGCTGATATTCATAAGTGCTGTGTGATGCATAACCGTTGGATCTAATTTCTGGAAGATGGACGGTGACCCATGCGCCACTCGTCCTGCTGCAGTATCTACAAGTCATGCAACTTACTGTATCAGATCACTAATAAAACTTCTAGGGATTTGGGTTTGCTGAACTTCGATAACTATCGTCTATCAGCTCAGAAAGCTCTCATTTCTCTTCTTATTATTTTTTTAACAAATATTCTTATATATCAATTTTTTATATAAATATTTTTATAGTTTTATTTATTTATTTCTTTGCTCATTTTTATCTTTTATCTTGTTTGTCTTGTTTCGCATTAATTTTGTTGAAAGTATTGGTTGGTACAATGATTATACCATAACATGTTGAAGTTAAAAGAAGTGTACTTTGGAGATTGAAACTAATATTTTTCAAAAGTTTATTTCTTTGACTATAACAGGATGTATCATAAAATCACAAGCTGTCATGTTTTCATAACATGATGCAATTTCAAGGCACTGGATTTTCTGGATTTTTTTTTCTAAAACTGTGAGATGTAATGATGTATTTAATATATAAAGATTAATATTGCGTGAATTATTCTTATTTTTATTACTTTATTATAAATATTTATTTTTATATGTATATCATTTTAACTATGCATGATCCTGAAATCGTTATCCTATTTTGGGGGCTATTGGCTCAGCTATGTCTACCATCTTAACTAGAAAACCGTTAGGTTTATTCAAAGATTAGCTTTCACCTGTTAAAAAGGCTCTTTCAATTAATTACTTCAAAGCAAAATCGCAGCAAACTGTATATTATACAATTAGATCATATTCCTTCTTCTTCTTTTTTCTGGTTGCAACAAAAACATTAACTTCAACAAAAAGTGACACCCAATCCATCCATTATAAGAAGTGGATGGAAGTATTTTGATCAAAATAGTACAAAATTTAAAATAACTTATCAGAAATAGAAATTAAAAATAATTTTTTCAGAAAAAAATTTGATTGCATTAATTCAACTAGCATAACACATATCACACATTTATATGTTGTGCAACAATTAAAATATTACTACCAGACAATTGGATGAGATTTTTAATATAGGTAGTAGACCTAAAGTATTATGATTCACATAAATATTTACTTGATAAAAAAGATAATAACATTATAAAAAAATAATTAAAGAAAATTAAAAGAAATACTATTACTACTTTTCCCATGCAAAGCAAGTGGCGGTTGATTTGTGTAAACTAACTGGGCCCAACTACTGATGAAACAAAAAAGCCCAATACAGAAGTATCAGTATCACGTTGCAACCCAAAAAGGCAAGAAGCCCTTTTCTCTTACCATAACAAACATTGAAAGTTTATAACTTTTATGAATACGAGAAAATAAATTGAACTTATCAATTTTGGGTTCAACAAACAGGCCTCTTCTTATTTATTATTTGTACAATGACAATAATGATGTTTATGCTATTACATAAAGTGATAAGCAGCATCAAATAGATTTTATAATAACTAATAAGAAAGAATAATAGGAGCTTCACATTACAGACACCTTTTTGGACGAACAAAACACTACTTGATCCATATTATATAGCAGAAACAAAGGAAAATATTCTTGTATTTATAGTCCTATTCATATTTCTGTCATGTCCATATTGAACCATTGTGTCTTCAGTAGACAAGACTGTTCCATTATTCTGTCTGAGCACTTCTGTAATGCGATTATTCCAGAACTACAACTATTGTATATGATAAAAAAAAACTGTTTTAAGCACTTAATGGAAAATGAACGGAATACCATAATAAAAGAATCATGCTTTTTTTACTAACCTTTAATTTGTGAATGTTTGGTTGCAAGAACCACCATGGACCATTTTTTGATAATAATCTGAAAAATCCAAATCAAAAGTTACATAGGGACTAAACATAGCTGATGCGTTCTTCCACTAATTATTAACATGCCAAATTACAAGTTATTGACAAAGTAAGTGTAAAAGGCTACTTACCTTATACTTCCGGCCACTGTCCGCAGGCCCATGAAAAGAGCTAAACCATACCAGATTCCTTGTAGACCAAAAATTGAAGGAGAAAAAAGCAAAAATGCAGAAGAGATTGCCCCAACAAGCATCTGTTGACATATTTATACAAATCTCAGAATACATCCAGACCAACTAATCCAAATTTAGTGTAAAAATGTTACAAACTATGTGACTTACCATAGAACAAGCAGCATAAGAGAAGTCTGAAATTCCATAATGTAGGCCATCAAAGACATAAGCCAAAGTAGTGATAGGCTGGCTGGCACTGACAAACTGTGCAAGTTGCCAAGTTTTATATATATAAACAAAATTAGAAGACTTCAAAGGGAGCTTAACAATTGTTTCACATGTGAACAAGAAAGAAATGGTCAATAGATTATGAAGGAGATAAGTATTATTGTCTTACCAGTAAGCCAGATTTGACAATGCCTAGGACCTCACTGTCCTTGGTGAAAAGGGTTGCTAGGGAACCAAAAGAGGCACCCAATGTGATAGCTAACATAGCACCACTGAACAGTCCTATCTGCGGAAACAGACACGCAAATTAGAAGAAAATTAAACCTACAGGCAAAGTGGCAGAATTTGATGTAGCAAGCATTACAATCACCTTTAAAGTGGAGAAAGTTACTTCTTTTACAGTTTTGTAATCACCCTTGGCCAAGAAACTTGCAACAAGAGCCTGATAAGTAACAAAGTTTCATTGATCAATAAATTTATTGAAGTAGAGGTGCTATCATCATCAGAAATGAACAATTACATAGCTACTACAGTAAGGAAAAAAATGATGACTTATTGATAACTAATTTACCTGACCAGCAGCTCCTTGTGCATCTGCAAGGAGGGATACAGACAACCACACTTGCAAGCATATCTGATGTGCTGCTGTGGCTAAGGGTCCAAGACGAGCAGCCATTGATGTGCTCAAAGTAATGGTCATTACAGCTGCTAAAGTTCTCCCAAGAAGGAAACCACCTACACAAAAATTTCCACTATGTGAAACTAATCGGATAGGCACTGCTCCAAAATTCTCAAGTATTTAACATACAAAAATTTAAGATGCACTATTCACGAGTGCTATAAGTAATGCTTGATGGCACTATTCACGAGTGCATCAAGCACTTTATCATACTTGTGTGATATGTGTATATGGGGTGTGGGTAACTAGGAAGCAATATATTTCGTTTTTATGATTAAAACCTTTTTAGAAGCTATTGCTTCATGAGTTAATTTCAACAACAATGTAATTATATTTTAAAATTGTAGCATTTAATGTTATGAATGGATCATATATTATAATATTGTGATTTTTAATAACAACTATTATGTATAAATTTTTATTACGTGTCCTTCGACACATTTTACAAAAACCGCGTGATAACCTTCATTGACTAAGGGATATGTTGTTCATTTCAGGCCAACTAACGAAGCAACAATATCATAATATCCATCAATTGCATGAATCAAGCTTAAATGTGTAACAAATATATTCATGCCAAGTCAGAAAAAGCAGATGCTCACCAGAGCTTAAGTATCCACCGAAGTGTAGACTTTTAATATTGGGAATTGAGAGTATAGTTTTCTTATTGAGACTCCAGATCATCAAAATTGTGACAATGTACCTGAAATATTTTGACCAACTTTAATAATTACCACTGCTACGTTGGAAAGATGCAATAGGGAAGAGCTCATACTGAGACATGACAGTGGATAGGGCAGCACCAATCACACCCAAGTGAAAAATATACATAAGTAAAGGAAACAAGAACACTGCTGCCAAATTGCCAAAACCTGCAGAACATTCATTAACTTCAGTATTAATCAAATGTAATGTGAATACCATGTTAACCATACCAAACTTTTCTTAATGATAGTTTCAGAAAGAAAAATGAAACGCTTACCTAAACATAGTACAGGAGTTCTAGTGTCCTTAAACCCCCGGAATATTCCTTGGACAGCAAGAGAAACAACAACTGCTGGAGCACCAATGGCTCTGAGTGATAAAAACTGCTCTGCTGGAATACGCATAGGTGAGGCCTATGAAGGAAAAACAAATTCTTAAAAATAGTATAACAAATCATGGTAATGGATTAAAAAATGAAATAAGGAATGTAAGCAATAAAGGGTTGTACTTAAATTTAGAGGATAAGAAAAAGGACAAAACTTATGTGTTGTTCTTTACATGCTGTCAGTATTATTTACCGATTAACATTAGATTTTCACTTTAATAAAATGTTTGCATTTAATGTTATCACAAATTATCGAAACCAAACTCTAATTCTGACTAATAAAAGCATTAACAATACATTAAGAACTGCAGCTAAGTTTTGTCTTTAGGAAAAAAGGTATACTATGCCATATTTAATGCATTAGTGTCAACATTGGTTTACTAGGTCTAGGATAGAAACAAGCAAAAGTATTTGTGCATCTGATGTGGACTGTAGATTTTAACTCACTGTTGATATTCCCACCATGTTGAGAAGCAGGCCACATCCAAAATACATAGCCAAAGCCTCAAGTACACCAATTCCTGTTGCTAATATTAAAGCAGTGGAAACTGAAGATAGCAACTTCCTCTCACCAGTATCATGAGAAGTTTCATTATATATTTCAGTCACATTTGTGTTACCTGTAGAGAAATGATGTTAGAATTAGGGAGCACTCTCATTTCTTATGAAGGATATTCCACCTGAAGCCCTGCCTGTAGCTAATGGGAATTTCACCTGAAATGGATCTTTTGATTGTAGTTGCTGCAATGTCTTCTGCCACAAATGAAGTTGCCACACTAAGGAGAGGAATATTGAAAACCTTGGACAAGATGTTGAAAATTGACATGGAAACACCAGCAGATGCTAACTCCAGCACTCCTATTCAAAAGCAAAAAGTTGATTTAATAGCAAGAAAACTCATCCATACGATACATCAAGTGCATCAGAGTAAAAAGGTCAGCACAAAGGTCAAGAAAGATTAATAAATATTCATAAGTTGCAGAACTTACCCAATCTGCCAATATAAGCAGTCTCCATCAATTGTGCTAAAGGCTCAATTGCTTGCCCAACAATTGCAGGTAAAGAAAGCATTATAAGCTCGGTTGTCACACTTGGAATTTGGGGTCTGTGAATAGTAAAACAAGGCTCAATATACGTGATTATCATTGGATAATTAAAATGACTCATGATGAATGGAAAATTCAAGTTAATTTGGGGATAGAAGATCATGAGAGTTCCATATCATACAGCATTTTCTGTTTCATCAAGTCGCTATTTTCTGATGCAATATCATCCTGCACATTAGAATGACTTAATCCAGCATTAGATATGGATTCACCACTAACCAAACCACAATGCCTCAGAAAACTGTCAAAGGTCACTCCTCTCTTATTAACCATCCCAATGGAATGCCAAAGCCTCCCTTTTGTTGATGCTTTCAAACTAAAATTCTCCACCACATTGGCTATAGGTCTTTCAACATTTCCTCCAATGTTGAGTCCACCAAAAAGTGAACCAGCAACACTCATATTTAAGTTATGATATGTCTTCTTCCAAGGATTTCAACAAAACCTCAGCCTCCTACAAGATTTTCTCAAATGAAAAAGTATCAATGTACCTTTATTTAAAGGAGAAAGCGTACTAGAAGAAGACAAAATATCAGTTTGGTTCATGAGAAAACAAAGAAGATAAGACTACCCAAATGAACTAAGTTTTCACTTTCAGCGTTCGTGGGTCATGGCATTGCGGAAGATTACATGGACAGGGAATGCAAGTATGAACCTTTGTCTGTTTTGCTTCAGAGTTAAAATCCAAGTATCATGAACTTGATATCTTCGTTATAACCATATTGCAGCTGTTGAGAGAGATCAGAACCTCCTTTTCTTTTGCAAGTGAAATTTTAGCAAGATAAGCATAGAAAAATATGAGAAAATACAAAATGCAAAACTGATTATGAGTTCTTCCCCTTTATTTATCACTTATTTTAACACTAAGTTTCTTTTTCATTGGTAGGCCAAGGCTATCTGACCTACTTGGTACTATCACAGTACCAAATAATTGGTAAACTACAAACTACTACTTGTGACATATCTGTGCATATATAAATTTATCAACAAGCTAAACAAAATTATTTCCCCCTAATTTTTTTTAATATTTTATTCCATACACAAGTTCTAACATTTCATTCCAATTCTAATAATAAACACATAAATCATTACACTACTTTTTCAATATATGTAAATACTTAAATATATTTATAAAATAAAAAATAAAGTGATATTAAAAAATAATAAAGAAATATATTATAATTATTGTAAAAGGAAAAAAAGATAATAAAATAATATTATGCTTAACAAAATAATATTATAAAATAATATAATCATATAAAATAAAAAAATGAAACTCAAATAACAATACAAAAAGTAAAAATAATATTATAATCTGATAAAAGCTAAAATTTTGAATAAATAGTAATAATAAAATATATTGAAGGTAATAATATTAAATTAAATATCAAAACTCATATTTCATTAAATTTTTAATAAATAATTTAATTTATTAAAAAACTATATATAATTCATTGTTGATTTAATATTTTTATTTCACTTAATAAAAATTTCAAAAAATAGTAATAATATTAAAAAAATATTCATGTTTCTTAATTCTTAATTAGAAAATTATAATCCACAAACTCTACAATAAATATTTTTAAATAAATGAAACTATATAAGTCCTTGACGCCTTGTTATGAATTGCCCAATAATAGCAAATTCCATGTTCTTCACAGAATCAATCACTTCCAAGCACGTGCTTTTCGAATCCAGCACATCATGTCCGTTTAACTAGTTTATGTCTTTCCAATATTCTCATGCTTCTAAGATGGTTCTGCTATACACTTCAATAAAATTGCTTAAATTCAGTTTTTGCACCATCAATTCTTTTATTTAAATAACAAATCTTCTTGCAGTTTATTATTGATTATTGATTGATAATTTATTAGTAAATTATAATCGTTTCATGGGAGAAAAAGAAGCTTAAAAAAACTTTCCTTATTTAAACCATGTTAGGTCTGATTATAAGTTGGTAGATAACGAGTGTATTTAGTGACACAAATGTTGTTGTACTTCAAAGATTAACCATGCTAAAATTGCAAAATTCAGAGTTATAATTATAATATACGATCTGAATAAAATTTTGTAATCCCTTCCTTACAATAGAATCGAGCAATTTTTGGCCTTCTGCAATCCTAATCGCTTAAAAATTGCTGTGTTCCAACAGAACTCATAATTATTGGATGGTGTGACTATAGGATGAATGTGTCTTGAATCAATAGATGAGTTTAAGATTATTACATGCTTGGTAACTTGTGAATTTTCATCTCACTCTTCTTATTTAGAGTTTTGTTAATTTCAATTTTTAGAGCTGAAGATAAAAAATTCTTATAAAAAAGATATATCTTTATTGTATTAAAGTTATAAAAATATAATAATTTTTTTTTAATAAATTTTTTTTATCTGTGAATACTTAATCTCAACCCTAAAACAGAGTTTTCTTTTTTTCTTTTTCTTTTTTTTATAATCCAAGCTGAAAACCACACTTCAATTCATTGAGTGATAGCACTAATTACTTCTGATCTTCTCCTTGATACGAAATTTCTGTACCTTCCCAGTTGAATTAACAATCAAATCACCGAAGACCACACTCTTAGGAACCATGTGAGTAGCCAAATGATCTTCACAAAACTTGATGATATCTTCAACAGTGGCATTACACCCATCTTTCAATTTGACAATTGCACATGGTGATTCCACCAAGCAATCATCATATCTACCCACAACAGCCACTTTCAAAACCTTTGGATGATTCAACAACACTGCTTCTACCTCTAGTGTGCTCACAGCCTCTCCTTCAGAATATATAATATCCTTTGCTCTATCTTTCAATGTTATAGAACCATTATGTTGCCTAATAGCAAGGTCCCCAGTTCTATACCACCCACCCCTAAAAGCTTTTTCAGTTGCTTGTGGATTCTTAAGGTACCCCGTCATTAAACTATGCCCTTTGAACATAATTTCACCTATTGTTTTCCCATCATGAGGAGTACTCTTCATAGTTTCTGGATCTTTCACATCAACATCTTGCATGAAGTCTAGAACCCCTTGTTCACCATAATTCAACTTTGTGTAATCATCATCTAAATTGGGTTTCCATGGTCTTAGAATAACAGGACCAAGAGCCTCTGTCATACCATATCCAATGTTCACATCAAATCCAAGTTCTGCTACCTTGTTGAGAACATGAAATGGTGGTAATACACCAGCAACTGTGACATTCACCCTGTGAGGCAGAGACCTTTGATCACTAGGTGATGCATATGCAATCATTTCCAAAAGGGTAGGTGCACCACAAAAATGAGTCACCCTATGAAGGTGAATTGCATCATATATTCCTTTTGCTGAGACATTTCTTAGGCAGATATTGGCGCCACCAAGTGCAGACATTGCCCAAGTGAAGCACCACCCATTACAACGAAACATGTCAACTGTCCATAGGAACACTGGCATTTGTTTCATGTTGAAACGAGCAATTGTTGCAAGTGAATTAAGATAGGCACCTCTATGACTATAAACAGCACCTTTAGGAATCCCTGTGGAGCCTGATGTGTAATTCACTGATATAGGATTGCATTCATTGCTTGGTATTAAAGCCTCAAAATCTAATTGTCCCATTGCAAGAAATTCCTTGTAGTTTAAGGAACATGATGATGAAATACCCTTCATTAAGAATGTTGGTTCTTGGCCATAATCATGTATTAGGACAATGAGGGGTGGCTTGCATTTTCTCTGGGTGATCATTTCGGATGCTTTGATGACAGAATCAATGAACTGATAATCCACAAATATGATTTTGCATGGTTCTGATAGTTCCAATATTAGCGCCAATGTTGTTACATCCAATTTGGTGTTGAGAGCAGAAAGAACAGCACCTACCATTGGAACACCAAAATGAAGCTCGTATAGTGCAGGAATATTTGGTGCCAAAGCTGCAACCTGAAATACATCAAAGGAAATTCAAGTCTTCATAAGCATATATAACAAACCTTATTTTTTGGGTATGTTTATTTCATGTTGGAGATCGTGGTTTGGTAAATTTATTTCCTGATTGGAGACTCTGATTGTAATCTATTTTCCTTTCCAACACTGGTAGAAACTTTTCAACAAAGACAAACACAAATTCGAGTGGATAATTAACCAATAAATTTGGAAGAAATGTTAGGCAGAAAATATATTTGACAGAAAAAAAAAAGTAAAAATTCTTTAACGAAATCTTAATTGAATCTTAACAAAAAAAGTGATTAAGAACTCTATTAAAAAATAATTTAAAATTTTTAAAATAGTTCATGCATCTACAAATTAATTTAGTAAATTCTACAGTGTTATGAGTTATGAGAAATGAGAAAGTATTTTATTCTATTGTATATGTAGAACAATTATAATTATTAATTTTAGTAATAGAGTTAACAGTGTATTTAAAAAAACATAAATAGTTTTTAATTTTTTAATATAATTAAAAAAATATTTAATATTCTTCAAATTTAAGAGTATCCTAACAAACAATAATTAATTTTATTATTAAGTAGGTTCAACCCATATTTATTATCATTAGTTTTTTTTATAATTAATTTACCCTTGTCATCTATCTGCTTAAACTGAGTTATAATAATTAGTTTTTTAACATGTATCTTAAGATAAAAAATTAATAAATAAAAAATTATAATATTTAATATTATAATACATTAAATTTGACAATTTTATTATGTTTTAAAAATTGTATTATAATATAGATTAGCATTTGTTAGTTAGACAGCATAACAAGCACATGTTATTGTAAAATAGATTTTTTTAAGGAGGCTTGATTCTATGAACTATGAAGAGACGGTAAAACGACAAAAGCATGTTAGTTGTTTTGGAATTTGGTAGCGGGGTCATAGAATAGCACATAGCTCCATGGTGAATGATGATGGGCTATTAGTTATAATACAAAATCAGAATCTAGTATTATTAAAATTAGAAACTCTTAATAATGTCATCACGCTTTACATGTTTAATGTTTGGTTAGTGTGTCGTCGGAAAAATAGAAATACACGAAAAACACAAATTTGAAGAATACTAACGTGCCTTTAGGTAACGTTTGGTTGCGGGACAGAGATACTGAGACAGAGACACGAAGGTATGCGTATAATGTTTGGCTAATATTTCGCTATAGAAACAGAGACACAAAAGACACAAGGGACACAAATTTGAAAAACACCAGTGTACTTCCTAAAAAAGGGGACACTAGTGTCTCAACTCTAGAGACACAGACAGTAAACTTATAAAAACAAAAATAAGAACACTAGTGTCTCTATCTTTATTGTCTCAGTGTTTCTGTTTCCAGTGTCCAGTAACCAAACACTGCCTTAAAGGACACTAGTGTCCCAACTTTAGAGATATATAGGCTATATTTTTAAAAAATCAAAATACTTAGATAATCATACAAAATTACATATACTATCCTTAACTTTCATTTTTTGTATTTTGACTCTTATATTTAAACATAATACAAGACGCAATACACAACATTCTATCCTCACTTCCTCTAAATACAAAACACAAACATAAACATTAGTATTTTCTATCCTTCATTGTCTTTGTGTCTCTATCTTAATGTCTCTATCTATAAACTAAATGCTAAAGACACTAACCTAATTTTTTAAAATATTTTTTCATTTCTTAATTTAGTACTACTTTAAAAAAATGGTTAATTTTAATTCTTAGAGTTGAATTAAAACATTTATAAATAATTTTTTATAAAAAGATACATATTTATTATATTGAAAATATTTTATAATATTGTATTATGTAATATATATATATATATGTATAATTTATATAAAATATATATATATATATATAATAGGAATAAAATTTTAAAAAATAGATATTAATTAATGAGTAAAATAAAAAAAAATCAACATCAGACTCCCAAAATGCTTCTTTGATTTCAACTTATCCAATTCAAAATCTTTTCATTCTATAATTATCCTCTGCTTTAAAAATTTTAAATTTTTATTTATTTATTGCTTTAAAATTATTTATTATTATTAAAGTGCTTATTGAATATTGGTTTGACAAATCACCCTCGTTCATATCGCTATGGGATAGAGTTCGTAAATCAATTGGGTTCATTGTGTGTTTCACGTGAGTTACTTTAAAGTGGTGTTTTATTAAAATAAAATAAAAATCGGCCACTCTCAAATTTTTAACGAAAAATTATTTTTTAGGATAATAATTAATGTGATAATTTTGTTATTATATTGTTGTTTGATTATTTACTCCTTGATTAATCATTATTGCAGGTAGAATAAAAACTATAAACTCGTGTTTAATAAAATAATAAGTTAATGGTGTTAATGGGTAAGTATAAAATTGAAGGAGTTTATAATTTTTTACTTAATATCTATCAATAATTTTATGCCATTTTTATTTTTATTCTTTTAAATAAATTATTTATAGGTACAAATTTTAAACCTGTAGCTATAATAGGGCTTTAATAATTATTTATTACAAAGGTTTCTAATTTTTTTATTTAAAAATTGAATTTGAGATAATTTATGATTTTAACTAGCAAAAGATTACAAAAATAATAAAATTATATTGAAAAATTTATAAATGTAAACAAGAGATATCAAATTGCTGTATTTTTTTTTTTTTGTTGTATTTTTTTTAGTGTGTACTTTTAGGGATAAATAAGACTCTTCTGATATAAGAATTAATAGTTTATTATTAGACCGAGATTTTGACAAAAAAATATAAATAAATAAATAAAAGAAGTTGATTTTTTTCCCTTTCACAAGTTAAAAAACAAAATATTATTTTAATAAAGGAAATATTACAGTAGAGTAAAAAACTAAAAGAGTTTTGACAAAGTAAAGAAATATGAGATTTTGAATGGAAAGATATCTTGTTAAGATACCAGTGGGCTATTCTTCTTAATCATACATTAAATAATAAAATTATGTTAAAAAAATGTAAAACACACATTCTCTTTCTCTCTCTACTAGGAGTGTCTATCGAATCGGGTAATGCAAATCTATTTAAACTAGAAAATGATCTAAACTAATGTTTAACAAGTCCATCTAATCTAAATTGATCAAACCCGAAGTGGTTCGATTCGGATAACAGGTAGCACCGTGCCAACCCAATCACCCAAACATATACTCAATTAACTCGATGAATACTACTTAATGCTTATGTTATTGTAGGGTGGTGAAGAGTCAAGAGTGGATGAAGAAATGAAGAATAAGTGTTTATGTTATTGTAGTGTTTGAATTATTTTAGATTTTTAGAGATTCCATATACTTATTTTTAATTAAGACTTATTTTGAATTTGTGTATTTATGTCAGAATGTTATGTAATTATATTGAAATTATGTATCAAGAATTATTCGAATGAAAAAAATGATATTTTTTCTATTTTTTATACATTTTTTATTTTAGATTATTTAATAAAATAATCTGATGATCCATCAACCAACGCATTTGTATTTGGTTCGAATTGATTTCTATTTTTTTTTCATAAATCTAAACTCAGATTATTTTTTTTCTCAAATTCGAACCAAACTGACTTGTCGACACTTCAACTCTCTACCTTTATGTATTTTTATTAGCTTAAAGTTTAATTAAACAGTGATTATTCATGAACAATTAAAATTTTTATATTTTGAAATATGTTTAAATGAGCTTAAAAAAAAAACCTTTTTTTACTATATATTTAATTTGTTTAAAAGTTTACACAACTGGGTTATAAAAAATGATTTACACAACTCTCAACATTATAATACATTAGTATAACAAATAAATTTTTTTTATCAGTTTGCATAAGAACATCTTTATCCTTGTATATAAAGAAGAGCTGCTTAAATTTTTTCATTTTTAATTTGTATATATATGTGTTTTTCATTTATATATATATATATATATAACAGTTGTTTACATAAGTGATTTTTTTTTTATTTTTAATGTAACTTTCTCCTTTTTACCTTAATAACTTTAACGCTATAATTTACTATACAGCAATTATTTATCATTAAATTTTAAGTATCTCCCACTAAACTAACTATAATTACATGACTTTTTAAGAAAATATTTTAGGTACATTTTGAATTACTGTCTAGAAACACACAAAAAAGGGCCTTAAAAATTGAGTTTTTGGAAGACTAGAAGTGGACCATTGACTCTGCACTTTGATAATGTCAACGTGGACTCCGTCGTAGAATAAAGGAAGTTGATTTTTTTTCCCTTTCACAAGTTAAAAAACAAAATATTATTTTAATAAAGGAAATATTACAGTAGAATAAAAAAACTAAAAGAGTTTTGACAAAGTAAAGAAATATGAGATTTTGAATGGAAGGATATCTTGTTAAGATACGAGTGGACTATTCTTCTTAATCATACATTAAATAATAAAATTATGTTAAAAAAATACAAAACACACTCTCTTTCTCTCTCTACTAGGAATGTCCATTGAATCAGGTAATAAAAATCGATTTAAACTAAAAAATGATCCAAACTAATGTTTAACAAGTCCATCCAATCTAAATTGATCAAACTCGACGTGGTTCGGTTCGAATAACAGATAGCACCGTCTCAACCCGATGAATACTACTTAATGTTTATGTTATTTTAGGGTGATGAAGAATAAGTGTTTATGTTATTGTAGTGTTTGAATTATTTTAGATTTTTAGAGATTCCATATGCTTATTTTGAATTGAGACTTATTTTGAATTTGTGTATTTATGTTAGAATGTTATGTAATTATATTGAAATTATGTATCAAGAATTATTCGAATGAAAAAAATGATATTTTTTAATTTTTTATACATTTTTTATTTTAGATTATTTAATAAGATAATATGACGATCCAAACCGAACTAATCCATTTGTATTTGGTTCAAATTAATTTAAATTTTTAAATTTTTTTTCATAAATCTAAACTCGAATTATTTTTTCTCTTAAATCTAAACCAAATTGACCTGCAGACACCTTGACTCTCTATCTTTATGTATTTTTATTAGCTTAAAGTTTAATTAAACAGTAATTATTCATTAACAATTAAAATTTTCATATTTTAAAATATGTTTAAATGAGCTTAAAAAAAACCTTTTTCTAGTATATGTTTAAAAGTTTACACAACTCGGTTATAAAAAATGATTTACACAACTCTCAACATTATAATACTTTGGTATAACAAATAATTTTTTTTTATCAGTTTGCATAAGAACATCTTTATCCTTGTATACAAAGAAGAGCTGCTTAACTTTTTTCATTTTAAATTTGTATATGTATGTGTTTTTCATTTTTTTTAATATATATATGTAACAGTTGTTTACATAAGTGATTTTTTTTATTTTAATGTAACTTTCTCCTTTTTACCTTAATAACTTTAACCCTATAATTTACTATACAGCAATTACTTATCATTAAATTTTAAGCATCTCCCACTAAACTAACTATAATTACATGACTTTTTAAGAAAATATTTTAGGTACATTTTGAATTACTGTCTAGAAACACACACAAAAAAGGGCCTAAAAAATTGAGTTTTTGGAAGACTAGAAGTGGACCATTGACTCTGCACTTTGACAATGTCAACGTGGACTCCGTCGTAGAACAAGAACAGCGAAATTTAGGAAATTATGTACAAAATTTGGTTCGTAAATCCAAATTGCAGAAAATTTACATAAGTTTCCGCAAAATGGAGGTGATAATATAACAGTAACAAATAAAAACTCGGACATATTTTAAAAACTTTTCTATTGAATGAATTTAGATTCTGTGGATTGGTGAAAAGACTTGACACGATCAAGTGTTTGAATCCGAGAGTTTATTCCTATAATGATAATATGATAGGATTGGATGCAATGAAAAGTATACTACTGAGGATCGGAGGAGATAAATGGAAGATGAATGAACTTACAATATCGCCCTGCAAAATCCCTACCATTAGCAAAGCAGAAGCAAGCTTGAGGCATCTTTCATAGGTTTCCCTCCAAGAAAATCTCACACGATCATTGTAGATGATGGAGGTCTTATCACCATAGGCAGTGGCTGCTCGTTCTAGGAAACTGATTGGTGACAATGGAGTGGTGTTTGTGGAGCACTGAACCAGGTCTTGTCTCATGGTAAACGTTGTCAATGGATCTAAAGAGATAATTACTTAATGCAAGAATCAAGATACATACATACATACATATTTATAAGTAATGAAATAAATAAGGAATCGAATATTCGTTGCTCCTCAACATTAAAATTATGAGAAAAGTTTATGTTAGTTAAGAGATAATTACTTTACTAATTACAAGTCAATTCATATAAAATTTGAACTTGTATCCACCGCCAGTGTTCAACTTGTTTTTTTCCACGGAGAATCTTTATGTTTTTAGGAAGCCTTTATGAGAGATTATAATAAGCATTGATAATTTTTATAATGTTTGCGTTACTTAAAAAAAACATCAAAATATGCAGTCAAATAATTAAATTCTTCTCCCAAGATCGAGATTTGTTTAGTCATGAGCAATTGACCCTTTAGAAAAATATTATTTCTTTTCTATTTGTTCACTTTCAACACAACACACATATTTTAAACAATGCAATTAATAAAAATGTATTTAATGAGAAATGAGTGGCTTGAATCCTGATTGATAATATTTTTAACTAAATATTAAATCATATTTTATATTATATGATTCCTAATAAGGCTTAACACGATAATTTTTTTTCCATAATTATATAATCAGAGATAAAATAGAACTAAAATAAAATCAAAATAAAGTAACTTAAACAAATTAATAATAGTATTTACTAATTATTATATTATACTTTATAAATATTTTTAAAAAATTTTTAATAATAAAAAAAATCTTTGAATTAAAGATATGACAAGATCTAAAGTAATTGTCCAAAAAAATTATAGAGTAATATTTAGTTTTTTTAAAACTTTTTAATGATAAAAAAAATTTTAAATTAAAGATACAATAAAATAATTTAAATAAAAAATAACAAATAATTTGAACTATATTTTAAATTATATTTTATATTAAATATTTTTTAATTAAGTTTAACACAATAATTTTTTTTCTATAATTACTCTAACAATGCATAATAAGAAATAAAATCAGAACTAAAATTAAATCAAAATAAAATACCTTAAATAAAATTAATAATAATATTTATTACTTATTATAGTATACTATAAATTCCTTTGATAATTATATTTATATATTTTACTATAAAATAATGATCACACCAACACTAATAATACCTATAATGATTAAAATTAATAAAAAAAAATCATAAGAACAATATATAAATATTTTAACTTAATTATAATACTGTAATCTTTCCATAATTTTACAAAGTAATTGAATCCTTTTCTTACAATTACTTTAATAGTACATAATCAGACATGAAATCATATATAAAATTAAATTAAAATAAAATATTTTAAACAAGAATAATAATATTTACTATATTTTAAAAATATTTCCTATAATTATTCACAGCTAAGAACTCAGTTTGTACAAGTCGCTATTAAAGGATCAACATCAACATAGAAAATTAAGACAAAGGTAATTTGTAAGTGGAGTGTGACTAGATATGGTGATGAACACAATATTATTTTTGTTGAGATGATTTTACTAAATGTTTATGTGAGTTATATTACTATTGAATTAGTCATCATTTTACAGTGGATGATAATAGTTTTTTGAACTAATTTATTTTTCTTAACAACCTCATAGGAAGGTCGAATACAAGCATCTAACAAAAAAGTATTTCTAAATAAGTTTAAGTACATGCTGTGCGAAAGTGAACTTTATGTTTTAAATAACTTTGGAGTAAGATAAAACACATGAAATTATACTAGTCACACTTTCAAGATCAACTTTCAGTTTTCAACTTCCAAATTATTTGTTAAAGTTAAAGATTGAAATTTCAATAATATACTTAGAAATTAATAAGGCTTATGGACTTTGTAATAGTATAAAAATATTAGTTTCTAAGATGACTTCTTAGGTGATTGAGCAAATGTCATATCTACAAATAATTTTAGTAAAAATATTTTGATACCACACATAATTATAAAACTATCAAATACAAAAATGTCTTTTAAGTTTTAGCTTCGAAAAATTTAAACTCAGCCCTTATAGTTGAAATTAACAAAACTCTTTTTAAAATTGTTATTAGTAACTTTTTGTCAAAAACTGCTAACGACATTTTTGTATGAAGGAGAAAGTGTGATGCGGGGTTGAATTTGAAGGGACGTTTTATCCTTGACGCTTGCTTGCGTTGTCAACACTGCTAATGACTATGCCTGCTTATGCCATAAAGTATGAGAAGCCTTAGTAAAAAATCTGTCAGAATATGTCAGCAAAAAAAAAGAATATGAATAATATTTTTTAATGAAATTTAATTTTTATCAAAAAATATTTAAAATGTTTTTAAAAGTTATAGAAAAATTATTAAACTAAAACAAAATTAAGAGTTAAGTTAAAATATAATTTTTGTCTTAAGTAAATCTCTGTTAATTTTTTTAAAGCTTTGAAGATGAAAGATTTTCTGAAAATTTGAGCCACCTGATTCGATTTTTGAATGGACAAGATACAGGCACTTGCGTAAGATGAGGTTTTGAAGTTTGAACTAATCAATATAATGTTAGTCTTATTTTTTGGGTACATATGGAAGTGAATATATATAGAGTCGTGTGTAATAATTTTATCATAATTTAATGTATTAATATCATAATTTTTAATAAAAAATATTATATAAATCTTCTTAATTTGTAATATTACACATGTTAAAATAAATATATTTACTTAATTAATTATAATGCAAAGATTATAGATTGGGTAATTAAGTATAGATTAGTTGTATTTGTTTTCGTGAGTTAACTTAATATATTGTTATTTTAATTCTTAGTTTTGTTTTGATTTAGTTATTTAATTTTTTCACTTTAATCTTTTACTTAAGTATTTAAAATAAATATTTTTTTGAACAAATATTAATTCTAAATGAGATCTTCTTTTTCTTCCTGAACTCATGTAAAACAGCAAATTTTGTTGTTGTTTTTTTCTTCTTCTTCCTTTTCTCATAATATTGCAACATGAAGCATGCTAAAAATCTGTTTTTTTTAGATTTTTTTTTCCATTAAGTCTTTCTCTCTCATGTGGACTAAGATGCTTTGGATAATTCTTAATTATCATTTTGATGACCAATGATTTTTAAATTAAAAGGGTTTACAAATTCTACATATGAAAGTCAATGTCACAACTTTTGTATCTAGGTTTCTATTGTTTCACGTGAGGAAATAAAACATTGACTTATATTTAGCTTTAGTATTGTTCATGATAAATAGTGTAATGGCATGGTTGAGAGATAAAAAAAATAACTAAAAATTTTATTATTTATTTTTTTTGTTTGATTTTGAAAGGAGAAAGAATATAAATAAAAAAAATAAAGAACCAAAACAAAATAACATTAAGAATTAAGATAATTCATCTATTTAACATTTTATTATACATACATAAATTTTAAAATCCAACTCAAAAATTGTTAGAGTAGAATAGATTCTTAATATTAATTTTTTTTTTAAATTTAATGAGTGAGTCTATCATTAATTTTTTTTTATATATAAAAAATTTAAATATAAAATATTTCTTAAATAATATCAAGTCGCTTACTATTTAAATCAACTTTCTTCATTTGATTCTTTTATTTTAACCACTCTATTTTGTAATAATGTGATCGCAAGAAAAATAAAAATACTTAGATTGTTAGATATAAATTCTATAACATAGGTAAAAAAAGAAAAGCTCAATATTTTATACGCCAAAAATCAAACAAGTAGTTCCACATTCGGTGTTGTCTCTTGTGAATGTGAAAGAGAATCCGAACAACCTAGTTAGTTTGTACCCACCGAACAAGGCAAGAATTGCTCACCTCAAATTTTTCATACATCTAAAATATTATCTGAATTGTTTGTTTTGTTGTGTATTTATCTGAATTATAAAAAATATTAACTTTAATTCTTTAAATTAAGTTTAAGGAACTAATGATAGTCTAAAATTTATTGATATAAAAAACTATTATGCTTTATAGTTTTAATGTAATAATTTTTAAAGTTTTAAAATATTATTCTCTTGGTCATATAATTTAGTTTGTTCTATTTCAATTTCGTGTTCTAGAACAAAAGAGAATAACAATTAGGTTGCTACGATTGGTTACTACTGTTGAATAAATTATAGTCATTTTCTGCAAACCCCCACCTTCACTCATATCATAAATTAAAAATGTTTAAAATATTGGAAATAATTGCCTGAAATTAATCTCTTTAAATAAAAAATAAATAAAAATAGAATGAAATGAATCTTGAGAAATGTTTAAAATATTTATCATACACACAATATTTAGAAAAAAAATGATTATATTATAGAAATAAAACAAAAAAATTAATTAACAAATAAAAGAAACTAATTATATACAAAATCATGCACTACTTACTGACAGACCCACACTTGAAACTAGAATTACCCTTTAAAGAAGGCAAGGTGATGTCGATGAATCGCCTGAATTTTGGTCTCCTGTGTTGTCTTGTCTTCATTTACGATCATTAATTATGATTTTATGAATAATATTTTGTTGATTAAAAAATGAAACCAGTAGAGATGGAATATACTGATCTCAATATTTCTTTATACAAAACGGTATAGAGAAGAGGGAGAAAAAACCTACTAAACAAGCTTTCTAATGCACGAGATTTCCTTTCTCTCAGAGAATATACCAACAAATGTATATTCTTCTTTCCTTGATGAACCTGTTGTAGTAGCTGAAACAATAACAGTAATTATAATAATAATAATAAGAAGAAGAAGAATAGGAGGTAAGAACTGTAAACAACAATAATAATAGTACGCAGTAATAGTATTACAATGAAAAAAGAAATCTTTCATCTCTATCCATCAGACTAGGATGGAAGGAAGATAAGCAGTCCAACAAGAACACAATCACAACAACCCATCTCCATAATTAATCACAAGAACTCATTGACCCATTCCTTAATTTCTTTTCTTTCAATTTATGGTAAAAATTCATCCTTTGATTTTTTTTTTCTTCTTTGTCTCTTCTCTTATTTTCTTCCCATTAACTCAGACATTGAGATAGTGCTTAAAAGATATCTTTGGTAGTACCAAATTTCTGCAACTGCCAACTCCACTAACTCATCAAAATCCACCGCTAGATATTTCCAAGATGATGTCACATAGCCCTATTCTAAGAACGGGAGTTAAGGGATAAACACACCATGAAAGGGACCATTGTCACTATATAATGCAACTTCGTGCTTACCTACAAGCACACACAATTCCATTCATAACACAATACAAAATATGAAGTTAGGCGCTATGTTTGGCTTGGCCTTAACATATGTCCTTCTGGTAACCTCATCAAAGTTCCTTAGTGTTGCTGGGGATGATGTTGGAAGTGTCATCAGTGCTTCTCTATTTGAACAATTGTTGAAACACCGAAATGATCCAGCTTGTGAGGGAAAAGGGTTCTACACATACAATGCTTTTGTCACCGCTGCTAGATCATTTGGTGGGTTTGGCACCACTGGCGATTTTAACACTCGTAAGAGAGAGATTGCAGCTTTCCTCGCCCAAACCTCTCACGAGACCACAGGTTAATACTTATACATTTGTCACTTCTTACATATTAAGGTTCTTGTCACCAACAAAACACAACAAAAAAATGAATAACGATTGTTACTTAGGAATATTTAGTATGGTTTTTTTGAATAATTATAATTACGTTTACAAAAATAAATTGGAAAATATAAGGGTCAATGCTATGTGTTTGGCGATTAAAAGTTATAATACAAGTTAAAAAACTTTTTTTATCAAACATTTTAAATAATGAATACAATTTTGTATATTAACTTATAAACTTAAAACAAGAATTTGTTCTGCTTTTATATTTTTACTATTTTTCATTTTTAATCAGTTTCTTGTAATATTTTATAACAAAACTATATACTAATATACCTAGCCACTATTCATCTAAATATTGGTGAATTCTGATATTAATTAGATAAATTTTATTTATGATAATAAGTAAACTTTTAGGACATATTTTTAAAAATTCATAAGTAAACTTTTATATATAAATAAGTGTTCCTTACATTTTTATATAATATTTTTTTGTAAGAAAATCATTTATAGTTGCTTAAAACCGGAAGAAAAACATATTAAGATTAGTTCTTGCGAGGATATCCAGTTGAAAAACCAAAAGAATCTCTATATTAATTAATGTGTGCAGCTTAATTAAATAACCGGGGCTTATTAATTGTGTACAATACTGATGTCTCTCGTTATAGCATTGTATTTGATTCCAACGTTACTTGCACATGATTGATGACAGGAGGAGCTGCAAGTTCCCCGGATGGGCCATATGCATGGGGTTATTGCTTTGTCACTGAAAGAGATAAATCCAACACCTACTGTGATGCCGGTACACCGTGTCCCCCCGGCAAATCATACTATGGACGAGGACCCATTCAACTCACCCAGTAACTCTCTCTCTCTCTCTCTCTCGTGTTTGTCCTTCGTAAATAACCATGTGAACATCCAGCTATTTTCTTATTTATTAAGTAAAAATATTATTTTTTGGTACATCTTATAAATACATGAAATACACCACCAAATTTGTGGATGAACTAGTAAGAACTTGTGCTAACTCAACTAATGATTAATAGAATGATATTATAAAAATGTATAATATTATTCTAATAACTAGTATTATATAGTTTGTATATGTCATTCTGTAAGCTAGTGACCCTATGATGTTGTTAATGGTTATTTATTTAATTTTTGATGAATTTTGGAAAAGCAACTACAACTATGCTCAAGCTGGAAGAGCAATAGGAGTGGACTTGATAAACAATCCAGACTCAGTAGCAAGAGATGCAGTAATATCATTCAAGACAGCAATATGGTTCTGGATGACACCACAGGGTAATAAGCCCTCATGCCACGACGTTATCACCAATAGGTGGACACCATCTGCTGCCGACACAGCAGCTAATAGACTCCCAGGTTTTGGTGTGATAACAAACATCATCAATGGTGGGATTGAATGTGGTCATGGTCCTACTGATGCCTCAGGTAATAGGATTGGGTTTTATAAGAGGTACTGTGATATTTTGGGCCTATCATATGGTCCCAACTTGAATTGCAGAGACCAAAAACCCTTTGGTTAAGTTGTTCTCTTTGCTTTGTAATGGCCACAGTTAACCAATAACTATAATAAGAATGTAATTTTCAATAAATTTGCCTATGTAATCTCCTGTGTAAGAGATTTGTAATAAAATTGCTGTTCTTTGCAATTTTCTCTAAGCGAATAGTGGTAACATTTCTGTCAATTACTTCTTGCTGCTATAGACTCTGAAAATTTTATATTAGTTTAAAAGTATTTAATATTTTATTGATATAAATTAAAATAATTATTGTAATATACTTTAAAATATGTAAAAAAATCTTGTAATTGTATTTTATTTTTGTTTAATGTTGGCAAAATATTAATAGACAGCCAAAATGTTATATAATTATAATTTAACAATTATATTGATAAAAAGTTATATTGAAATTAATGATGATATAAGATTTACGTGACTTATATAATATAAGTTAATTTTTATCATTAAAAGTATATATTACATTCATTTGTAGGTATATCAATAGAGAGATCAACGTACATCAATATATTATATATATTTTTAATCACAAATCAACATGATAAAAATTACTATTTTTAGTTTGCCACAATTTTTTTATGAGAGATTATTTTACCTAACACAAAGTTTTTCAGATATTAAACATACTTGCCTCTCTCAATGAAAATTTGATTAGTAGACAGTAGTTCACCATTTCAGGAGAAACTAGCACCTTCTACAAGACCCACCACCCTCACTAATAAATCTTTTTTACTATATGAAGAGATGAACATTTTTAGATATATAGAATACCAAATATTTCAATAAAATAAATAAAAAACAATGAAGTTTGATCAATATAATATAGCTAGAATAATAGTCATAAATATTTAAGTTTACCTGGCTATTAGAGTAAAAATATATTACTTAGATTGTATTACTTACCAGTATAAACAAGTTAAACAGATTATAAAAAAATAATTTGATAATTTAACTTTAAAATATTGTTTCTTCTTTCTTGTGTGTAATTATCCTAAAGCAAAACAACCAGGGAACTAAGCATGGTAACAAAATTACCGATTATAAAACTAGGGGAAAATAATATTTTTAATGCACAGGACTTCATTGAGGAGAATATACAAAAATATAGATACTCTTCTATCCTTTGACTAGCCTCTCTTCGCCATTTTCTTCCAATAATAGTAGCTGAAACAGTACTAGTAATAATAATAATAATAATAATAGGATAGATTATAACAACAATAAAAATAGGAATAGTATCAGTAAATGATAAGAGTACACAATAATAATAACAATAGTAGAAACTTTTTTCTTTACTTGCTAATAATATCTACTATAAAAGAAAGGTTATTGTAAAAGCAGTAGTAGTAATAGTTTCTATTAAGACCATTAAATATTTTATCTATTTATTTTTTAATATGATTTTCTACTATATTATTATTATTATTATTATTATTATTATTATTATTATTATTTGCTATTTTTCTGTACTTTATATCATATTTTATTATTCATTAACATTATAAAACCATAAAATCATTAAGAATGTTAAAGAGAGAAAGCTTATAATAATTAAACTAAAAAATGTTTAATATTACTTAATAACATCACTTCTGTTGTATAAAAATTTAAGTAATTAAATAAATTTTAATATCAATATGTTAATTGATAATAAAATTTATTGAAATAAATGAAGTGATTGTCACTTTCAAGTCAACGATAGTTCTAACTTTTTCACACTAAAATATAATAGAAGTCATCGAAGACTATCTAAAAATTTCAAGCCAATTAAGAAGAATTAGAATGCCGGGTATACATCACAACAAGTCATTCACCCATTCCTTTATTTCTTTTCTTTCCACTTATGGTTTATTTAAACAAGAAAAAAATAGTAGAAAATAAGATACGAATAATAAGTTTTTATTTCATGAATAAAAAAAGAAAAAAAATACTTTTGAAAATATAAAAATATTTTTTAATCCTCGTTTTTATTTTAATTTAAATCAGACACTGAGATAGTGCTTAATTAAAAAAACTCATCAGTAGTACCAAATTTCCACCACTGCAAACTCCACTAACTTATCAAAATCTACCACTTGATATTTTCGAGAACTGAAGTTAAGGAACAAACACAGCATGAAAGAGACCACTGTCACCACTATAAATCATGCAGCTTCGTGCTTTAACCTAGAAGCACAAACAATTTCATTCATAACATTAGAAATTAATCTCTTTAAATAAAAAACAAATTAAAAATGGAAAGAAATGAATTTTTAGAAATGTTTAAAACATTTATCACGCACACAATATTTAGAAGACAAATGATTAATATATTAGAGAATGACTTTATTGGAAGATATTAATTCTTTCTACGCGTTTATCCATTAATTTTTTAAAAAATAAATATTAAATTGCTTTTAGAATAAACGATCAATTTCCATTAAAAGAGTAAAGGGAGAGAAATGAAAATAATTAAAAGAAGAAAAAGAAAAAGAAAGAGATCATCATAAAAAAAAAAGAACACTATTTTTTGCATCTCAAGTGTTGAACGATAGAACATGACTTGATAACTAACACTGGATGACCCACACGTAAAATTAACAGTGATAGAAATTAACAAGAATAAAATTAATTAACGAATAAAAGAAACTAATTATATACATAATCATGCACTACTCACAGACCCACATTTGAAACTAGAATTGCCCTTTAAAGAAGGCAAGTGACCTCGTTGGATCGCATGAATCTTGGTCTCGTGTATTGTCTGTCTTTATTTACTATTATTATTTATGATTTTATGAATAATATTTTGTTGATAAAAAAATGAAAACAGCAGAGATTAATAGTATCTCAATATTTCTTTATACAAAACGGTATAGAGAAGAGGGGGAAAAAACTACCAAACAAGCTTTCCATGGCTATCAATCCCAGCTTTTCTAAATCCAATCTCTTCTCTCAATCTTTCTAATGCACGAGATTTCCTTTCTCTCAGAGAATATACCAACAAATATATATATTCTTCTTTCCTTGATGAACCTGTTGTAGGAGCTGAAATAATAACAGTAATTATAATAATAATTGAGAAGAAGAATAAGAGGTAATAACTGTGATCAACAATAATAATAGTACGTAGTAATAGTAATTTTTTTCCTTACTTGCTAATATTATATGGTATAAAAGGAAGGTAGTTGTAAAATCACTAGCAATAGTAGTAGTTTCTGTTATTTTTCATTATATTTTATTATTCATTAAACTTATAAAATATCGTAAAATCATTTAAAAATTATAAAAGGAAGCTTGTAATAATTACAATGAAAAAAATTCTTTGCATCTCTGTACATCAGACTAGGATGGAAGGAAGATAAGGAGTCTAACAGGAACACAATCACAAGAACCCATCTCCACAATTAATCACAAGAACTCATTGACCCATTCCTTAATTTCTTTTCTTTCAACTTATGGTAAAAATTCATCCTCTCATTTTTTTTTTCTTTCTTTCTTCTCTTATTTTCTTCCCATTAACTCAGACATTGAGATATAGTGCTTAAAAGATATCTTTGGTAGTACCAAATTTCTGCAACTGCCAACTCCACTAACTCATCAAAATCCACCACTAGATATTTTCAAGATGATGTCACATAGCCCTATTCTAAGAACGGGAGTTAAGAAATAAACACACCATGAAAGGGACCATTGTCAATATATAATGAACCTTCGTGCTTACCTACAAGCACACACAATTCCATTCATAACACAATACAAAATATGAAGTTAGGCACTATGTTTGGCTTGGCCTTAACATATGTCCTTCTGGTAACCTCATCAAAGTTCCTTAGTGTTGCTGGGGATGATGTTGGAAGTGTCATTAGTGCTTCTCTATTTGAACAATTGTTGAAACACCGAAATGATCCAGCTTGTGAGGGAAAAGGGTTTTACACATACAATGCTTTTGTCACCGCTGCTAGATCATTTGGTGGGTTTGGCACCACTGGTGATTTTAACACTCGTAAGAGAGAGATTGCAGCTTTCCTCGCCCAAACCTCTCACGAGACCACAGGTTATACTTACACATTAGTCACTTCTTACATATTAAGGTTCTTGTCACCAACAAAACACAAAACTTACACACAAATAATGATTGTTAGTTAGGAATTTAATATGGTTGTTTTGAATAACCATGACTACGTTTTAAAAAATAAATTGGCAAATATAAGAGTCTATGCTATCTGTTAAGCGATAAAAAGTTATAATACACGTTAAACAAATTTTTTTTATCAAACATTTTAAATAATGAATACAATTTTGTATATGAGCTTATAAACTTAAAACAAGAATTTGTTCTGCTTTTATATTTTTACTATTTTTCATTTTTAATCGGTTTCTTGTAATATTTTATAACAAAACTATATAGAGTAATATGCCTAGCTACGATTCATCGAAATATAAGTGAATTATGATAGTGATTAGATAAACTTTATTTATGATAATAAGCTCAGTTTTTATAAGACTGATTTTAAAAAATTATATATATATCTATATATATATATTTCTTACATTTTTTTATAATAAATGTTTTTTTTTGTAAGAAAAACATTTATAGTTACTTAAAACCGAAAGAAAATCATATTAAGATTAGTTCTTGTGAGGATATCCTATTGAAAAACCAAAAGAATCTCTATATTAATTAGTGTGTGCAACTTAATGAAATAACTAGGGCTTATTAATTGGGTACAATACTGATGTCTCTCATTATAGCATTGTATTTGATTCCAACGTTAGTTACACATGATTGATGACAGGAGGAGCTGCAAGTTCCCCGGATGGACCATATGCATGGGGTTATTGTTTTGTCACTGAAAGAGATAAATCCAACCGCTACTGTGATGGCGGTGCACCATGTGGCCCCGGCAAATCATATTATGGACGAGGACCCATTCAACTCACCCAGTAACTCTCTCTCTCTCTCCCCCCATGTGTCTGTTTGTCCTTCATAAATAACCATGTGAACATCCAGATATTTTCTTATTTCTTGTAAAAATATTATTTTTTGTTATATCTTAAATATATTAAATACACCACCAAATTTGTGGATCAACCAGTAAGATGTTGTTCTAACTCAACTAATGATCTCAAGTTTGAGTTTAAATTCAGATAAATACTCAGATTGAAGATTTTAAAAAAACATTAAGTACACTTATTTTTTGTTTAATATTTCCTCTGCAAAACACTGAAAAGATCAATAGAATGATATCATAAGAATGTATATTATTATTCTAACTAGAATTATATAGTTTGTATATGTCATTCTGTAAGCTAGTGACCCTATGATGTTGTTAATGGTTATTTATTTAATTTTTGATGAATTTTGGAAAAGCAACTACAACTATGCTCAAGCTGGAAGAGCAATAGGAGTGGACTTAATAAACAATCCAGACTCAGTAGCAAGAGATGCAGTAATATCATTCAAGACAGCAATATGGTTCTGGATGACACCACAGGGTAATAAGCCCTCATGCCACGACGTTATCACCAATAGGTGGACACCATCTGCTGCCGACACATCAGCTAATAGATTCCCAGGTTTTGGAGTGATAACAAACATTATCAATGGTGGGATTGAATGTGGTAATGGTCCAACTCCTGCATCAGGTGATAGGATTGGGTTTTATAAGAGGTACTGTGACATTTTCGGCCTCTCTTATGGTCCCAACTTGAATTGCAGAGTCCAAAGGCCCTTTGGTTAAGTTGGGCTCTTTGCTTGTAATCGCCACAGAACACCAATAACTATAATGACTATAATAAGAATGCTGCAGCTGGCCCTGTGTGTTTTTCAGTAAATTTGCCAATGTATTGTGGACCAAAAATATACAAAGAGAAACTTGTGTGGAAAAAAAGAAGAAAAACTCGTGTAAGAGTTCTGCAATAAAATTGCTCGTGTTTGTAGTTTTTTCTGAAGCCAATAATTGAAACCTTTTCTATCATTTATTCCTTTGAGCAAGACTCTCACAATTTTATATTAATTCAAAGTTTTTTAATCTTATATATATATATATGAAAATTATATGAAAATAAGTTTTTTAATTGTATTTTCATAATTATTTAATCTGGCAAAATTTGACAAACAATCAAAATAGTATATAATTATAATTCTATAATTACATAAATAAAAGTTATATCATATATAAATTACGCGATGGTCAATCTGCAACTGATTCTGTAACATACTGCATATGATAAAAAACCAGATGATTGACAAAAAAAAAGAGAGGGTCCAATTTGTATTAAGTTTGAGTCAATCAACCTGAGGATTTACATTACCGTATTACTTGGTTTGGGCCGATTTTTACTTTTTAGGGCCCTCTGTGATAGGAATTTTCTTTGTCTTTTGTATTGATTCCAAAAGTTTTCTCTGATTTCATTTTCCATAACGAAACTTCAAGTAAATTTCATTTTATCGACAGAAGAAAACATTTAAAAAAAATCAGCTGATACAAAATTTTAGTACAGAAGTCACGAAAACGGTTTTTAACCATTATTGCATGATTTCCTTTGATAAATCTATTTTTAAATTTCAATTATTTAATTTTGAATCAAAAAAGCATACAAATATCCATTAGTACCAAATATCATCTTTCGTACCAAATAGCGGCACTCAACAAAAAATTTGAAATTCCAAATTAAGTGGCCATTTCCTATGTTAACGGGGACGGTCAACCCAAAAGTGTAGCCATGTTCATAGTCTTATATATATATATATATATATATATATATAGGGAGAAAATACTTATTCACATAACTTCATAAAAAATCTGAATTGCTTTTTCTGTGTTGAGAGGTTGATCTTAAAGATACCTTTCACGGTGAATTATCTACCAGACCCTCTTTTATTGAACTAATCATTGGAGACAACAAAACTGGGAATTCCTATTAAATTTGAATGTGTTGAGAAATGGATGCATGTTGTAACATTTTTATGGTACAGCCACTAAACTAAAGCCTCTATCCTAACGTGAATTGTATATTTTGATTAACCATAATATTTTGTTCTACGTACTTTCTTTACAGATACAAACAAAATTGGTCTCGGATCCTCCAGCACATGGAATACAAGTTTAGAATTAAATACCCAAAACATGAAAAATTTATATGCATTATTGAAGTTTGACGGAATAACACTATATCAAAGCCAAAATTCTTACCTATATTTCGTGCTAGATCCTGCCTTGTTTGTCATTTTCGTTTTACCCTCTTTCATGTAAATTGTTATACTTTATTCTCATTAAAAAAATATGACAATCATGCAATGCCAGCTTGTGAATTTCATGAACAAATGCCACAGGTTCAATTGAATCTTTTGAGCAGATCCTACTGCTATTTATTGGGGAGACAAGAATGAATGTTGCTCTTCCAGCTAGTACATGTCTACATTTCCAAGCGCATAACAATTTGTTATGTGCCACATGTTGCCAATGGAATAACCAAGAGACTAAATAAAGCATTTGGTGCTGAAAATTGTAGGCCAAAATGACAATAAGATCTTCAATATTGGTAGGGGGATACTTTACTTGTACTACATTAATACAGCATATTATTTGGCTTGAAGGGTCCATGCTGGTCTCAAAAAAGGGTTATAAATACATAGTATAAGTCCCAAGCCTAAGTAGTTCATTTCAGTATTCAGAAACATAGGAAAAATGGCCATAGAAGTTCATTACCATGTTAGATCCATTAGCTTGCCTTCTAGGCTACATCCATCATTACCCAAGATTGAAAAAGAGTTGAAAAGGCTAAAGACATGGGATGCCTCATCTCAATCACAGGCCTCAACTGACACAACAAGCTCTTTGCAAACAGTGGCTATCAAAGCAAGTCTAGCAGGGCTTGTAGAGTTGTACAATTGTGTACATGAACTCATTGGTAGCCCACAAACTCAACAGGCTCTTCGACGCCATGAAGGAAAGCATGTAGAGAAGCCACTTGACATGTCCATTGGCTTGCTTGATATTTGTGGATCAACAAGAGAATTGTTGTTATTGATGAAGGAACATGTGTTGGACCTTCAATCAACCCTTCGTAGAAAGGGTTTGGATTCAAGTATCAATAGCCAAATTTGTGCTTACATTTGTTTTAGGAAGAAGGCAAGGAAAGACATCTCTAAAAAGCTCAAAGCATTGAAGACAATGGAAAAAAACAACTCTAAATCATACCCTCCTTTAGATGTAGACCACCATCTACTAATGGTGATCAATGTTTTAAGTGAATTAAGTACTATCACCATCTCATTCTTTAGAAAACTCTTACTTTTTATGTGTGCCCCGGTATTCAAGAAAAACACTAGTGGGTGGTCATTGTTCTCCAAAATGGTTTCCACTGAATCTGACAAAGAAACGAGGATCATCAATGAGATGGGAGATGTTCATGTTATTCTTTGCTCATTCCATAAACGTTTTAGAAAAAATGAAGCAAAATTTGATGTACAAATAGTGAAGAGGAGATTAGGGGAATTAGAGGTGAACATTAGAGAGTTGGAGGTGGGATTAGATTACCTCTTTAGGTGTTTGATACAACAAAGAGTATCACTTCTTAATCTTCTCACACCCTGAAGATTTTGAGTTTTTGTACATCTGTAGCATAATGTGAGGTCGTATTTTTTGCAGCCTGAAATTTTCTTTTCTAATATAGGAGTTTTTTTGTCATATTATAAATCATAACGCAACAAGTTAAATTTCTTCAGGGTAAGAATAATAATAAATAAAACCATAATAAAAACCATCGTATAATCTTAGTAAAGTCTTCTATAAAGCAATACTTTCAAAATTCAGTATTTGATTATACTTTTATTTATTTTTTTAAATTAAAATTTTTTTTAATATTTTTCAAAAAAGAAAAAAATATTTTTGTACTATAAATATTATTGGTATTATTTTTTAATTTAAATTAGAGGCCTTGATTATCGACATAATAAAATATTAACGATCAACACACTAGTGTTAAAAGTTGATATACACTACGTTAAACTCTAATTTTAATTAAAGAACAATACCACAATAATATTGCACTTAAGTTTTGTTATTTTAAAAAGATACTTGCTTTGGTTCATTTGAATTATAAGAAAATTTGGAACATTTTATAAGTTGGTCAATAAATTTTAGACATATGTATGGTGTTTTTTTCACCTTGTTTATCATTCAATTTTATTTTTATTTAAAATAAAATTTTAATTTATGAAATTTCTTTTAAAAAGGCTCATAGTTTATTGTATAATTTTGAAATGTTTGAACCTATGCTTGCAAAATCATTCCTTCTTTACAAAGAAAGTGTCGCCGGAAACTGAAAGACATTATTATTAGAGATTTGTTACCATTAATGACCACTCAAATTTTAAAGAAGGGGTTGGGACTCACTGTATCTGTGCCCATTAATGCTATCGATTTCGAATCAGTTAACTAATTAATAACAAAAATATTTGATTTAGGTGTTCCTTTCTTCAAATGATGGAAGGAAGGCAAGAACACAACAAACGACAACACGAAATAGAATTTTACTAAATGCATGTCTGGTTCTGTTGTAAAAAATAGTAGACACGTGTTTAATTTGGTTAATTTTCTGACGCTCCATTTGAAAAGCTTAATATTTGCCAAACAATCAAATAGAGTTATACTATAATTATATAAGCTTTAGAGGGTTATTTTTAAATATAAAAAATAAAGCAATAATTTTATATAACTCACTTTTACTATTATGAATCTCTTTCATTTAATTTTCAGAATCTCAATTAAACAAGTTATAAGTGTATATAAATCCAGCAAAAAAGGGAAAATGAATTGACGATTGGAGCAAAAAATATTATTAAAAAAAAAAAAGGGTTTCCCTGGGTTGGAATTGAAGTTCCCGCGTGGGAGTGATTTAAAATTGCCCTTTTCTCATTCTCGTATTCGTTTCGCATTCTCTTGTCTTCTCTTCCAACGAAAGCAGCGACAACATGGGAAAACGCGCAACGCCACAACCATCCAATTCTCAAGACGACACCGTTTCGCTGCTTCCCTCTCAACGCAAGAAGCCCAACCGCTCTACTCCTAACCTCGACGTTTGCTTCGTCGGAAAGCCCATTCCAGCCACCGACGCCCGCGCCAAATGGCCCCACCGATACTCCTCTAAGGTTTTCTCCTTCTCATTCCTCTTCCTTCAAATCTCTTTATTGTTTCTTTCGCTCATTTTCTTCATGCCTCGATAACCAGGGCGGAAAGAAAGCTTCGGCTGGAAGCTCAAAAGAGTGAGTCTTGTTTTTCTCTCTTTTCTTCTACTCGATCTACACGTTTCGTATGTGTATTTATAAGTGTATACTGTGTAGGGATACTAGCGAAAACAGTGGGGATTTGTTGGCTCGATGTCATTTCTACCAAGCCAAAGTGGATGGGATAGTCTATAAACTCTACGATGATGCTTATGTCAAGGTATTCGGATTTCGGCGTTGGAATCGCATATTCCGTTTTGGTGAAAGCAGAACACGTTTGACATTTATCTGTTATGTTGGTTTTTTCAGGCTGAAGATGATAAACCTGATTATATTGCGCGTATTGTTGAAATGTTTGAAACTGTTGATAATGAGAAATATTTCACAGCACAGTGGTTTTACAGAGCGGAGGATACTGTGAGGCTAATTTTTCAGTGGCTTTTGTTTTTTCTCTTAATTGTTTTGGTTATTCATTTTCGGTTTTTGAATTTGTGCAGGTTATCAAAGATCATAGTGATCTCATTGACCAAAAACGAGTATTTATATCTGATGTCAGAGATCAAAACCCACTTGACTGCATTGTTTCTAAAATAAAAATTGTTCAAATCAGCCCAGATGTACGTGCTTCATAATTTATCAATTTCTTTTAGGGATGTTTGAAAGGGCTCATAGAAGTAGCTTATAACCGTTATATTAGTTTTTAAAAAAACTTATTTTAAGAGGCTTCACAGTGAAGTTGATGGGTAAGGTCTGTCATCTGATAATACCCTATTAAATGAGTATTTATTTAAATTGTTTGTCTTGATCAATTTCATAACTTCTTTATAATGTGGTTGAATCAGTTTGCGTTTTGCATACTGTAGGTGGACTTGACTATGAAGAAGCGAAAAATTCTTTCTTGCGATCACTATTATGATATGAAGTACACTGTTTCATACGTAACCTTTTCAAACCTTGACAATGGTAAGAATTTGCATTCTGATGGGATGATGATTTGTATAAAATTATTATGACTCATGGTCATTATTACTTTTGTACTACCTTGCTGAATTCTGGCATTCATGTAGTTTCCTCTGATAATGCAGAAACAGCTAGAACAGAAAGTGATGCAACTTCAACAATTTCAAGCGAATCTGGATCTCATGGCTGTGTTGACGATGTTAATACAGTTAATGAAAAGACTATTCAAAATAATAGTTCTGTTTCGTCTCAGTGGACTTTATTAGATTTGTATTCTGGATGTGGGGCAATGTCTACTGGTCTTTGCTTGGGTGCTTCTATAGCTGGCATCAAACTTGTCACTGTAAGTAGAGTAGTTTAACTTGACCAATCTGATTTATTTTAACTGTTCTTTTAAGCAATTTATAATGCTTTTGTATTTGATTTCAAAGAGGTGGGCTGTTGACATAAACACACATGCAAGTAAAAGTCTAAAGTTAAATCACCCTGAAACTCAGGTAAGTTTTATTGGCATATTGTAAGAACGCTTGATATCTTTATTCCTGTACTGATATTGTTTCCCAAATGAAAATCAGGTGAGAAATGAGCCAGCAGAAGATTTCTTAAATCTAATAAAAGCTTGGGCTAAACTTTGTGAGGAGTTTTCATTGTTAGGATCAGAAAGATCAGATTCTGATTTTGACGTGGATGAGGATGATGTTGATAATGTGAATAATGAAGTTTCAGTAAATCAGTCTGACTCTGGGGAATTTGAGGTGGAAAAGTTACTTGCCGTTTGCTATGGAGATCCCAACAATGTCAATAAACCAGGACTATATTTTAAAGTATGTTGGCTTTAACCCTGCACAATGCTTTAATTCTTTTACATATGCAGTTTAATGAATTTATTTGGATTGGCTTATTCATCTGAGAGTTCTTTGTTCGACCTTCTGAACCTTCAAAAATTTTATAGTTGTCTAGTTTTCCGGTAAACAAATTCAAGTTTGAGAATAAATTAGGTTAGCAGTTGTTACACAACATGCATGTACAATGCAATGAAATAATCATAAAATATCTGGCGTTGATATATTCATATTTTGAAGGGTTGTTATATGATGAAAATCATGATATAAATCCTTTTATCAAAGGATACTAAAATTATCTCTTTATTTATTTAAATATAAGTTCTTAAATAGTGTCATAAATATAATTATTTTATTTTAGGTGATATGACATGTGGATAACTTATTTTACAGATATGGGACATGAATATGATGAAAAGTTTTAAAGAAAAAAATTTGGGTATCAATATTTAAAATGCTTAAGAATATAGTTATTGTTAGTGGCGGAACTAGACCAATTTAATTGGAGAGGCTAAATATGTAAAACGCTAAGAGAGAGAGAGAGAGAGAGAGAGACCTAATTTATCTGTTGCTGTTGTAAAACTTTATATATATTGGATGATAATTACTTTATATATTCGAAGTTCCAAAATTTTATTTTATATTTAGGGTGTTAATTTAAATGAAAAAAAAAAAAACCAAAGTATTAAGATGTTCCTCGTTTATTAGGAATATTCTGTGGATGCTTATAAATCATACAATTCATATATTAGAACAAGTTTGCGTAATTCGAAGAGTATTTTTATTGGAACAATATTAGTCCAACTAAAACATACAAGTTACACTACAATGCACGTATAATGTACACATGGAAACTACTATCTCATATGATCATATGAGATTTGGTCTGTAAAATAATTTGAAGTCAAAAGTCGTGTATTGTAACACCTTATTAAGTTTTTCTTTTCTTTATATAACATTTTTTTATCGTTATTATATGGTAAAATTTTGTAAAATGTATAACTTATAAATACTGATAGATGTATCACATGAGATAATAAAATATTAAATCAATTTTAGTGATTTATTTTGCTATATAAAAAATTAAAAATAATTTTACATATAAAATAAAGAACAAAAAATTGGGGTGGGTGTGCTTGAATATAAGATAGCTTCCCCCTGGTTATCCTCATTTTTTAAATCATAATTAACGAAATGCAATTTTTTGCAATAACTATTCTAACAATTAAGTTCATATATTGCTTTAACTTTGATACTTTCATTGGCTTAGTCATCTTATATGCTGAGATGCCAAGAACATCTTGAGTTGCTGACTCAACAAATATTTGTCAAAGAAGGTGACTTGCCTTTATGTTTTGTCAGCTAGTCCCAGTGTCATTGATTTGATTTTATCGATTTATTGTTTATGTAGTCTCTTTTAATTATCCGGTGCAATGAAAAATTCAGTTAATAATCAATCTTTCTGCTGTTAAAATGACGACTTAGGTGCGTTGGAAGGGTTACGATTCCAGTGAGGACACATGGGAGCCAATAGAAGGCTTGAGGTTTCCCCTTGTCATTGAAACTTCGATTATTGTTCTGCATAACTTCGCTTTATGAAAATTTGATCTCTGCAAGATTCTGACTGTAATTTTTTTGTACCAGCGATTGCAAGGAAGTTTTGAATGATTTTGTGAAAAATGGATACAAGAAGAAGTTATTGCCTCTTCCTGTGGGTATCTCCATTCCTGGATACCATTAAATTCTTGGATGACACGGAAGCACTTGGTTCACTAATAATGATTTACAATTGATTTTGTCCTAAATGCTTGTGCAGGGCGATGCTGATTTTATTTGTGGAGGACCCCCATGTCAAGGGGTTAGCGGTTTCAACCGCTTCAGGAACGAACAAGCTCCATTAGAGGATATAAAAAATCGGCAGTTGATTGTTTACATGGATATTATTGATTTTCTGAAGCCAAAATATGTTCTCATGGAGAATGTCGTTGATCTTTTGAAGTTTGCTGGTGGTTTTCTGGGGCGTTATGCCATAGGTCGTCTTGTGGCCATGAATTATCAAGCAAGAATGGGCATGATGGCAGCAGGGTCTTATGGTCTTCCACAATTTCGCATGCGAGTTTTTCTTTGGGGAGCACGTCCCACCGAGGTAAAGTTATTATATATGCTTCTAGAATTTCTTTTTTCTTTTGACTATATATGTGAATGTTTTAAATGAAAAAGTTATTGATTTAACTACATTTTTTACTGGATAGAAATTGCCTCCATATCCGTTACCAACGCATGAGGTGGTATCAAGAGGTTTTGTACCAACTGAGTTTGAAGTAAGGACTAAGGACTAATAGATTCATGCATGTTCCCTTCATTTTCTTCTACTAGCAATGTCTGAATCTGATCGGTCATGTTACAGGAAATTACAGTTGCTTATGACAATAAAGAAACTTGTCAGTTGGCTGATGCCCTTTTTCTTGAGGATGCAATATCTGATCTGCCTTCTGTATGTTTATTTTGCTCACAAATACATGTTAACTAAGGGAATTAAAATTAAATTATGGTTTTGATGCCATTTCTTGCCTTGGAATTTTTATTTTTTCCATCAATTAGGTAACAAATGATGAGAGCCGGGATGAAAGGAACTATGGGACTGCTCCTCGTACCGAGTTTCAAAAATATATTAGATTGAAGAAAAACGGTTTGTTTTTATATTTGCCTTTTCGTTTGAGCATGCTTCTGTTGTTTATGCTTCGCTGAAAGTCTTTGCCTTTCTCTCTGAGTGGGAAACTAGATGTCTAAGAATTACCTTTGCCGTGCTCTGCATTGCTTCTGCTATAACTAGAATTTTGTTGTGGTAGTTGACTGTAGTTTAATGGTGTAAGAATATGTCACATCACGTCCACGCATTAAGTACATAATATTAGCGTACAGGAATTATTGCCTGATTATACGTTCTCTATTTTCAGAGATGGTGGGTAATATGGCTGCTGCTCAAAGCATATCACGTAGAATACTGTATGATCACCGTCCTCTGCAATTGAACAAAGATGATTATGACAGAGTTTGCCAGATTCCTAAGAAGAAGGTTTCGTAACTTGACCTTACGTGCTATCAGAACATTCTTGTTTCTCCTGTTAAAATATAGATGGTGCCTGCTTACTTTTGTTAGGGCGCAAACTTCAGAGATTTACCAGGTGTACTTGTGAAAGACAACAAAGTGGAATGGGATCCATCGGTTGAAAGAGTGATGTTAGACTCGGGGAAGCCTTTGGTATTAGTCTTTCTCACCTTTTCTTAGGGACATTTATTTTGACCCTAGTCCTTTGTTGAATATCAGAACATTTTTCTCTAATCTATATTTATGTTATGGTCTTGCATAGGTTCCTGATTATGCTATGACATTTGTTCGCGGGACCTCCTCGAAGTAAGTATATGATTTCTGTTATGTCTTTGGTCGTCTCTTAAAATTCCTAAGGTAACTAATTGGAAAAAACAGGCCTTTCGGTCGTTTGTGGTGGGATGAAATTGTGGCAACAGTTGTGACAAGGGCTGAGCCTCACAACCAGGTTATTATTTTCGCTGTGTGCATGATTTGATTTGCATTGAAGTACATTATTTACGAAAGTGCTTTATGTATGCGTTTTTCATTTAAACTCGTCATGTTAGTTGTTTGGTATGGATGAGAGTAGTAGCTTGCTCTTGGTCGTGTTCTTTTGCGTGTATCATTATGCATTGACTCAATCAAAAGGTTATTTTATCGTAGGTCATTCTCCACCCAACACAAAACCGAGTACTTACAATTCGAGAGAATGCGAGATTGCAGGGGTTTCCTGATTGCTATAAACTTTGTGGACCTGTCAAGGAAAGGTATGTTTAATAGGGTTCAGAATCAATTCTCAGTAAAAGTAAATGTAAATGATACTGGCCCAATTTGTTTGAAAAATTAAACCTAGCACAACCTTTAGTATTTTTTCAAAAATATTGTTATAGTTTATCACTTAAATCTTTTTATTTTCTTAATCTTTCATTATCACCTTCATTATCGCTAAACCTATATTAAACTTTTTCTGCACTCAATGGTTCTATCTTTACCAAAGGTACATACAAGTTGGAAATGCTGTTGCTGTTCCTGTTGCGCTGGCGCTGGGATACACATTTGGTTTGGCCTGCCAAGGATTGTCTGATGACAAGCCTTTGACAACAGTCCCTTTCAAGTTTCCAAGTTGTCTTGCCCATTCATCTTTAATTCAAACTGAGAATGATGATTCAAGTTGATATTGTTCCCACACAATGCCTTTCTCGCTGCCATTGCCTTGTTAAACAATAGCATTTCAATTCAATGTTTTCATTTTAAGGTAATAGTGGCCGAAGAAGGTATGCACGATTGTATGTACACTAGTGACATTGTTTACAACGATATAAAAATTTCTTTGGAAACGATTTTGCGCACTTTGAGTTGTTTTTAGGAACAAAATGTATTTTAGAATTACTGGCACGGAAACATTTAACTGATTTCAGCAGTTTTGTATCAATGTCAACGGAGTTTCATTACTTTGATTTTAGTTTTTCTGACCAAACTTAATAATAATTGTGGTTTTGTGCTTTTGTTTAGTGAGATCGAGATTTGAGGGTTTGAGCTTGAAAAAAGAACATGAAAACAATTTTAAAAATGGGTATCCTGTAGTATCGTCTAAAGTTCAAGACTTATCTAAATTGGAGATGGTAAATAACAAGGTTAAGATCTTGATTACATACTACATGGTTAGAACATATTCGCATTTTTACAAACTTGATTAATTTTAAATTTGTAATTCAGATGAAAAATGTAAAGTGTGCTCTTTTGAGGTTTTTCAAGTCAATATTTGTCAATAGTTCAAGTATTATTCTTTCAAGTTCTAAATTCTATGCTAATTTAAGCCTTCAAAAACTCCTTGGACCTATTCTATACATGCATGACAGCATGAATCACTAACAAAATAAGAACGGCAGAAACTATTAGCTACTATCTTTTTATTATAAACTGACAATATAGTGAAACGTTTTGACTAGAGTATGGTTAATTCATACAAATAAAGTTATACATTGGACAATGGATAGAAGCAGTTATTTTCATGGTTTGGATTTTTTTTTTTAGTTTTTATTTATTAATAAATTACTATTTTAAAATCTATTTATTATGACACAACTTTAATTTAATTTTAAAATTAGATTAAGTAGTAGTTCAAAAATTGAAATAAATTTGTTGAAAATTTTAAAAATAAAGATAAAGATGTATTGACTTAAAGGATAGAATTATTAAAATAAATAAATTATTCATAGGGGGAAAAAAGTAGAGATACTTAATTGAAAAAATAAGAGTTTATAGCAGTTAAAAATATCATGTATTTATACAATGTTATGCTAAAGTTCAGTAAAAATAATTTTTACATAAAAATATAATAAATGTTTTATAAATATATTATAAGTTCAATTCAATTTTAATAATGAGAATTAAGAATTAAATTGAATGTCAACATAAAGTAATTTTTTATTTTTAGTTTGATCTATTTTTAATTTTTATAATAAATTTAGCAATTTAAAAACAATATAATTGAATTATAAAAATATTTTACAAACAATTTTTAAAAAAATGCCATGACTTTCATTATTGTTTTCCCACAATTCTATCGTAATAGATTTTTGCTTATTATAACAAAACTTGCGGAATTCTGCTGGAAAATGTGCTAATGATTATAATTTATCCTTACATCTAAAAATGAATCTTTTATTTTTATATTTTTATATTAATTTTTATAATTTATCTTTATTTTCTTTATCACATCGTTGTTTTATCTTATATTTTTCTCTTCCTCTTCCCATGTCTTTTCTAATTATAATAATTAAAGAAAACATAAATAGAAAAAATTTCCTCTATAAATTTGTATTTATAAATGAAAACATTTTTAATAATTATTATAGTTTCCTTAGGCCATGTGGCATTTTTTCCATTAAATATCTCAAAACCCTCTTTGGATGCATTATATTTGGTGTTTCCCTTTAACCCTTATGGATTCAACAATGTCATGCTCTGTATACAACAGGCCTACCATACCAATGCATTGGACTGAACATATTACAGAACAGTACCAAGTTACAACTATTTAATTTTCTCACATATCATTTTTACTTTATTTTAATTTTTTTTATCACATATTCATCATATTTTTATTTTATTTCCCTTCTTTATACTTATTTCACAGCCATTAAAAAAAATGAGAAAATCATTATTCGTCAAATTATTGTTACTCACGAAGTATAGATATAGAACATGCTGGCATGGCATAACGTGCATCCTTTCATTAAAAAGAGAAAAAAAAGGTTTTAGTACTTGAAAGATGCAAATTTTTTTATTTAATATGAATTTATTATCGCTTAATTTAAATATCTTACTTAGCTACTTTAGTTCAAAATAAGCATTTAAGACAAGAAAATTGTACGAAAAGTATGATTTTTTTTTTAATGCGAACCATTAATGTTATGTGAAACAGATATAAGGAGTAAAATTAATTTTTTGATTGGTAAAACTTAAAATGGATATATAATTACACTTTTTTTCATAAAACTGGTAAAAGATATTATTTCTTTAACATAAATCAAACTTAATATGAAATGAGATTAGTTAACTCTTTTATAAAATTTATAAAATTAACTGTAAATAACTAAATTAAGAAATGCATGTATTGCAACGACAAAAATAATATATATTTTTTTATAAATCAAACAATTAGTAAGAGCGGCTTAAATAAAATTTTTTATTTTAATTTTTTTATGATATGGTAAAAGTGAAAAAAAAAACTTTGAGATGTAATTATTTATACAAGCAACAATTTTATTTTAATATGTGAGATATTTGATAGAAAGATGTGGAATTTTAACTGTAACAAGTTCCTTACTCATAAGCTACCATCTGTCAGAGAATATGAATCTTAGGTACATTGCTCTTTAAACATAATGTTTATTTTTTGGTCAATTGAACATAATGTTATTTATGCTGCAAATGCATGCAGAAGCACCCAACAAAAAGAATCAACTTTTTCTTGTCCAATCAACATGTGATTCCTAAGTTTGCCCCTCTTTCTGGGCACCTCTTTATACAAACCCCCCACCAAACCCAAAGTACCAGAAATTATACAAAGTTCTAAGCATTTATTAGTTTTTATAACACGTGCCCTCTCATACATAATATGTTTTTATTAAAAATAATAACATATTATTGAATTTAATATTTTAATAATATTAAATATTATAACTTCTAATAAAAATTTATTACTTGTAAATTTTTCAGCATATGTCCTCTAACACATGTTTAACAAAATTGATTTTTACATTTCTAAAATTTTGTTAACTTCAATTCTTAGGGCTGAATTTAAATATTAAATAATTTTTTTATAGAAAAATACATATTTATTATATTAAATTTATAAAAGTATAATAAATACTTTCTTTCTTTTTAATAAAATTTTATTATTGTCAAAACTCAATTTTTCAAGGGTACTAGAAATTTCATGGTTAATTAAATCCATCAATTACTACTTTTTGAAGGAGGGCATGAATTGACAACATAAGCTGATAGAAGAATATACATTAAATAATAATACACATGATAATTTATATCATTGAATAATGGTTGACAAGATGGAATTATTGATGCCTAACATCAGCAAGCAATTCTCTGTATCCGTTGTAATTATGTTATCATTGTGTTTATACGTTGCTCATCTCATGACCATGAAATTAATGAAATCACTAGAGCTACCGAATTGCTGACCTAAAGTGTCAGAAAGTCATATGATACTTAGAGTGACCCACATTGCCATCACATGTACACATCACACACCCAAATAGTTCATGTTCATAAATATGGTACCAAGTTAGGTTCTCCAAACCATGTTCCTATATAATCAGATTGAATGAAGAATAGTTGTCAATCAAGCATCCTTGTGTTAGGAACACCATTCTAGCTAACAAATAAGAAAAGATGGAACCCATTTCTAAATTTCCCTATGCACATCAACCCATAAGATCCAATAGTTTTTCCAGTAGAGTACACCCTGCTTCTGAAAGAGTTGAAGCACTTCTAAACCACCTTAAACCTCATCATTCTCAACATGTCTCAAGTACTATTTGTTTGGAAGCTGAGACAGTTCAGAATGACTTAGTTATGCTTGCAGAGGTATACAATTGCATGGAGGAACTCTTCCACTCTCCACAGACCCAACAAACCCTTCTTCGCTACCAAGATGGGAAACTAGTAGAAGAAGCATTGAGTGACTCAGTCACATTGCTAGACACATGTGGGTGTGCAAGGGACTTATTGTTGGATCTCAAGGAACACATGCAAACCCTTCATTCAGCCATACGTAGAAGAAGAGGGGATTCAAGCATTGAAAGCAGCATTTCTGCTTATGATAGCTTCAGGAGGAAGGCAAAGAAATTAATTGCAAAACAACTTGGTCAGCTGAAGAAAATGCAAAACAAAGTTAATTCATTTTCTCTTGTGGATCAAGATCAGCAGTTAACTTTTTTGGCTAGAGTTCTAAGAGAAGCAAGCACCATCACCATCTCTATATCACGTTGTTTATTAGTATTCTTGTCTATGCCAACACTTGGAACAAAAGGGTCCTCTTTGATCTCAAAATTGAAGCCCATGGTATTGTTTTCTTCCCAGAAAGAACACAAGAACACCAACGGGGTTGCAGATCTCAGCAATGCTCTTAGCTCCCTACTTGGAAGAGAGAAAAACCGTGATTGCAATGGTGAATTTCAAAGGGCATTAAGAGTGTTAGAGACACTAAATGTTAATATTGATGGTTTGGAGGGTGGGTTAGATTGCATATATAGATGTTTAGTGAAAAATAGAGTGTCGTTTCTGAATATGCTTACTCAGTAGCTTATTGATGAATGGAGTGAAAATCAGTATCCTTTGTAAATGTAAGAATGATCATGTAATCCGCATTTTAATGGGTTTGCTCTCCGCAAATCAATACACATTTGAACGAGAGCATCATGGTTGATTCAAAATTTTATCAAGTTTTCTCAACATTTCCCTATTCTACAGTTCATTGTTTTCATTTCTTTTTTGAAAACCGGCAATTGAAAACCCTCAGACAAACTATAGTTGACTTTCAAGATTTATTTATTTTAATTATTTATGATTTGGTTAACATTTTATCTACTGAACAGTTAATCAGACATCTTCCACAAAGGTGGAATCTACCGATACTAGTTACAGGTTTGACCAGGTATCAGTAAAACACAAGTAATTGATTGAATTTATACACCACTAAAGAATACAATGATCATTTCAATATAATGTTTATCACTGAATGAAATAAATTTTTGTTAATTAACTTATAAAAGTTTCAACAGAAACAACACTTCTTAGGAATAAAATGTATGAATTTTTGCAATGTGAGTTGATTAAACCGCCTGAATAGATTCATATCACTTATCAAATGTAGGCTTGAATCCCAAGGTGTTTCTCTTGATGAACCTCTGTTCATTCCTCCGAGATTAAAACCTTCTCACCGGTGTATTAATAAGTAATCTTGAAGATTAGATAAACTTTTTAATAAATACTTATATAAATAAAAAATGGAGTAAAAAAATGAATTAAACCCCCTCCGTAAATTAAAATCAACTTATGATTTATTATTTTTTTAGAAACTTTTTCATTTAACTTACTGAAAATTTGAAAAAATAAATTATTTTTAATAACAATTTTATTAATTTTTTAAACTTTAAAATCTATTCAAACTGAGCCAAAGTTTGTTTATTTTACGGTCAAGTATAAATAAATCATTTAGGATTAACTTAAACTGTCGATTTTAACTATAAATTTAGAAGGAATTATTTTCATGATTTTGGCAAACAGGAAATATGCAAAGAAGAAGGAGCACTTTCCTAAATCCACCACTATTGATGGGCCTTGGCTCCATATTTCACCAAAACTAATGACTCCACCGCTTCAACAGAAGAGACTGTTCTAGGTCCACTGGTATTTCATTGGGCCTTCTTCTTTTGTGACGTTAACAGAGGCCTCATATGCAGAGCCCAAAAAATAACAAGTTATCGACAATGTGTCTTTCTCTGTTTATTTGTTATGCACCATTCAAACTATATTTCATCCTTTTTTAAACAGTATTAACGCATTAAAAATTTATATATTCTTTTCCTCATTTATTGTTGTGTGTTATTGTTGAGTTCAATCTCGGTGTCTAAAACTGCTGAACTCTTCAATATATGTTATTAATACAATATATTTTATTTTAAATAAAAAGTTAAATAAATGAATGGTAAGATAAACATAATTGATAGTGTCTAATTTTTTTAACACTTGCACATATTCATCTCTTATATTATTTATCACATCTTTTATTTATTTGTTCTCTTTCTATTTCACACTGAATATATATTGGTCTCTTTCCCTTTGTATTATAGACAGTAACAGTGAAAAAAGATAACAAGGGGAATTGAACTGAGGAATATGACCAAGAAGCGACATAGACAAATGGTAAACAGAAATGATGTCTGCACAGAATCCCTTGTGAACCTTATTACCGTTGATTTCAAGAATTGCACATTTGTGATATTTTCATGATCTTAGTTTTCCCTCTCCCGCACTTGATAATAACATTGCCATTGACAGACATAATGTGACCGTAGGATATTTGTCCTTTTATATGTACGTACCACAACATTTAACATGAAAATCAAATGAAACGATATAATTCTTCTTTGGTTTAAAACATAACGAAATAATAAGAGTTGGTAAAATCAACAAGGGAGACATGTGTTACATGCATTCCTGCACACGCTAAATCTCATACCCCACATCATTTTGTTCCCGATATTAGTTATCAATTCATGTATAACTCAAATTTTGTCCATTTGTCATATCCCACAAGATCCGTATCTCATGCTTCCAAAAGCCATTTAATACATCATTTTGCAGTTGTAGCTCCATGACATTGAGACAAACCTGGCAGTGGAAATCTCTTAGGTTGAAACAACAACATTTTTATACTGAAATCAAGAGGGTAATGTGGCAGAAAAGGAGGCAAACTAGATGATGACTAATGAGGTTTTCTAATTGCCAACACTCGGAGGACAAGCCAGTTATACACCTCAAACCCATTTCAATATCATCGCTGCCAATATTATATCACAAATAATAGAGCACAATGTTTGGCAGAGATGTGACAAGTTTACCAAATTCCAAGGAAACACATGCGGGTACCACATGCTTACCTTGGTTATGAGAGCCTAGCTGTGATGCTTATTTTGTTGCCCAAGAGAAATGAATCACTGAATTGCACCCATATATATAGAGTCAAGGACTTGGTAAGAACACACAAACATTGAGCTTCTTCTGGAAAATATAACCAAAAAAAAAAAAAAAAAGACTAATCATGGCAAACAAGTTCCATGTTCGCTCAAATAGTTTTCCTTGTGGATCTCATCCTAGCACCGTTAGAGTAGAGGAGGAGCTAACCAAGCTCAAAACATGGGAAGCCACATCCACATCCACATCAAAGTCAATTTCAACAGGCTTGTCCTTGCTTGAAGATTTGTATATTTGCATGGAAGATCTTCTTAATGTGGCATCAACCCAAAAGGTTATTTCCCACCATCAAGGTGAGAAATGCGTGGAAGAACTGTTGGATGGTTCCGTGAGAATTTTGGATATCTGTGGCATCACAAGGGATGTGATGTTACAAATCAAGGAAAATGTTCAAGCTCTTCATTCTTCCCTTCGAAGGAGAAAGGGGGATTCAAGTACTGAAAGAAGTGTAGCTGAATATAATTTGTTCTCAAAAAAGATGAAAAAGAATGCCAAGAAGTTGATCACATCTTTGAAGCAGATGGATAGCAAATTTGGAGTATCCCCACTCTTGAATCAAGATCAGCAACTTGCTTCTTTGGTTAAAGTGCTTAAGGAAGTGATTGTAATAAACATGGCTATCTTCCAATCCCTTTTAGCTTTCCTGGCCGTGCCTCCTTCAAAGTCAAAGGCAACAAAATGGTCGTTAGTGACAAAGTTAATGCATAAGGGGGTGACATCATGTGAAGAAAACCAAGAAAGCTTCAACGAGGTCCAGAGTGTGGAAGCATCTCTAAGCACCCTTTTAAGTGAAGGTACAAATGTTGCGAAGATTCAGGTTGCACATGAAAGATTGGAAGCTTTGGAGAATGCCATTGAAAGCATAGAGAATGGTTTGGAGAGCTTATTTAGACTCATAGTAAAAATGAGAGCCAACCTTTTGAACATAATGACTCAATAGTGTGTGCTCAATCATGATTCTCTCTCCAAATCCTTCAAAGCGTCCAAATTTTAGGGATACGCTGAGGATTGAAATTTTTTGCCTCATAAATTTGTAGATGTGTATACACAATTCAATACTTATACTATCAAATACAACAAAATGTTTATAATCTATATTTGGGAATATTTTGTTTTAAAATATTTTGAAGACCAACAACTAAAAGACTTCTCCCAAATAAACTTGCTGGTACTTAAGATTTATTTATTTTAATAATTGTTTAAAATTTTATCTACTTAAACAGTCAATCATCCATCTTCCAGAAAGGTGGAATCTGTCAATACTAGTTATAGTTTTAACTAAATATCATAAAAAGTAAGTAATAGATTAGACTGAGAAATTATTAACAAAAAACAATAATAATTTAATATAATTTTTGTTGCTAAATTAAATACTCTGTTGTTAATTTGTTTTATAAATTAACGTAAATTTAATTAAAGATGCAAGTGCAATGAATCTATCACAAAAAGGGCCTTGGCACCTTTTTCATATAAAACAATGAATCTTTCTATTAGTTTTTATGGACGGGACTTGGGAGGATTGGAACCCCAAAATCAGATAGGCGTCCTTTTCCTTGTCATTTGCGTCTTTCAGCAAATTACAATTAATTTTGATTGAGATTAATAGTAATTAGAACCGAATTTAAGGAGTATTTATAAACAAATATTTATAATTGAAATATAATTTTAGTAATTTTTTATATTAATTTTTAGTAAAAAAAATATTTTTGTTGATTTCTTATCTTATATCCTTAAACATATATTAAAAAATTATAAATAAATTTAAGTATAAATATATTTATTTATAAAAATTTATAGGGATAAGTAGAAGTACGCACACTTTACTATCCAACATCGGTTCAATACCTACATATTATTTAATATATGAAATTTAAAATAAAATATTGATGTTATAAAATCACTTTGTACAACTAACTACATAACAGTAAGAGGTCTATGACTAAGCAGCGAAAGTACCACATGCATAGTAAACAGAAGTGATGTCCGCACAGAAAACCTTAATCACTGTAATGTTTATGTAATCATATTTTTTTCTCCTAAGATAAACATAATGGAACCAAAGGATATGCGTCCTTTTCTATGTACCACTAAATTTCTCAAGAAAACAAAATAAAGGAATAAGATTCTTCATATTGGCTTAAACATAATATTGAAACAATTTGATGAAATCAACGTGGGAGACATATGGGTTACAAGCCACTCGTGCACACGCGAAATAACTAATCATTTTGTTCTCGTAATTGTTACCAAAATCATATATAACTCAAATTGTTGTCCATTTATCATATTCTGCAAGATCTATTACACTAATTTACAGTTCTAGCTCCTTGACATTGAGACAAGCAAGGCAGTGGTTGAAACAGCACTACTTTTATATTTGAAATCAAGAGGGTAATGTGGCAGCAAAGGAGGCAAACCAGTTGATGACTAATGAGGTTTTCTGATTACCAACACTCGGAGGACATGCCAGTTATGCACCTCAAAACCCATTTAAGAACCATTGTGGCCTGTATTATATCACAAATAATAGTTCACAATGTTTGGTAGAGATGTGACAAGTTTACCAAATTCGTAGGAAGCACATGCGGGTACCACATGCTCACCTTCATTGGTTATGAGAACTTAGCTGTAATGCCTATTTTGTTGCCCAAGAGAAATGAATCATTGAATTGCTCCCATATATATATAGAGGCAAGGACTTGGTTAGAACACAAACTAAAACATTGAGCTTCTTCTGAAAAGCAAAACCAAAACAAACACAAAAAAGATTAATCATGGCAAACAAGTTCCACGTTCGCTCAAATAGTTTTCCTTGTGGATCTCATCCTAGCACCGTTAGAGTAGAGGAGGAGCTCACCAAGCTCAAAACATGGGAAGCCACATCCACATCCACATTAAAGTCAATTGCCGCAGGCTTTTCCTTGCTTGAAGATTTGTATATTTGCATGGAAGATCTTCTTAATGTGGCATCAACCCAAAAGGTTATTTCCCAACATCAAGGTGAGAAATGCGTGGAAGAACTGTTGGATGGTTCCGTGAGAATTTTGGATATCTGTGGCATCACAAGGGATATCATGTCTCAAATTAAGGAAAATGTTCAAGCCCTTCATTCTTCTCTTCGAAGGAGAAAGGGGGATTCAAGTATTGAAAGAAGTGTAGCTGAATATAATTTGTTCTCAAAAAAGATGAAAAAGAATGCCAAGAAGTTGATCACATCTTTGAAGCAGATGGATAGCAAATTTGGAGTATCCCCACTCTTGAATCAAGATCAGCAACTTGCTTCTTTGGTTAAAGTGCTTAAGGAAGTGATTGTAATAAACATGGCTATCTTCCAATCCCTTTTAGCTTTCCTGGCCGTGCCTCCTTCAAAGTCAAAGGCACCCAAATGGTTTCTTTTTGCAAAATTAACGCATAAGGGGGTGATAGCATGTGAAGAGAGCCAAGAGAATTTCAATGAGTTGCAGTGTGTAGAAGCATCTTTAAGTACCCTCCTAAGTGAAGGTAACAATGGTGCAAAGATTCAGGCTGCACGTCAAAGATTAGAGGCTTTGGAGAATACCATTGAATGTCTAGAAAATGGTTTGGAGAGCGTATTTAGGCGTATGGTTAAAACGAGAGTCTTCCTTTTGAACATAATGACTCAATAGAGAGTGCTGACTCGTGATACTCTCTCCAAATCCTTCAAAGCATCCAAATTTTAAGGATCCGTTGAGGATTGAAAAATTTTGCCTCATAAATTTGTACATTTATACAATCCAATAAAACGAAATGTTTATAATTTATACAAATATTTCGGTGTACATATTCTGTTTTTTAGTCTCCTTTTGTCTGAACTATGAAGAACATACATTTACATTTATCATGTTTCTCTGCTAAACATTACAGTCACTAATATTGACTGGAGAATAATGTCTAATTAGCAAGTGGAGTAATTAATTTATCTTTAGCATTTTGAATTGAAAACTTAACAAAGAAATGATCAGTTCATGATTGTTTTTTACCATAGTTGTTTAAGGGAGCAAAAATTAATCCCAAGTAATCTACCAGTGGTCATGTAATCTGCATTTTAAAGATTTTAAATCTTATTTTATAAATAATTATAAATAAATTTTTGAGTTATGCATTCTAAATCGTTTTAAAATTATTGCTTATGAATTAAGTAACTAATTTGTTAATTGATAATTTTTATCAACTTAAATTTAATTAAAGTCCCGAGTACTATGATTGCTTCATAAGCTACAAACTACAGAGTATAACTTCAGCTAGTTTTTTTTAAAAAAAATTTCTACAGTATTGTGTTGTATTAAAGATCGGGTTTAAGCCATTAAAAATTGATTAGGCCTTAAGCTAATGTGATAGACACTGGAAGAAGATTTACAAAATTACTTGTAGCAATGGGAGTGGATTTAATAGTCTGCTAGACGCTTATGACTCAATCCGCATATAAAAAATATAATTAAATTCGAACTCGTGAGGATATCCATTTAGTTTGACTTGATTTTGACCCCCAAAAAATATGTTTTAACTATGCTTGAGCTTCAACTTTTTTTTTTTTTTGAAATATGTCAAAGCTTAAAGAAAGTACCTTCAGAAAAATATAGTTACAATATCCCAATGAGTATTAAATAATAATAATAATAATATGTTAAACAAAGTGAAAACTTGGCTCAAAGCAATCAAAGCTCCATTAAAATGAAGACTACAAACAAGGGGGAACGCCCCTCTTGCACACACCTCACCAATATAATGCTATAATTTGCGCATCATTTTGTCCATTGAATTGCAATCAACTTATCTGTCACTTCAATTATTGAACATTTTCTAGTATATCATAAAATCAAGATCTCAATCTTTATAATTCATTTTCCAGCTCCAGCTCTGAAGCAATCAACAGAACTAATTTTATAATTGAAATCAACAAGGTAATGTGGCATCAGAGGAGGCAAACTAATTGATGACTAATGAGGTTTTCTGATTACCAACACTTGGAGGACATGCCAGTTATGCACCTCAAACCCATGTTACTATAGTCTTGTTCTGCAAAGTATCACATGTAATCGCACAATGTTGGATAAAGGTGTGACACATGCTTGAATTTGTTGCTTGTTTTATTGGCCTATAGGAATAATCATCGTTAGTGAATTATGAATGACCCCTATATAAAGTGGGTCAAGGACTTGGTAATACATAGCGCACTAACATTGAACCTCTAGAAAAAGAACAAACAACAAAAGAGAAACCATGGCTAGCAAGTACCATGTTCGCTCAAATAGTTTGCCATCTGGATCTCATCCTTGTTGCATTAGAATAGAGGAGGAGCTAAGCAAAATGAAGACTTGGGAAGCCACATCCACGTCCACATCTGAGCCAATTAGCACTGGTTTGTCCTTGCTTGAAGATTTGTATATTTGCTTGGAAGATCTTCTCAACATGGCATCAACCCAAAAGATGATTTCTCACCATCAAAGTGAGAATTTCGTACAAGTTATTAGATGGCTCAGTCAGAGTTTTGGATATATGTGGCAAAACAAGGGACACCATGTTACAAATTAAGGAAAATGTTCAAGCCCTTCATTCTGCTCTTCGTAGGAGAAAAGGAGATTCATGTATTGAAAAAAGTGTAGCCGAATATAATTTCTTCACAAAAAAGATGAAGAAGAATGCTAAGAAGTTGATCACATGTTTAAAGCAGATGGAAAGTAAATCAAGATGAAGACCTTGTTGCTGTGATAAGAGTCCTTAGAGGGGTCATCTTATTGAACATGTCTATCTTCCAATTCTTTTTGACTTTCTTGGATATGCCTGCTTCAAAGTCAAAGGCATTTAAATGGTTGAGAGTGGCAAAGTTGATGCACAAGGGGGCAATATCATGTGAAGAGAAGCAAGAGAATTTCAATGAATTGCAGAGTGTGGAAGCATCTTTAAACACCCTTTTAATTGAAGGTGCTAATGTTGCGAAGATTCAGGCAGCACATGAAAGATTGGAGGCTTTTGAGAATGCCATTGAAAGCCTAGAAAATTGCTTGGAGAGTATATTTAGGCGCTTGGTCAGAACGAGGGCCAAGCTTTTGAACATTACGAATCAACATTAAGGATATACCAAGATTGAAAAATTTTGCCTCATTAACTTGTACATATGTGTATATAATTCATTAGTTATAGAATCAAATTTGAGAAGTTTAGATCTATAATTTGGTATCTTTTGTTGCAAGTCTCTCTTTCTCTGAAAGACCTTACGATGACATCTATCATGAACATTGTCTACTAAGCAATTGGAATAATTAATTTATCTATAGACTTTGAAGAGAAATTTAACATAAAACGATCAATTTATGATTTTTTGGCCAGAGTTGTAAGAGAAGCGTAAAGCAGTCCCAAGTAAATGTTACGAGTGATCATGCAATCTGCATTTTAAAAATCTTTTTTCTTCATTTTAGAAGTAACTAGAAAAATTATTTAAATACAATAAATTATATAATTAAAATTATATTACGATGTATTTTAAATTATTGATATAATAAAATTTTTACTGATAATTCACCAAAATTAAATTCTTATAAAAATATCATATTATATTTTATTTAAGTTTATTTATTAAAGGGTTTATATGAATTTATTTTGATTCTAGTAATGTTAAATTTTCTTAGAATAGCTAGTATCGAACAAGTTAACCATCCATCTAATTGTAATCCATAATTATGCAGCAAAATAGTTACAAAAACCTAAGCTGAGGCTGATTTTTCACAAAAAAATATAGCAATTCTTATTCTCACCAAATACAGGTGTTAATCCTACAAGGTTATAACAAGAACAGTATGCGTCGTCCTCTACGTACCCTTAGATTTTCCAAGGGAATCAAGGTAAAGAAAATGTCAAGATTCTTCATATTAGAACAAAATGAAAACTTTGGTAAAATTGAAAAGGAGACATGAAGAGTAGGTGAATGCCACTAGTGCAGGCCCAACTAACGAAATGCAAATTAATTTGCTCATCATTTTGTCCATTGAATTGTAATCAGCAACATATCTCTCACTTCAATCATTAAACATTTGCTATATCATAGGATCTGGATCTCACCCTTGCAAAATCAAATTTTGCAATTCTAGCTCCATCATATTGAGACAAACACTTAGAGGACATCTTTGAATCGATAAGCAAAACCAATTTTATATTTGAAATCAAGAGGGTATGTGGCAGCAGAGGAGGCAAACTGGTTGATGACTAATAACATTTTCTGATTACCAACACAGGACATGCCAGTTATACACCTCAGACACATTTTACTACCGTTGTGGCCTATTATTATATCTAAGTTATATAATAGTACACAATGTTTGGCAGAGATGTGACAATGTCACCAAATTCGTAAGAAAACCATGCGGGTACCACATGCTCACGTTAATTATGATAGTTAGTTGTGATGCCTATTGTGTTGGTCAATTAATAGGAATGAACTAATCATGAATTGCATCTACATATATATAGAGTCAAGGACTGGCCAAGAACACACAAAAATTGAGCTTCCATTAAAAAAAAAAGCAATATACAAAACCATGACAAACAAGTTCCATGTTCGCTCAAATAGTTTTCCATGTGGATCTCATCCTAGCACCATTAGAGTAGAGGAGGAGCTAACCAAGCTCAAAACTCGGGAAGCCACATCCACATCCACTCCAAATTCAATTGCCACAGGCTTGTCTTTTCTTGAAGATTTGTATATTTGCCTAGAAGATCATCTCAATGTGGCATCAACCCAAAAAGTGATTTTTCACCATCAAGGTGAGAACTTCGTAGAAGAGTTGTTGGATGGTTCAGTGAGAATTTTGGATATCTGTGGCAACACAAGGGACACCATGTTACAAATTAAGGAAAATGTTCAAGCCCATCATTCTACTCTTCGTAGGAGAAAAGGAGATTCATGTATTGAAAAAAGTGTAGCTGAATATAATTTCTTCACAAAAATGATGAAGAAGAATGTTACGAAATTGATCACATGTTTAAAGCAGATGGAAAGTAAATTTGGAGTATCTCCAATATTGAATCAAGATGAAGACCATGTTGCTGTGATAAGAGTTCTTAGGGAGGTCATTGTAATGATCATGTCTGTCTTCCAATCCCTTTTGACTTTCTTGGCTGGGCCTGCTTCAAAGTCAAAGGCATTGAAATCGTTGGTGATTGGAAAATTGATGCATAAGGGGGTAATATCATGTGAAGAGAAGCAAGAGAATTTCAATGAATTGCAGTGTGTGGAAGCATCTTTAAGCACCCTTCTAAGTGAAAGTACTAATGTTGAGAAGTTGCAGGTTGCACATGAAAGATTGAAGGCTTTTGAGAATGCCACTGAAAGCCTAGAAAATGGCTTGGAGAACATATTTAGGCGACTAGTCAAAATAAGAGCCAAACTTTTGAGCATGATGATTCCATAAAATGCTCTCAAATCCTGCAAAGCATCCAAATTTTAGGGATTTGCTATGGGTGTTAAAAAATTTTGCCTCATCAATTTGTGACATGTATTTATACAATTCGATAGTTATACAATCAAATACAATGAAAAGTTCATACTCTATATTTCGATCTTTTGTTAAGTCACCTTTTCTCTAAAGACCAAATATAATACATTATGTTCTGATTGTTCTCGATTCTTTTTGAAACTTCAGGAAATAAATCCTATCAGCACTATTATTTATTAACGGTGACAAAATTTTATTGATCAATTGACAATTTTCTCTCTCTCACAAGTCATTACGGATAAAAGAAATCAAAATGCTTTTGCAAAATGTAGATAGTTTGCTAGTTGCACATGTCAACGAAGGACAATTTCCTTATGTGGAGGTGATGGTGACCAGCATAATGAGATAAAGCAATTCGTGTATTGGATTTTGGGAGCTTCTTCGCTCGTGCAAAGGTGATGTTCGTATTTGGTATGTCTACCTCCCTGTTCCCCACACGTGCATGCATTCGTGTGCATGTATGTTTACATGTGTGTGCTTTCCTCTGTATGAAATGTTACTGATCTGATCACCAAAATCAAGGTATCAAACTTGGTTTATACTTAGCTCAGTGAACGTTACTGATCACATGAAATTTTGCAGATGTTATTCTATACTTACATACATTTTATCATTTAGCTGCAATTGATTATCAAGTAGAGTTGGGTATAACAAAAAATGTTAGTCTTTCATAAAGTGATAAACCATTATTTAAATCCTATTGAGAGAGGCATCAACATTTACTGTCTATTAGTGTTTTGAGAAGAAAAAAATCTCTTATAAAGGATATATGTAAGAAAAAAAAAATGTATATATGTTAATTGATTTTACCCAAATTTTTACAAAACTCTATTCTGATTCATTTTATACACACGTGAACGCATCCTAAGTATAAGAACTAACAATGATTAATGCAAACCTTAAAAGGAGCAGTGTATGGAAGTGCCATTCGTGCAATTGAAAATTATAATTGTTGTCTTGTGATTCTTTGATGAATAACTCATTTATAAAAAGACAAAAGAAAATAAATGAAATATAACAAGTAGATGTGCATGTTGGCACTACATGGGCCATGTGGTGTATAATCTTGTAAGGAAGTTAAGTGGCACCACATGTGGGCTTCATCTGCTGAGAAGACTTTGTTTGAATTGTGTTTGATAGAATGGGCTAACCCTAAGTGACTTTGTCAACAACCTGTAATTAAGTAGAGTTTGTCAACAAGCAGATGAAGAATGTAAGATATACACTCTATTAACATATTTTTTAAAATTTATTTTTAATTATTAAATAAAAAATTACGGTGAGACTCACATGATTTTTGTAAGAAAAATATGTATGTTAATTTAGAAGAAAAAATAAGTAAAATCCATATAAATATTGAGTAGAAACTATAAGGGTAGCTAAACGAGGCCTTCTTGACCTTAATGATGAGGCTTGACAATATGTTTGATTGGAAATTATTTGTATTTTTTTAATTATTTATATTCTTTCTTTTTTTATAACTTATAAATTTTAATTTTTATAAGTATATTTAATACGTTTTGGAAGTTGGACTTTAGTAATTATTTATAAATTACTTTTAGAATTTATTTTTAAAATTATTTTCAAATAAGCTCTAAAATTTAATTTTCTGAATTTAATTTGGTACTCCTCAATATTTAGTGATTGGTTTGAAACTGCAACATAGTATTTCCGAAAAAAATTGACTATTATTCTCTGACACCAATTTGAGAGACAAAGGAGATAAAATTGATGTTAAATATAAATCACCGTTGTGTTTTTTTAAAAAACGCACACATCATCCCTATTTTGCCTAACTCTCCTCATAATAAGAAAGGGAATGCATAAGATTGTTGTATAATCAACTTGGATTATATCATCAAATTTGGCACAGAAAAGGTTAGGCATGAGAGACACGTAGGTTAAAGACTTAAGACTGCAATTTCAAGTAATTAAGAAACTAAAGTAATCACTCACTTCTTCCTTTTTCTCTACGTATCAGGTAACTTGATCTTTACTTCCTTTCATCTTCCCTTGAATGTTAGCCATATGTCCTTTGCCCTCTTATGAGTACTAATTGGTATGTGACCAATTAACTTATCATAGCAAGCAAACATTTTCATCTCTTCCTTTTCCACTCTGAGGTAGGGATGCAAAATCATGTAGCTTGGAAACAAGTTGATTTAGTTTATATGGGATTATTAAAATTCTAGACAAGTTTAAAAATTTGGAGTTTTCATGCTTGGGGTGTCGCTAGCCAAAGCTATTAGACTTTTTTATTGTTGATAATGTATTTGGTTTAATTGATATTTTAAGTGTGAAAACGAGTGAAAAATTAATTTATGTAAGTATATTTAATTAGTTATTCTATCTTTCTTTTGTTTATGTTATATTGGTGTTTGCTAATTTGGCATGTTTGTAACTTAAATCTTTAGTTTTTAAAGAAAAATGTGAAGATCTGTTTATGATTTACCTTAAGAACGAATATATATGTAAAGTGGTGAAATATGAACAATTGATATGCTAATATTATAGGTTTTCCTTTATGGCACTTTTTTTGGGGTCATTTTTTATGTTGAAAATTCAACTAAAAATGGATGAGTGTGTTTCGGACAAGACATGACAAATAAAAAATGAATGGTTTAAAATTCATACATACTAATACAAGATATCGCAACAATTGACCATTTAATTTATGACAATTTCCAAATCCATTTGTTGAAATGTACTCATTGTATTTTGATAATGAATAATGAAGTGGATAAAAGTCATTTCCTTTCATGATGTATTTAACAAAAGGAGACATGTTAGTTCTTGTCTAATAAATTAGTCGGTGGGCTATGACTCAAAAACATGAATAAAGTAGCAAAATTAATAATAACACCCTTAAATAAACTTTTAAAAATAATTTTTTAATTTATGAAATATTGTATAAAATAAGAAAATATATATAATATTTTTATTAAAAAATTATAAATTTAATGCAATTTAATACATTAATATTATTATATACTATAATTTTTAATAATATGCATGCAATGACTAAATTTAAATAAATAATTAATCTTATCAGAGAATATATATATATATATATATATATATATATATATATTCTAGAAACGAATTTTATTTTAAAATGGATTTTAAATGACCTAATTGAAAGCATCTACCTTATAAAAAAAAAGTATATACAAAAGAAATATAGCGAGTTAGGATTGGTGAATGAAATATATATTAAGACACTAATTAAAATGTCTGAACTAGAAATTAAATTAATTCATTGAACCGTCTAAAGATGACTTTGGCTAAATATTCTAAAGAAAAGGTAAGAAGTATTTGTCCATCATTATTATGATGATTAATTTTAGAAATGGATGTTTGTAAGTAAATAAAAGAGACAATAAGTTTGTGCTCATAGTGTGTTTTATAAATATTTAATATTTTGTATGATTGCTAATGATTAACGAAAATCAAGCTATCCACCCTTAAAATTTAGAATGAGAATCTCAAATATTTGAAATGACTACCTTAAGATATATATTAATATCTCATTGATGAATGCATGGTCATTTGTGTATTTTGTAATCATTCATGTGTTCATTTAAATTTTGATACTTAAAATTAAACATCTAAATGATTTAACTAGAGCCACTCTTTAGGTGAGTGCACGTGAAATGAAAAGTGTGATATAATGATAGATTTTAAAATGCAGTCTCGTGCATATGTCCCTTGCGAAGGTATTGTGCTCTACCTGTAGAATTATTTTGACGAGTCACTACTCGTTATTATTGATTGGCAAATAGTCATTGATATTGATATCAAATTAAATGGTTTTGAATGACACCAGACATAATACATTAGATAGAGACATCTGCTCCCACCTTGTGAAATCCTCTGTTGAATACTAGGTGTAATTGGCTCCATGCATTTATAATGCATACACATTATGAAATTAATGTAAAAATATTGTCAAAGTTATGCAGAAGCGAAGAATATATTAATTAATACTAATCTTCAAGCCATTGCAAGTGGATTCACGATTGAAGTTTTTGGTCTTTCTAAATCCTTACTTACTCAATCACGATAATGTGTATATTCTGAAAGAGAAGCGGATTTAGGATTGACTTAAGACAATGAGATAGCAAAATATTTATAAAGCTCTTCTATCATGGAATTCACTCTAAATATTCAGTAAAACCAAAAAATAAATACAGATAATGGGACAATGTGATCACATAATATCCCTTTAAAATTGGAACTGCAAAAAACTGAATTCGATTACTAACAATTAATAATTAATATTTCATCTATGTATATATAGATTATATGTTATTTATGAGTTGTTTTTTATAATTTTCACATACTTTGTGATTTGAAATAGTTGTGATGGGTCCAACAGAGTACATGATGAGATCCGTGAGACATTGTTGTCGCGCGTTGACGCGTATTATTAGAAGTTGTAAAAGCCTCTTTAGCTGAAAATTTGCTTCAATTTTCTTAGCTTAGTCTAAACATTTGTCAAATTATTTCAATTGGCCCATTGTATTGGTTCAACTTGATATTTGAAATCATGTTCCTTACCATTTATTCCAATAGGCGTAGCCTAATTTTAGATATTAAATTGATAAGATTTACTATGTTGGATACAAACTAAAAATAATTTCTATACTTTAATTATACATGTTTTCTATATAATTAATAATATTTTTTAGTTATATCTTTACCCCCATTTGCATTAATCGTACACATAATTTTCTCTTATTAAAATTTTTAAGTGAGTAAAAATATTTACTAATGAAAAGTCACCTTGGCAAGGATCCGAATCGTGTAACTTAACTGTAGATGAGTGTAGTTTTCATTCTAAATATTAAAATATATTATTTAATAAATTTTAATGAATAAGATTTTTTACGGTGAACAACTCCTTTTAAAGATCTCACTATGATATATTTAGATAATTTTCTAGAAAATATATGTAGGAGAAAAAATTGTATAAAAAAGAAATAAAATTTCTTTAAAATAACTTATTTTTTAAAATTTTAAAAATTTAGATGAGATAATTTTTCAAAAAATATATTTATAACTTAAGGGCTATAGAAATTTAGTGAATTTTTTTATGAGCCAAATTTATCAATCATTAGTTCATTACAAATTTAGTGAATTTGAACAATAATCACACCAAATTTTCTCTTTGGATTAATCAAGTTTCATGAGGAAACATTGGTATATGGAATCAATCCTGTCTTCTCTCTTTCTGTCATCTATCTTTATAATGTGTTTTTCATATTTGAACAATCCATAAATTTTGGAGTATTTTTACAGAAAAGATAAAATGTGAGGGATATAATTGTAGTGTCCAATATCAATTATTAGATGTTCCACCAAAAATTATTTGATGTTCTAATAATGGAAGTGATTAAGGATGCTAGGCTACTGTGCAGCACCACTGCATGGGTCCTGATGTGCATGGTTTTGTATGGAAGTTGAGTGACGCTGCATGAGAGACGGGGAGATCAAATAGACAGCATAGCAAATTTGTGAGGTCCACATTACACCATACATATGTAACATAGAAAGGGTTTCCATTTAAAATATGAGAAGACATGACAACAACATGCAAAAACCGCACAATATAAACCCACAATATGTAAAACCGCACACTGCCTTCTCCTATTGGATACTTTTGCTCCTCTCCACACATGCCTTTGCATTAACAAGACAAGATCAACACTTGCTTAACCACCCTTTTACTTTACTAAGATGAAAAAGGCAACTATAGCTACCTTTTCTTCACTTTCACCCAAGCATTATCGTGGCTATGGCATTCGATCTATTAGCTTGCCAACTAGATCACATCCAAGCACAGTTCAAATTGAAGAGGAACTCAACAAGCTTAAGGCTTGGGAGACATCATCTTCATCTGAGGTGGAAAGAATTTTCTTTGGATTATCTGGGCTTGTAGAGTTGCACAAGTGCATAGAAGATCTTTTGAAATTGCCACTGACCCAACAAGCACTATCCCATTACCACAACCAGAAATGGGTTGATGAGTTGTTAGAATGCCCAGTGAGATTCTTGGACATATTGGGAGAAACAAGGGATGCTATCATGTTAATGAAAGGAAATGTTAGAGAACTTCAATCAGCACTTAGAAGGAGAAAGATTGGAGACTTGGTGATTGAAAGCCATGTCTCTTCATATTGGAGTCTAAGAAGAAACACGAGGAAAGAATGTACAAAATCTCTTCTGTTGTTGAAGCAGAAAGATGGGTCATTTGGTGCCTCTCCTCCTTTGGATCTTAATCATCACCTTTCTGCAGTTGTTAGAGTTCTCAGAGAAGCTAGTTTGATCACAAGCTCTATTTTTCAGTCACTGGTGGCTTTTCTTTCTTCACCAATCTTGAAGTCAAAGGCTAATAACAAGTGGGCATTTGTGTCAAGACTGATGCAGAAAGGGGTGCTTCAATGCAACAATCAACAAGAAAATGTAAATGAATTGGAAAAGGTGGACTTGTCTCTTTGCAGAATGGTTATGGATAACGCCAACAAGGATTTTGAGGCTGAGAATTTTCAATCTGCACATAAAGAGCTTGAAGCTGTGGTGGTAATCATTGAAGGGCTTGAAAATGGATTGGATTGCTTGTTTAAGCACCTTATTAATACTCGAGTGTCTTTTCTCAATATAATTTCTCCCTCGGGTAGAATATGACAGACATGTAGAGTCCACAATTCCAGTCCAATGAAGCCATCTTCATAATCAGAGGATCTGTATAAACAAACCTTACTATAGAAAGCTGTCATTGATGCAATTACACATTCTTTTTTCTTTCTTTCTTAACTGCACATTGTACACCCTTCTTGTAACTTGATTTCAATCATTGAAATTCTTGCATCTTTCCTTTTCTTCAGCAAATTCACCATCTTCTATTTCCTAGAAGACAATCACATTTTCACAACTTACTCTACTTTTACTTCTCGTAGTTCTTAGTAGTTTATGATTGGCCAAAAATTAGATTATGAATATTAAAAAAATTTCGTTAGTCTTTTTACGAAGAATCCCCAAATTTTTCATTTTAGGATTACAATTCAGGATCAGGAACAATGTGGGTGCTGGGATTCCTTTCCTTGAGAATTAAATGGAATGTATAAATTCAACCGCCAATCAGCATGAAACTTCCCTACCTTGTGGTTAGAGGGAATGAAAATTAGTGTAGGAAAGATAGATTGAAATCACTGTCACGAATTTACATGTTCCCAAAATAACTTTAGAATAGACAATTGTATAATTTGTACAAAGTTATTTGTTCAAACATCACGGACACTGTTGAAAAAGAAAAAAAAAAAAAAACCTTACAGATACAATTAATTAATTAATAATATATAACTTTTTTAACGTATATTTATGGATACACTATAAAAATTTATTTATGATAATTTTTATTAAGAATAATAAGATATTACCAAATACAATATACCTAAGTTATTTTAGCAAAAACTGTAATGAATCCCGTAGTATCTGCTTTCATGCTGGGTTGAGGCTAAATTGCATGTCCATAATAATGAAATGTCCTTCACAGTTCACATACCATCCATTTCCTTTCTCCCAAACCCCGGAAACTTCATTTTCTAGTCACTTTCGGAGTGTCATTATTCTGATCTGCTATCCAACTTATGGGCAATCATCCATCACCCATCTTGGTCCCATTAGTTACATAATTATTGTCGTTTTAATTGTGCACAACTGCTTGCGTGAATCAGTCAATCTATTTTTACCTCCAGTAAAGGTAAGTTATATTAATAATCATGGTAATTTCTATGTTAGCTTGTAAATCAAGACGCGTAAAATAATTATTATTGTTAATTTTATATTAATAAATAGTGGAAATAATAATTTAAAAAAATATAAATATATTTTAATTTTTAAAATATTAAAGAAATCATAATTGTCGATTAAAAAATATCTAAAGCCTTCTCAAGTTTACATATATTAATTATTAGTTAAAATTTATTATAAAATTATAAAAATATAGAGAACAAAATATAAAATTAAGAATTAAAAAATAAAATTTATATAATTTCTGTAATTTTTAATAAATTTTAGTAAATTTTTAAAAGTATCAATAATATTTCTTTTATTTGTTAATAAAAAAAATATTGTTCAGAATGCATAGTTAAATTGAAACGAATGCCTAAATGATAATTTGTTTTCCCATTTTACACCTAAAATTTTTAAAACAGAAGCACTAAACTTTAAATCGGATGATTGTGACTAACGAAGTTTTGGAACTAACGCTACTGGTCACTTAACCATATATGCAGAAAATTAGGATGGTTTTAGCAACATACGTAAAATTACAGCTAAAGAACTAGCAGAGCAGAGAGTGACAAGACTGTAGCAAAATGTATCTATCTCATCGGTTAACTGCAAACGATTTCTTCAACCACCAACTATGAAGAATGTGACTACAAAATTATAAATAGTGAAGTTAGGGAGGGGTTGGGACAAAAGGAATTATGCATTTAATGATTAATGAGTTATGAAATATAGTCTTGCTTATGTGTAATCACTTCGGAGAAAAAAAGAAAGAGAGAAGGAAGGGAAAAAAATCTGTTTATACTACCTTGTTTTGATGGTTACGGGGCAAATGGAATCCAATTGGGTTTAATTTGGATACGGCCCACTCAAGTTGGAAGGTAGAGGAATCGGGCAATTACTTTTAACTTAAATTCATTTTTACTTTTAATACCACTTTATACTTTTAACTTTATCCCAGAAATGCTTCGGAGGGGGTAGATTAAATAACGACGTAAGGGCTTTTCATTCAAGGGAGATTTCACATTACATTTATGGCCAGCACTTGTTCCTATAAATACGTGACTTAGAGAGGAATTTAACAGACATTTCTATTTCATAATTATTTAATATCAGTATCATGTTTTTTTCATCGTCCAAGTACCATAAAACTTACTTCAATCACTAGAGTACTATTTATCTATTTCAATTTCACTATACCATCTAATCATCTACCAATTATGTTTCCTAGTACAATTTTTTTTCTTTAGTGAAAATTATGCTCATCCTTCTGTGCATATATATCTTTAAAAGCAAAAAACTAAATTAAGAATAAATTAAATGTTTTATATTATTAACAAAAACAGACGTTATTTAAAAATCATTTTCTTAAATCAACCATGCGCGTTTTATCTTCTATTTTCCATATACTTCTACTGCTTTTTTCCCTACGCCTTCACTTGTGTTAACAGAACACTATATTTAATTCTACAATATACAAGGTGAATACTAGGATCTACAATGATATTTACCCTCCTATGTAACTTCAACAAACATTGATGTCCCTCTAAACTAATCGGCAAAATTTCCAGTAGCAATTTTAGAAGAGTTATGCGGCATTTGACGATTCTGAATGTCAACAATCATTCATCAGAGTAGTTGTCACTATCGTCCTCGTATATATGATATTCTTCGTCACTACCATTTGCTTGCCCTTTGTCACCATCAATTTCATTAGAGGGAAAGCTACCAAAAAGCTCCTGTAAATGAGTCCTTGAAATATTCTCCATGTTGATATCTGCATATGATTAAGGAATTCAAAAGAGCCAACAGAGAGAATGAGACCTAACTTATGGGATAAAATACATCTTGCTAATCTAATTGCTTAACAATGTGAAACATTTAACGTTACGTGAGAAATTTGAAAACGTAGTGGTAAGGTTGCCTGATTTATGGAAAATTCTGAATTAGTCTTATCCTCTTCTAAGAACAACTTGAGCAATGCAATAATGAGGTTTCAATCTTCAAACATAAGAGTCCATGACTAAATTTAGAGTTAAAATAAAAAAGGATACATGAATGAGACGGCAGAGGCATGTCAATATCTCCAGCCTACACGTGTCAACAACGTAAATTAAAAAATATCCACTTAAAAAGCCACTGTCAACCCAATCTAAAGAGAAAAACGTAAAAGCAGAAGTATTACCAGATCAAGTTCTTCTTCCCATTCCTCATCACTATCATTACCCTCAGCTGCCTCCTCTTCATCTTCAGCGTTGTCAGGTTCTTCATTTTCTTCCAAACCTGTATTCCAGATACAAAAAATTTTATTAGTAATAGCTCAACTAAAAGATCATTTATCAGACCAAAAGTTAAAAAAATTTACTTGGCAAGAATATTAAATTATGATTTAGCCATGAAAAAAAATCTTCCAATTGGTTCAAAAGCATATTAGATAACAAATTAATTAAATAAAATTACTCTAACTACATTACCAAATTCTGCTACAAATAAGCCTTTGAGAAAACAAATTAGGAAACTTATAACTCAAAAGAACCTTAATAGAATTCTCTGTTACAATTTTCAATCACATAATACTCAAAGTAGTTTGAAGTTGATTGATTCTTCTTATATCATTTTTTTAAAGTAATATCAATATAAAGCATCATGGAAAAACGGGAAGAAAAGAGACATAACCTGAATTAGCTTGCTGACATTCTTCTCCATCAAGCTTCGTGACATTCCTACCGCACTCCTTCTTCAATTTTTCAAACCTTGAAGTGGCAGCTCTGAGTAAATTCTCTGCACCAGGCTTGGGGAATACTGATAAAAACCTCACCATAAGACGTTGTCTAATACAATTGATCATGTGTTGTGAGAACCACCCAGTACCAAACTGCAAAATTAGCATTTTTGTTGCAACTTGGATAGTTATTAGAATTTCTTATAGTAACTTCAAGCATGAAAAATAAATCAGGCAGATTTTATGATATTTTATCAGTCATAATATAATAAGGCTCTACCTAAGAGATAAGAAAGATATGAAACATGTCAAAAGCAGAGTAAAGCACGTTTGTAAATCCATAGGCTAGTGAATCAACATAAAAAACGCTATATTTTAAATAAACATTCATTAAAAAAAAAACATACTGTGCAAGTTGCCTGTGATGGAGGCTTATTTATTTCTGATTGAATATAATCATCAACAAGCTCAAATAACTGTAAAGAAGTCTGAAACTTGTAAGGAAAAGCACGAAAGGCACATATATCCTCCCATCTATGTGTTGATCTGCATGAAACAATAGCCATAACAGATGAGAAAACATAGTAATCATATATAGTGAAATAACAAGATATGTTATATCAACTGAGAGGTCTGCAAATAAATTTAATCAAGATTGTAATAAGCTCCAAGAGATCTCTTTCTCTTCACTTCTGTTTGTCTATATATATTAATCTAGTTTGCTATTTTCTTTTTCCTTTTTCTTGTGCATATATACATGTATGAAATTGATTTTAAATTACAGTAAATAGCTTTGTAAACAGCAAGAGATAAAATGAAGAAATAGACTTACTTATTGGCTGAATGAGCATCACAATAACTTCGTAATGGAACAGGTACTCGATAATCAATTCTTTGATAACTGCAAAACAAAAAATCTAAATATAGTAAATAGATTGGAGACTCAATATTCTTCTTTAAAACAACCTATAAAAAATCAGTAAAAAATAATTGATACAATAAAGATTTAGTGTAATAACCTTGGTAAAAATGTGTAAATTGTTCATATTTCTTGTACAGGTGAGAAAAAGATTCAATATTTTTCTATGCAAATACCATAGGAGGCTTATTGAGGTTGGTAAAATAAGATTATGAACTGGAATGGGAACTGAAACTGAATAACATGATGTGGAGCTCACAAAAGAAAACTATAAAGAAAAAGATGCACAACCATGTTAAAAGACAGTACAAACTCATTAAGACAATACTTCAGAAATATATTTATCATAGGAACCAAACACTTCCGAGTGCAAATATATGACTAAAATTCAAGAGATTATTTAGGAAGCAAGAATAAGTCTTACATGCGAGAATCAGGGTCTTTGCGTGGATCATATCCTTTCTTGATCCAGAACCTTAGAAATGGTCCGCTGGAAAAGTAGTAAGAAATTCTAGACAGAAGCCTGCAATAGAAAATTGAAGGTCAATGCATTATTATCATGGTTAATCAATTCAATTGTTGCAAGTTAAAAACCTAATCAGCAGAATTTGCTTCAGTTACCTTCTGAGCATGCCATGCGAAAAGGTTAAGCCCTTATCAAGCAAGCGTTCGGTTAGAGAATCTTTGGACCATATAGGCCGCTCATCAAACATTCTAGATACAACCATCTGTGACTCCCACTGTTCTGAGCCTTGTGGTACATATTCCTCCCAATTCACTTTCTTAGGAATCTGTAGGAAAGCTAAGTAAAACAAGAACCACAGAGTGCAATCTTGTTTTAGTGTCTCTCAAGCTTTTTTCATTGCAAAACCTTCAATCAAACTTAGGTTCAAAAAACGAAATATCAACACAAAGAAAACCTCCTACAAAGTTTACAGAAAGTAAAAAAGGAAAAATACAGTAGGTCCCAATAGAAATATATAACAACCAGGAAGAGATACTGAAAAATAGCTAATTTGCAATTATTTTGTTTTTGTTGAAAGAGTAACATCCTATGTCAGAAATTTGCTAAACTTAATCATGTAATGGTCCAAATGTATAAACAAACAGCTTGTATAAAAATGGATTGCACCTTAGAAGACAAGAAGAGAACTGTCAGTTTATCACTGGCATAAGCTACAATTTTTCCTTCCTAGGAGAAGGTTGACGTGAGACTATGATCTTCAGGTTTAACTCTCTCAATATGTTTATGGTCTATGGACTCAGGTGTATGCCATGAGAGTAAATTTAAGCAAAAAAGAAATTCCATTCACAGGAGCAAACCAATAACAACAGCCATGCTATAATAACATAGAACTTTTCAACTTTAATAAGTTTGAAATATGACGATAATTGAGAAAAGGATATCTTTAATGTCAAAATCAATTGCAAGAACTGGCTCCGTGTCCACCTGCACACAACATCACAACAAGAAAGTTTTCTTGTAAAATATTGCATCTGATCGATGATGACATCCAAATGAAAAATGCATGTTAATTGTAATCCAAGTACAAATCACCTAGTAATTGTATCTACATATTTTCAGAATGTGATCTTTCCCAGCGTGCTCAAAGCAAATGTTAAATTAACTTTTATCACCTAGAAAAAATCCTTGTAGAAGTTAAGCTGCCAGTTAAGTAACAATGTTTTAGTAGAAATCAAACAAAAATATTAATTGTTTTGGAGGAAATTCAGGTTGTTCCTTTGTTTGACGCTTTCCATCTCCTCTATTCTATCATCAAACTACTTTGCATAATCCAACCACTGTAAGTGTGTTTTCTGGTCAAGATCTTTTATTTGGAATTTTGATTTCATAATTCACAGCCGACTGATTGATAAATAAACCAGACAAGTACAAGCCCATTTGATTCTATTAGATCCTATTGATTTCTCTGCTAATTTAGATTGGAGAGTCTGGATTTGGATTCTTCCAGTTTGTTCTCTAGTAAATTCTTCTTTTAGTTTCTATTGCACTCTATCAAGTCCTAACTATCAAAGGTCGCTATTCCATAGACATGCTCCCTCTAAGTTCAAGTCTTCTATATGATAGAGATCTTAAGAGGACTGGTTACATACAAACTCCATGTGAATATTCATAGGCCTTGTATTTCTTTGTCCTAATCTGCATTTTATGTATAGTCTAGTTGAGAAAATCTTGCCACTTTGTTTTGTATTGTAAGGTACTCTTTGAAATCTGAAAAAATGTTTTTAGAATTCTGGGAAACCATATGATGAGAACCTCCATTTTGGAACAGTTTCTTTTGGTCCATGTTAAAGGAAAAAACCAAGGAGGCAAATGTTTTGCAGCAATATGTGATGCGCAAAATGTAACCCTTCGGTGAGCTTGACTTAGTGAAATGCTCACATCCTTAAAGGCATCTGTTTTCCTCCTATACTTTGTTGTCTCAAGTTTTTTTCCTTTCAGTGTTATATTTAATTTTGGAGGATATTTTGTTCTCCTCTAGCTATATCTTACTGCTTTTCTCATTAATGTAGTTTCTTTTTCTACCCTACCAAAAAGGGTATCTATATCTTTATAATGTATAAAATGCAAGCATGATAGAAAGTTGTACAATCAACAAAAGGAGTAAGACTAATTAATAAAAACCTTGAAAGAAGTAACTAATATTAAGGATTCTGCAAGCAAATAACTGTGATTGATAGTCAAAGAGACTCAGATCAATCATCAATTTATACCAAAGGTAACTGATATATTTTAATATGTGAAAAACATTAAATTTTATACCTACATCCTATAAAGAAATTTATTTGAACTATCCTTACCTCAACATGTTGTACAACTTCCTCTTGTTTCTTTTTTGAACCCAAAACAGTAGGTGGTCTTAAGCTGAAATAAGAAAATGATCACGACACTTCAACAGAATAACGCAAGATGAAATCACCAGAAAGAATTTTACAAGGATAACTAATGAAAGTTACAATAAAAAGCTTATGATGCAGATAATTAAAAATATATAACTGAAGGAAAACAAAGAATAGTATGACAAAGAACTTCATTGCCACCTCCCATTCAGCAGAGAGAAAAGATGCAACGATATTAAACACTTCAATTTTAAGAATCCAGCGTGCAGTGCTATCCAAATACCCCAAAGTACAGAAACAAATATACAGAACACGCATATATACATGGACAAGAAACAGAGCCCCACTTAAATGTATCAGAGGCAAGGCACTATAAATATACACAAGATGACAACTTATATAATAATTATAAATTAACAAAATCAACCAGAATAGCTAAAAGAAAAAGAATAGTAGATAACACAAGTTATATCCTCTTAGGTGAATCTCCAGAATTTTCTTCATCAAATCGGTTGAAACTGCCAATTCATTGGACCCTGCCATCATTTTGTTAGTATGTTGAACAGTTATGGTATTGTACAGCTCATAGTACCGTCCATGCTGATCCCTAGCTTTTCTCTTTAAAAAAACGTAGTACACGACCACTACACAAGAAATGTGAGAGAAACTTACACTAAATTTTCTGGCACATCTTTCGGAGCAAAAATTGGAGGCACTATAATCATAACATCCTCATGGTCCAAATCCATAAGACCACCCTTATCTATGACAGAACACAACAGAAGTCGGTAAAATGGTAAAATAGCCATTAAAAACCCTAAACAGTAAGTGGAAGTAACAAAAACAGTGAAACAAAATATTCACCAAAGTGCGGTTCTTCTAGCTCTGACCAGTTTCTCTTCTTGCGGCGAGCAATATCAGCATGAACAGGAATAACATGTTGGTAATCAGCCATTCCTTCAAAATTTTCAAACACAAAACAAAATCAACCACATAACTTGCTTAGGAAGCTGGACAAAGCTAATTAATTAATCTGAAGATAAAATGAAGTGTGTAACCATCGAAAAAATAAGCCTCAGGAACACGAGCAACGATATCAGCACAAAGATGATGCTCTCCATTTTGTGGAGAGGTGTGAGAAGCACGTGGTGGTTTAGTCTTAGAGATTTTGAGAAGCAAAGAGTTGGAGGGACGAAGCTCCCCAAATGCAGGGTGTGAATAAGGATCTTCGGGGCGAAAACGAAGCTCTAATTTATTTGCTTGAGAAGTGCGAGTCTTAAGGATGGATTGAATTCCACCAAGAGTGTGAATGGCTCGAGAGATGGAAGATGGATACGCAGGATAGTGTACCAAAAATCCCTCTGCCTCTGGTATAACCCCTGAGATCGTTCCATCCTTTATCACTCCCATTATACGCCAATATCACTGCTTCATCAATCTTCCATTTTTAGTTCCAACCCCAAAACAACCATTACTGCGTTACGTATCGTGCCTGTGCGTGCTGTTGCTCTACAGTGGTAGTGCTGAGAAAGCCCAAAAGGCCCAAAGAGGGAAAAGGCCCATTATCCACACCCTCCCATGTAGGACCCAATGGTAGGGTGGGTTAGCCTTCCTACGGTATCATATAAAATCAAATAAATTTAAAAAGAGAATACTATTTTTGTTTTGCTGTTTCTAAATTTTCATTATACTAGTATATTCCTATTTTTTTTATTATTATAATATTACTTTAAAAAAAATTTCATTGTTATAATTATGATTCTACCATGCTATATTATTTTATTTCCGATGATGTTTTTTAAAATTTTATGTTATATAAAATAATAAATAATATAAAATAACAAAGGGCCAGAGGCACGAAGAGGAAGATTACATGAAGCCATATATTTTTACTGTTTCTTGCATAATTTTTAAAAAATTAGAAACAGCATAAAAATAAGGTGGTAAATTAAAAATTAATTATAAAAATAGGAAATGAAAATAGAAAATATTTTTATAAAGATTCATCCTGAATAGTCAAGATGTTGTCGTTCAAAACCTCTGTAATGTGAGCCTTGGGGTATGAAATATGGATGGCACAACGTTGTATCTTCACAAAGGTACCATTAAAGTGTTTTTGACAGGAAAGAAGAAAAAATTATACTGAGATAAATATATTTATACTAACATGTATATGAACGAAATTGATAAAATGGGTCACTTCCATGTACAATGCTGACATATTTATTACAAGAAGAACATAGCCAAAATCATCCCAAGGCAGCCACCACAACACAGGGGTAGTTGAGAGTTGAAAGTCACAATTCCCATGAGATGCTTTTTGTTGACCAAGTGCATCTTTGTAACATAAAATACATTTTTTAGTGCTAAAAGTTGGTTAAAGAGGAATCATTTCTATGACTAATGAAAATAACAAGTAGTAATGTTAATGTAAATGCTGTGCCAAAATTCTTAAAGCGAGAGCTTGAAAAGTATCAATTCTAATTAAAGCTGTGCCCAAGAGAAACGTTTGTTTTAAAATTCATATATATACTACTTGATATATATTATCCCACAACTAGGATAGATTGGTGGGCATGGTTATGGGTCAATCTCGCTGTCCAACATGTGGCATAAACAATACCGAAAAATCTCCACCAACCTAGTTAGCTAACTATTTTAATTCAACCAGTCACACAAAGTCTCCTAAATAATTAATTGCATGTAAAATGCACTCCACCTACGTCTCTACAGGCTAAGTTTGAGTCACAATTTTGCATGCTTATTAGATTGACCATATATGTTTTGAAAATGACTATTCTCTGTCATTTCATTATTAAATTAAGTTTTAACAAAATCCTAGACAAATATTAGTTTTTTGTGCATGCATGATGACTGTACACATGGAAATTATTCAAAAAAGTAACGTGGAAATATAATGATCCCACCTCCTTTAATAGTGTATTATAATTCTTCCACAGCCACTATATATACTTGCAATGTTCAAGAGAAGGAGCAGCACAGAAAGAACAAGACAGAAAGGTGCAAAATAGAAAAGAAGGTGGAACATGGCTGAAGCTAAGGAAATAAGATCAGCACCAATAACACCGAGAACAGCTTCAGTGATGGGAACACCTGTTGTGGCATCTCCACCTGTGTCATGTCCACCTTCTCAGCTTCACTCTCCATCTCTAACAAGGTCACCCCTTCTTCAATCAGAGGATGGAGATGCACCACGTCCAAAAAACAAGACTCCAAAGACTCCTAGAACCCCAAGAATCTCTTTGACTCCAAGATTTATCACCCCTTTGGGAAGCCCTGTGAGGAAAGCTCTGAGGCTCACAAAGCTTGATCCTCAAGATGCTTGGCTTCCAATAACTGAGTCAAGGAATGGTAACAAATACTATGCTGCTTTTCATACTCTTTGTTCTGGAATTGGAATTCAGGCTCTTGTTCTCCCTGTCGCCTTCACTATTCTTGGTTGGTAAGTATCCCATCCACTATTCAATTTCATCTTGTCCTTGTTTTTTTACCTTTGCACGTGCAAATTTGTAGCAGCTATAGTATATGTATACACACACACACTTGATTACAACTGAACAATAAAAATATAGTTGGAATTATCATTAAAGGGAACCATAATAAAAGTATTTGCGTAGCTGCATAGGTTTGTATAATATAAAGAAACTAATGCCCAGCTGTTTTATTTATTATCGAAAAATGATAAAACTTTCTTACAATAGTAAGATGTCCGCTTCACATGTTCTTATTTGATGTTTCTTTTCTTTTCTTTTTCCTTTTTTAAACTAGATATTTCTCTTCTAAACTCATTTATGTTGTTTCAAATAAAATAACAAAACGTCTTCGTTAATTTTTAACAAACAAAAGTGTGGTTGATTTGCAGGACATGGGGAATCATAAGTTTGACTTTAGCGTTCATATGGCAACTTTACACCTTATGGCTGCTCGTCCATCTTCATGAGTCAGTAGAGAACGGTGTTCGCTACAGTCGATACCTTCAACTTTGCTTTGCTACATTTGGTATGATTTATCAACGTGTCCAGCATTTTTTTTTTTCAATCCTTGTTATTCTACATTCAATAATCCTTTTAAACTGATAAATTGTAATAACTTCCGTATTGACTAAATGAGATTTTTTTTTTTGTGCACTAATGTGTTCTTAATTGTTAGTGAGAGTTGGTCTCTTTTGAGGCTAAATGAAACTTTGATTTTATTTATTAAATTCTAAAACCGTTTGCTTAATTTCCCCTAACATAATAACTATTTTTCTTTTAATCAGATGAAATTGATGAGACGTACTGATTTTTTTTTATATACTAATACGAGAGAGTGTGAGTTTTATGTATAAAAATAAAAGAAAGCTATAAGATACTACAAATTATAGAGCTGCAAACAACAAAATATTAAAAAATTATATATTTGGTCATCAATATTTTAAAAAACAAAAAAGTTATATGCGACACTCGTATAACGAATTTTCTCATCCTTATTTTTAACTCAAGTATTAAAAAAAGAAAATTTTTAAATAGGTCAAATATGAAATTGCACTGGATTTACAGAATATGCTCAGTGAACTATACAATTTATCTTATTTTGAAGTTATTTTCTTCACATAATTTTTATGTTTTTTTTTCATATATAATAAAATAAGAAAAATAATGGTATGGAAAAATAATTAAGTGTTGGAATGACATGTTGCAGGTGAAAAACTTGGGAAATTGCTATCCTTATTTCCAATCTTGTACCTATCTGCTGGGACATGTACAACATTGATCATCATAGGAGGATCCACAGCAAGGACATTCTACCAGGTGGTATGTGGTGACTCATGCACAGCAAAACCTATGACCACTGTGGAATGGTACTTGGTGTTCACATGTGTAGCTGTGGTGCTATCACAATTGCCCAATTTGAATTCAATAGCTGGGGTATCACTCATTGGAGCTGTCACTGCTGTAGGGTACTGTACCTCCATTTGGGTAGTCTCGGTGGCACAGGGTACCCTACCAGGGGTCAACTATAATCCTATAAGGGCTCGAAGCAACGTTGAAAGTGCTTTTAGTGTGCTCAATGCCCTTGGTATCATTGCATTTGCCTTTAGGGGCCACAATCTCATCCTTGAAATTCAGGTAATGTAAACATGATATATTATAGTGTAATGAATAAATTTTTTAATAAGTATACATAGGAGTAAAATATTAAATAAAAAATTAATTTTTTATAAGTTAAAATTTACTTTTTTATTTTTTTAAATAAATTATTTAAATTTTTTAAAACTTAAAAGAATAAGTTATTTTGAACTTATGAAATAAGTTTAATTTATTTTTAATATTATTTTTTTATTATAGATTTATCTACAAATTCACCTACATTCATCTTACCTAATTAAACTTTATGAAATTAGTGAAAAAGGGAATTAATTATAAGCACACTAATAGAATATATAATTATGGTTGATTAAGCTGTTTGGGTGTTTGTCACTGGTCAGAGTTTCATTAGTTGAAATACCACTTTGAAGTTTCATTGCCGTTTTATCTTTTGACTTTGTAGGAATGAGATGTATTATGTGTACGTCCATTGTTTTTAGTTGACAATAGATGATAAGAATTGTTTTCAAAGTTGAAAGTTGTTGAAAAAATAAACTTCAATACTGAGGCTGGGTCAAGCATACAATGTTGAAGTTAGTGGAGACTTTTAATTTCCCTTTTACATTACTTATGTAGTTCAGAATGACGTTCGGAAAAGAAAGAAAGAAGGATAAGCTTTGAGTATACAGTTTCATCAAATAGAAAGATAAAGGGTTGGCACGTAGTTGTGACTTTAGTTTATTACTATCATCCCAATCTCATTTTTTCAATAAATTGAGCTAAGATCTAGATATTTAAGGTTACCGTCACTAAAATATCAGTGGTTACTCAATCTCCTGAATTTAGTTTTCCTTTATTTGGTCAAAACATTATTATTTAATAAGTTGAATCTAATTGTTTAGCTCTTGAAATTTGAAAATTTATTAGTTTCTGATTTAGTATAAGATAAATGAATGAATATGGATTGTTAAATAAGCAATGTATTCTTCAAGTATTGATTTTGAAACGTTTCATGCAGGCCACGATGCCTTCAAGCGAGAAGCATCCATCACACGTGCCAATGTGGAAAGGAGTAAAGGTTGCTTACACAGTCATCGCTGCGTGCCTATTTCCTTTGGCCATTGGTGGCTACTGGGCTTATGGCCAAATGGTATCCTTCTTACTTGACAATATAATGTAATAAAGGGCTTCTTTTAATTTACCATAAATACATGTATTGATTATCATTAAAACATAAAATACATTTAATATTTTGTATTTAATGATTATAAATATTTCTATGAATTATTGTACATAAAATGAACCTACTGATTAGGACCTGAAGGTATACCATATGTCATATTCTAAATTTTCATGTATGACTCAATTTGTAGATTCCTGCAAATGGAGGAATGCTGACAGCTCTCTACCAATTCCACTCTCGTGATGTGTCAAGATTCGTGCTTGGGTTAACGAGTTTTTTTGTAGTGGTGAATGGTTTGTGTTCATTTCAAATCTATGGCATGCCAGTGTTCGATGACATGGAATCACAATACACAAGAAGAATGAAGAAGCCATGCCCGTGGTGGCTTCGATCAATTTTCCGAGTCTTCTTTGGGTTTGTATGCTTCTTCATAGGAGTGGCAGTTCCATTTTTGTCTAGCCTGGCTGGTTTGATTGGAGGAGTGGCACTTCCAGTGACATTGGCATACCCATGTTTTATGTGGCTCAAAGCAAAGAAGCCAAAGAAGTATAGTGTTATGTGGTGTCTCAATTGGTTCTTAGGGACACTGGGGATGGGTTTGAGTGGCATATTGATTGCAGCTAGTATATATGTTATTATTGACACTGGTGTTAACGTGAGCTTTTTTGATCCTCAGTAGTTATCTCCATAGGAAACAAACTACTAGGGAAATGATATTGAGATAAGTAGGAAGAGGATTGCTAAGGTTGTCCTTTTTTGTTTTTTAGAAATTCAAAATTGTCATCATCCCACTTTGTAGTTCTATGCTGATTTTTCCAAAGGAAAAACAATAATTATATTTGTACATCATTTATTTTGTACTATTCTTTTACCGCTTTTTTTTTTATGAGAACAACAAATATATATATATATATATATATATATATATATATGCTCGTTTCAGTACATCTTTTCTTTATCTTTGACTAGAAGGGGGTGGTATAAATTTTCTTGTTCTAGAAATTGAAAATGACATATGTCTTGTTGATATGGATGATACATACGATAAAGTCAGATAGTATGAAGTCTGATAATAAGTTTTTAATGAAAAAAAAGTTTCGGTTACATTGTATAAAATACTATGCATTATATTATATAATACTTTTTTTAGTAAAATTTGTGATTGAAAATATGTTATATTCATTTGAAATAGTTGTTATATTTCAGAAAAGTAATAGTCCCAAGGCATAAAACAAGGAAATTCCACCACTATACACATCACATCTAATGCATCTGATATTGAAAAACAAACCAAGGCTGCATAAAATAAGTAGCCAAATCCCATTAAGTATCTACACATAGTCATTAACAAATTTAGGGGACTCCTCCGTTAGTCCTGGATTCCACAATGGTCTAAAACATAGATTATGGGGGCATAATAGTATTTTACTGAAAAAAATAAATATGTTCTTTTACCATCTATAATATAATTGAGTTTTAAACATTAACCTATTCTTGTATTGTATATTATTTGTAAGTGTAGTTGATTAACATTATCAAAAGTATAATAAAGTTTAATTTTAAAATAAAGAGGTTGGAGTTAGAATTATAATGAGAAAATACGTATGCATTATATATCAAAACTAATAAGTCTTACCTTCAAGGTCTGACTAATATTCTGCCAAACCTATTACAGCATCTTAATGTGGATTTGTATCCCAACAACACACTGGCATTGTCAAAGGCGACAGAACGGTTATCGACAAATTTTGAAAAATGCCGTATCACATTTTAAAAGAGGGTTTATCATAGTTTAGTTTGTCCATATTATAAATCGAGGATGGTGGCTTCTAGAAGTATCATACCGACATACCGTACTTAAAAGGCGCAAAATGGGAGAGAGTCCTACAATTTAGCTTATATTAAACTCAAGTTAGATTAAATAAAAGTAAAGTTAGTATTTTGATATTATTTTATTTTACTTTTTTATTTTGGTTTTGAATTTTGTTTCTTTAATTTTATTTTTATTGAAGTTTAATTTTTTATTTTTTAACCTTACTTTTTTCCTTCAAATTGATTCACTGATTATTTTATTTTATGTTTATGTTCATCATCTTAATATTTAATGAACTTATTTATAAAATATCTTTCATTAGTTCAAATTTTAATAATTTTTATTATTTTTGAGATATGACATCAACAATTAGATACAACTTCCAAATATCAATACAAAATTTTACTTAAAACAAGTTTTCACCTTTATATTAATATTTAGCATAAGAACTTAAATCATTGACTAATATAATTTAATGTTAATAAAAATTTAAATTATTCTTAAAAATAATTTATTCAATAAATATTATAAAAATATATTAGAATAACGGTGAAATAATCAAAGATAGTCGATGTCTAGTTATATGTCATTTCATTCAATTGAGATTCATTTATGATATATAAATGAAATATGCAACATATTAGTAATTTTTACAAAAATGTTAACATATATTTTTTGAACATTTAATGAGTTAAAGAAAAAAATATAATAAAACTTTCTTAAGTTTTCAATGTCTTAAAAAATTTTAAATATACAAGTTATAATCCTTCAATAAGTTAAAATAAACTTTTGTGCATCAATTTGAAAGAAGTCATATAAAAAGTTATTTATTGTATCTTACTATCTTTCCATGCAAGCACTTCTTAAAACATTTACCGGATCATTGTCTATTTCAATTATTTCTACAATAATAGAAAAAGGAAGTATTTGAAAGAATATTGAATAGCTAATAAACTTTTGTTAATGAATTTTATAATAAAATACATCTCATAATATCTCCTATATAATAAGTGTTTATGAAATGAATATATAATTAAATTGCCTATTCAAATGCACTGAGGAAAGTCAGGTCAATTAGATTTCACAATAACCTAAGGAACGGAAAATAACGGCGTTAGATAACTGGCATTTAACAAAAGCAAGTAAACACAGCAAGACCAGATAGGTAACTTTTTCCACTACTGTTTTTCTCCTCTCTTTCAATGAAAAATTTTCATATGATGAGCTGTATCGTTTTAAGAAATCTTGGAAATACCCATACCAAATTCTAATGTCCAATATTGCTTCAGTAGCAAGCTCTACAATTTGATTGCCATCACTTTGAATGTAGGGAAGCAGAAATAGCAACAGAAACATTTCATGACATGCTTCCCACAAGCGTGTTAAGTCTTTCTTTTGTCACTCGCCATGCCATGTTAATCTCATGAGTACTTCAATACCTACAAAAATAATATAAGAACGCCAAATCTGCCACTTCAACTGCTTGCAACCAGGGGTGGGGCTAGATAAGTTAAAAAACATGTATGCATGCAACTAAAATACTGTATTGTCTCTTTCGTTCCCCTAACAGTAGTCAGTGATAATAGCTGTATATCTAGGTCTACAGATTAACAAGAAAAAGCAAAAGAACATACTAACATTGCAACTGTACATCAAACGTGGAACATCAACCTCCAAAAATTAGGCAAAGAATGAATTACTGAAGATAAATCATATAGCAAATAGCCCTAAGTAACACCTACCCACCTAAGCAAACGGGTGCTCAACATATTTCTGTTTTTTCACAATTAAACTGTTGTTGGAGGAAAGACTTTTACTTAAACAATACTTAAACCATCAGCAACAACGACAAGTTACAGCATCCGAGCATGTGTACGGCTTTGACTTTTCCTCTATCTCTTGAGGGGTAGGTAGGGATTCCAAATCGTATATGCTGTACCTAGCACAGCAGAAGCTGTATAAATTTCTACAAATTCCCTTACTGAATGGATGCACTCTTTCAGGAATCGCCCTGCAGATTAATGAAATGTTCTTATGATAGGTATCCCAAAAACATAGCTGGCAAATAAAAAAAAAATCTCAAAATCAGACATTTAATCATTTAACATCATCATACATCCTGCTGAAAAATTAAAAGCCATGCAACAGCCAAAAAAAGAATCACATTCCAGCAATATGTTATATTTAATGATTTAAGGTATAAACATGAAATATACAAAAACATCAGCATATAGTCTAACCTTAGATAAGGAATTCGTCTTCTCCTTACAAGTTCATAGGTGGTCTGATTTGTCAAAATAAGATAACTGCAGAAAAGACAAAACAGATGTGATGTTCTAACTGTGTTGAACCAGGATGCTCAACTACACAGTCAACATGATGGAGAATATGGCCGAGAGTGTAAGGAAGAACAAGTTTAATATTTTATTTTACATATGGTTAAATTGGCAGAACACAGCTTCTAAGATTTATATTAGATGCAAAACGAAAATGGTAGCAAACTCATTGAACAACTCAAACCAGTAAATCATTCTATCATACATCCTTGTTTCAAGCACTCTGCACATTATTTCTAGCCATTTATTCCTAACTCTAAACTTTTTGAATAGGTAAAAGGCTAACCTGGGCAGAATGTGTTTCAAATTCTCCTATATATCACAAAGTGGATTCTGAGGTAACGAGTATTAGATTTAATAACTACTACTTAAAGCAAATATTTCATCATCCAGATAGATCCAGTTAGTCTTCATTAGACAAAATATATGGTTTCTCAAACCCCAGAGATTTGTAGCATCAAGGTGATGGAATGAAAACATTCAAAGATATAAAATGAAAATGCACATTGGGTAGTACACAAGAACCACAGACAATAATATTTGATATTTCACATGCATAAAATCAAATAAATGATTTAGTTAGTATTCTGACATAGACACCCCCCCCCCCATAAAAAAAAAAAGAAAAGAAAATCCCTTACAGGCAAGGAAAGGAACAAAGGCCTGTGTATAAAAGCAAACAATTACAAAAATTACCTATGAAATAGCAGTAGGAGGAGCAGAAAGATGAGAGCAATTGCAAGAGTGATCAAGAGTAGTATCATGATTGCATCCTGCCACCTGAGAGCATAACAATATAACTTCATATTACAAAAATACAGAAATAAAGAGCACTGGACTTTCTTCCTCTTGGATTTTGGAAGACCACATAATAAATATAAAATGTAAAAGTATTATTGAAAAAAAAGGAAAAAAGAACCGCTATAATCCACTTACTTCCAATGATTTTAACCCACACACATACAGATATATAGAGAGAGAGAGAGAGAGCAATAGGTCAAGCCTACACCTTTGTGCCAAGACTCACCTAATCCTTTAGAGGGTGAATCCTGGCACAAAAGAAAGGTTATTGGTTCAGAAGGTTCTAATCTAATCATTGAAATATCCTCTCCACTTGTCACCCACCCTATATTTGTGTATATAACTCTCCGAGGGAGGATTTGACTTACAAAAATTTTATATCATTTTCTATTTTAATGAATTTGGGAATTTCAATATTCCTCCTAAATAAACAAGATATCATACCAAACCCTTGTAATGTGAGCCTTCAGGTATGAAATATACAAGACACCAGTCCAGAGGCACAATGCTGTCTCTTCACAAAGATACCACCTAAAGTGTTTAGACAGAAAGAAAGAAAAATCCATAGTGAGAGAGCTATATTTATACTAAAATATATACAAAACTAATAAAATAAGTAACTTCCTTGTACAGTGCTGACATATTATTTATTACAAGAACATAGCCAAAATCTTCACAAGGATATATAGCATTTCTTTAAATAAGCTATAAAAAAAATTCCAACCATAAATTCTACAGATGTTTGAGCAAAGTTGTAAAATAAAATGTTCACACTAACACGTGCACACACACACACAAACATATATAGGGAGTACGCTGCATATTAAGAACTTCCAAATATATCATATATCCAAACATGAATAACCAAGATTAAAATTTAATAAAACCAATGTTCCATTTATGTACTATTGTATGGTCAAGATTTATTTGTTCTCATTTTAACAAGTGAGGACAAATCTCACTTAATATGTCAAACATGAATATTCAAGATTAAAATTGGAAAAAAAAACAATATTTGTCAGGCTGCATATCAAGTAAGAACTTTACAAATCTTTTTCATATTACCAAATATGAATAGTCGAGATTAAAATTGAATAAAACCAATCTTACCCGTCTGTGTACTACTGTATAGTGAAGATTTATTTCTGTTCTCATTATAACAAGTGAGAACAATTCTCACTTAATATGCCAACCCCCCCTCCTCTTTCGGTCTATATATAGCTAAAAACTATCCATAATTATTGCTTAAAAATATCATTACTTATTTAATACACACTAGGAGGAAGTACAATTCAATGGGAAAATAAAAGCACATATGCAGTAAAAGAAATGTAAGAATAACATCATTAAATTTCTAAATATGTTTCCAAGTGCATCCAACTCAGTTATTGCCAGTCTGTTTCATAATTAACATTGAAAAAAGAAGACTAAAACCACATTGCTACTAAAAGTATTTGAACAAATGTCAAGACTATGAAACCAACAAAAGACATTCTACTGATAATTAGCAGTGATTGCAATTCCAGGCCACTGGTCCTTCATCTAAATATCAATACTAATTACAAATGATATAATAATATCATCAAGAAAAAATTTCATTATTGGTGAAAGAGAAATTTCTTATCTAAAGATAAGACAGCTCAGTTAAAGTTTACAATAGAAAATTTTGAAATGGCGATGATGAAGTACTTATCTCAACATAATTAACTCACCAAAATCGACAATGGTTACCCTGCCCAATGCAGTTACCAAGCCAAACACAATGATGATCAAATTGAAGAACACACTTGTCACAATCATGACAATGCTTTGCTCGTGGAGGCTGTATAATGACCATTAACAAAATAATCAATCATCAAAATCAGGAGGTTAAATTATTAGAATCCAAAAGAGAGGTCTGTTTTCGATGTGCAAAGGAACTCCTAATGTGCTAAAATTCATATATTTAGAACACAGGGAAAAAGCAATTTAGAAAGTGCAGCTCAATTCATCTTTTTATTGTCCACAGAAATGACCTCCTCATGCTTCTACGACAAGGATCCAATCCAGCATGAAAAAAAATTATTCTAGAATTTCTTCTGAAACTATAAATTACCTTTGGTTATGAACTAATAACATTAAAAAAAAATAAAATTGAAATTAAGCTGCTTTCTTTCTGTTACAGGGGAAGGCAGGCTGAATTCATATGACAAAATCAACACCCAAACAATGCTTTTACAGATATAAGATGTAAAGTGGAATCTGAGAAACATGTTAAAAATATTATTTACAGTCTATGATTATACTTAAAATTATACTTCAAGACATGACAGGTCACAGGGTTGGTTTCTCACATCCTTACGGTGAATTATTATGATGCTGTACAAAATGAAATTGAAAACTCAAACCATCAAATGAATGCAACACCATCACCTAAAGATGCATCGAAGAAGGAAAATAAAATGAAATGACTTATACAATGCCATGACATGATACATGTTATAGAATGTCATTCATATACCTGCTCCACATTGCAGTAGGTGCATGTCCATGTTCTGCAAGGATAAGTAAGCTGTAATAATTTATGAAAAAATTTAACCAATAGTGTATAAAGTTCGAGAACCCATAGACAGTTCTATCCACCTGATTGTTGTCCCATAAGGATACAATTCGGCCACCAACTTTGACCAAGACGTTGCATTACTTCCTGAACTATTTCTTCCCATCTGATTTCCTTCCATGGAAACAACAAAGCTCCCATTTTTGCTTGAGGCTGGTTGACTTTGCTTAAGCAATATAAGATTGAAAATAAATAGTTAGGTGAGACCAGAAACATAAGTTTACATCACATGTCATTAGATCCTTCTAGCTAGGAACAAATTTCATACAGGAAAAGTACAGTTGCCTACTTTGATGTTTCTGGCGCCTTTCTGTATACTACATTACTCTCGTTAACAGTCATCATGGCATCAACGACATAACTGTACGTAAAAAAGATAGCAAAGGAAAATAATCACATCAGATAGATATTAATAAAAATATCTAGGTTCCTCGTCACAATATTCATTTCATCATAAGGAAGTAAATGTACCCTGGAGAAGAAAAAGAGGTAGCAAAGTATTGTATTAAAGTAAGAACGAACAGCAGCAAGTATAAAACAGTGTACCTGACAGAAAAGCAAGCAAAAAATAAAGAGTCAGAAAAATTATAGCAAACACCTAAAATCGCTTGGAAGCATTAAATTCTACATTCATGCATAACAAACAACGCATAAAATGAAGCGTTAATTTTGTCAAAAATGACACGAAACACACAATGAGGGAGGGAATACCAACCACGGTTCCTTCTTAGTTTTTTCTATCAGATCTCCATCGAATAAGAAAAGAACACCAGCATAAGCCAGGTGAATCGTCACCAACGCCAATTTCAAGCACAACGAAGACCTTCGAGCTGAATTTAGAAACCAACATTTAGAAGGAAAACGAAAAAGAAAGCTATCGCAGAAAAATCTCAGAAAAAGAAAATGAAATTCAGAGTAGTCCTGCATCGAATTACCATTATCGAAGAAAACACACATAACAAAAGTTTAAAAAAAAAAAAGCGCAAAACAAAAATCCAACACTAAATCGACTGCAGTTTCTGCTTTCTCAGCATCGAAACAGAGTGTTAAAGAATAATACCAGGATCGGCTAGGCATGGAAAAATTCGGAAGCAGCGATCCATTGGTTGATCCCAAGGGGAATGCACAGGGCGGCATATACTGACGATCGTCATCAACCGAAGGAGGAAACGATTCGCATCGGAGATTGGCGAGTGTTTGTTTCCAGGGAAACGAAATTCTCACTCGAATCAAACTTTGCCGAGGAATTGACCCGACCCGAAAAAGCACGAGAGCGAAGGATTGGGAGTAATGATGAGTCTAATTTATACGAAGCTACTAGCTTAACTTGCTAACTCTAAAGAGACAATAGAAGAGGGTGCGCACTGCGCATCCTTCGCGTAATTTAGCGCTCTTTAGGGAACGAGGAAACCATGAGATGATATATCTGGTGAGACTGTTAGTTGTTACCAATATTGGAAACTATTATTAGTACTATCATTTTTTCCAGTTATTTGGATGAACTATTTGAAATTCAAACGACTTTTTATCCCAATAAACAATGTAAATTCTCATATTCATATTCATTTTAATATTTTACTGTGTTTTTTAATTCTTCTTTTAACTTCTAGTTAAATAAAATATCATCTATGATTGTTAATAAAATAAAATATCATTTATTTTAACATTTTATGCTCATGACCTCAGGCACGAAAAAAAAAATATGTATTTTTATTTTCAATAAATATTTTTAAATTTTTGAAATTTAAATATAATAATAATATTTTATATTTTATAAAAAATATATATTTAAAGTAGACTTTTTATATAATAATTTATTATTTGGATAACTTTTTATGTATTAATTTGAAGGTAATATTTTATTAATTTTACAATATTCAGTAACTATTTTCTCATATCATTTTTTAAAAAAATTATAAAAAATAGGAGTTAATATATCCGTCACAACTTTATAATTTTTTAAAATGATAAAAAATTACTATTAAGATTTAAAAATTTTAATTTAATTTGATGCAAAATAAAGATAACAAAACACTACAATAATGTTTTAAATACGACTTAAAGTAAAATAATATTTAAATTAAATTTAAACAAAATATTTATAAAATATTAGGGTTTAATTTAAAGATAATTATATTGTTATAATTTTAAAATAGCTCCATTTAAAATAAAAAAGATTGAAAGATAATTTAGAAAATGTTATATAAACTCTATAAAATATGTATGAGCTGTAATTGTGAAAAGAAAATAAATATTAAAACTTCAAATTTATAATAATGACTAGAACTAAAAAAATCAATTAATTTTATTATGTTATTATAAATATAAATTTTATTCTAAAAATATTTATAATATTAAATAATGTAATTAGTAATTTATATATTTAATAATATCAATAAAATAAAAATATAAAAAAATTTAGCAATTAATGTATTTTAGAATTTATTTTTTATAATAAAAATAAAAAAATATTTTATTTTGTTTTTTATAAAAAAATATTATATAATTAGTAACTTTCTTATACATGGTATAGATATTATTAAATTAAATTAAATAATTATTATTATTTATATATTAAATAAATAAGAAATACATAATAAATAATTTCATTCAGTAATTAATACTTACTTTATATAAATTACAAAAAAATAAATTTTAAAAATTATTCACGTAAAATATTTATTTATAAATTACAGATAAGTTCGATGTGCTAAATTTCAAAGATAAAAAAACGTTTAAAGAAAATAGAAAAATTAATGATAAAATAAGTGATGGTAAAAAAAATAAAAATAAAAATATTATTGTAAAATATTATCATAAAATTTTACTATTAAAATGGTATAATTCTGCTAAAAATTTACTCGGTTAAAAAATTTAAAAATTTTAGCAAAAAAAAATATTTAAAAAATTATGTAACTTTCTCACATCGTTCATACACAATTTAGTAAGTGTACCGTATATTAAAGGTTTAAGGAAGAGAACTAAATTTAAGAAAAAAAATAATGAAAGATAAATATATGATATAATAAAAAAAAGTTAATTTTAATATTTTTATTAAATTTTTATAAATATTTTTATTTAAGAATTAAGATTTATATTTTATAAATAAAGTGTGTTTAAATATTTAAATTATTTCAGTACTTGTTTAATAATTTAAAAAAATATATTATAAATTTAATAATAAAATTTATCAACATTAATTTGAAAAGAAATTATTTTAATAAAATGTATCAACAAATTTAAAAATTTTATAAAATATAAATAAATTTATAAATAAATAGGGTCTTCCAAATATGTACAACAAAAGCAAAAAATATAAAAATAGATTAAAAGTAATCATTAATTTTTGTATTAATTAATATAAAAATTATATTAGCGATATATTTTTATTAATAGTATAATACTGTACTAAAATTAAATTCATAAAAAATTAAAAATTATTTAAATTTATAACATTTAATATTGAAAATACATTAAATTGGGAATAAACTTTTTCATGTTAGAAAAATCCAATAAAATATAGAAAGAAACAGTGTGGTCTTGAGTTTATTAATATTCCATGTTTCCTGGAGACTGAAGTGAATGTTATTGGAAGACAGAACAGAACAAGAAAGAAGTGAAGCAGTGTGACTTGGTTCACCGGAGATTGATGGGTAAGACGAAGACAGTGGATTGGTCTCATCTTCCCGATGAACTGTGGCCTCTCATAGCAAAACATCTCATCGCCACAATCGATGTTCTTCGATTCCGCAGCGTCTGCAAATCATGGCGCTCTTCCCTCCCTCTCCCTCTCCCTCACTCTCACTGTCACACCCTTTTCTCTCCACAAATTCGTATCCCACACGCCAACTTTCATCTTCTACAAACCAAAATATACCGTCTTGAACCTCACCTTTCTCAACACTCTTCACTTTCCTCTTCTTCTTCAAACTCCAAAGGGTGGATCATAAAGGTTGGCGAATCCAAATCCATCCCACTTCGCCTCTTGGACCCTTTCACCAACGCCCGCGTCTCACTCACCCATCGGAGATTCCCATCTGATGCTTCCCCAAAGGTGTTGAATTTGGTCAACTTTCGGGTCGTTGAGTTGATCGAAGCATATACGCTCAATTTCGGAAGTGGGCTTTTGGACGAGGAAGATGAAGATCAAGCTGAACTTGGGTTGTACATGCCTGTTCCTGAAATTCGTAAGGTGGTATTGTTTGAGGGTCGCATGGTGTTTGCTCTGTATATGGACGGAAATTTGGGTGTTTCCATTATTGGAGATGAGAATTGGAGTGTGCTCGATGGTGGGAACCAGCGTTATGATGATGTGATGCTTCACAAGGGGCAGGTTTACGTTGTGGATAAATGGGGAACCATTTTGTGGATCGATTGTTCGTCTTTGAAGCTGGTTCAGTTTTCGCCCTTCTTGTGCGGTTTTGGTAAGAGGAAGCATTTGGTGGAGGCTGGTGGAAGTCTCTATGTGGTTGATATGTATATTGAAGGGGAACCCGACAACCCTATGGGGATGTACTATGAGGTCATTGATATTAAGGTTTATAAGCTTGATGAAGAATGGGGTAGGTGGCTAGATGTGAAAAACTTGGGTGATGTTCTGTTTGTGTTGGGTAAAGACTCTAATTTCTCCTTGTCAGCTCAAGATTACTATGGGTGTGAAGGGAATTGCATCTACTTTTCTTCTGCTGGTAGAGCTTGTGGTTTCAGCTTGGAGAGTTCCAAATTCAAGTCTCCTAACCTTTTCTGGCCTTGCCCTTCTTTGTTCCATCCCAAGTTCAATTTGTAAGAATAGTAATGCACAAAGCTCAAGTTAATGGCTTCTAAGGAAATAAAGGAGACTTATGGTGTGTTTAGATTTACGTTTAAATTCGTATGAATCCACGTTTACTTTAACATTACTAGTTATAACTTTTGCATTGGATTTAGGTCAGGAACGTTTGGGATTTTATTTTGGTTATATATTCATTCAGACTTGTCTTCTAGTTTGAGTTGTAAAGCAAGACAGGTAACAATTTTCAGGTAGTTTCCTTTAGTTCTTTGATCTACCTAAGAAAGAAGTGTGCCGCGGTTAGAAGTGTCTAATTGTTGTGCCTTCATAAACTCGAGGATTACAAGCTACTTTGTCGATGTATGGATCATCATTCTGTAATGGTCATTGGTCAGTTCTTATGCTTCCAAGTTAGCAGAGATAGGATAGGTGAAGTGTCTTAACAACTCTAAGTAGAAACTTTTAGTTCAAGTTAATACTATCTGCTGCTGGTTATGAATTTATGATCATTCTATTATAATACAAAGTTTGCAACAACTAAAAAAAATTATTTTGCTGCATTGGGGGAAAGTGTTTTTTTTTTTTTTTTTTCTTTTCCCTTTATAAAATTCCTTCTTTCGAGAGTCTGCAAACGGCTTGATAGACAAGAAAAGCGTGAGCTTGCAGATCATTAGCAACAGTCGCTGGAAAATGAGAATGGTTAGGTAGTTTTGCGCTTTTGCTTCCGAGCAATGGATGACTTAGTGACCTTCCTGTATTTGATGGTGCCATTATACTTAATGAAGGTTTATGAGAAAAGAAAGTTGATTGGTTGCAACAAATTTGATGGCCCTCTAGGAGGATCATCTAGTCAGATCTGAAGTTATTTAATTCTGTAGCCTACTGCAAAATGTGGTTTCAATATTTTATCATCCACTATGATTATATGATGTCCAAAATTGGGTTATAATTTCTTTTTCAAACGTATAATTGAAATAAGTAAAAGTTAAAACAAAAATGCAAGTGTGAAGGGTCATCGTGGAGTCATAATTTAAAGAATGTTTTTTTCTTCTTTTTAGTCAATTGCTATATTATCTATACTAAGGCATTATTAGAACATGGGGTTCACCATCTAACATCACTAATTTTGCAAGTTATAGTGTCAAAATAAGTCACATGACACTAATCAGGGGTAAGACAACACAACTGTTTTTACAAAGATTAATGTTATAGAACTAATCCAGCTTTTTTTCATATGGAGTAAAATTGGCATGTTAAATTCGTATAAACAACCATAAGACAAGTCACACGTCTATTGGAATTAGCAAACGATGGTTAATTAGGATTTAGGAATATGGTAACCATGTACTACCCTCTATCTATATGTTATCCTCAGGTTGATACAACAATAGAAATAACCCAATCTAATCACCCATCTATTGTTAGTCATGTTTAAATGTAGTGAAACGAAAACGAAATTTGGCATCGATACCACTTAGGATTTCAGTTGTAAGCTGTAACATTGTACGGAAATCTAACATGAGGTCAAAACTTCGGCTAGATTATTATCATCATTTTTTAAAATAATACAATCACGTGAAAAAAAAAATTAGGTGGTCACATATTTTTCTTATTTCGTAGCACGGGTCTTATTTATTTTTACATCAAATCAAATTTCTTCGCTCTTTTATTAGTTTTCAGTTGAATAATTTTTTTAATTTCCTTCATTATTTTAGTTTATACTCAAATTTTCTTAATCAACCCCACACATCGTATTATTTATTTCACCATTATAATAATATTTTATTAATTAAACTTTTTCAAAATTCAAAGTTTTCAGAATACAAATATTTCAGATCATAATTTTTGTTTTATATCTCCTACATATTTACAAATACAATGAAAGAAATACCCATAAGTTGTGTTCAGAAAATATGGCTATAGTTAATAGTATAATATAATTTCGTGGGGGAGGGATTTTGGTAAGATTAAGAAACTGGTATTGGACCAAAATGCATAAGAGAACGTGAAAGATGGAAACCCCTATACGCCATACCAAAAAAAAATCAGAAGTATGAGCCGGTGGAATTCTTTTTAATATCACTGAACTGAATCACCCAACCAAAACTGAAAACGGTCATGGATAAAGTATTAACACATTAACATAACCTAACCACCACCCCCCCCCCCCCCAACCCAACCCAAAAAAAAAAACTATTCTTTTTCCTTTTTTTTTTTGTTTCTGCACAATATCAACCTTCCCACAGTATGGGCCCGGATAACTACCAGGGAGGCCCAGTCCACGAGCGACGACAAAGGCAGCCACCTATAGTACAAAACAACAGGCGCAGAGAATTAATGAATCGAGGAAAGGAATCCTATGAGATGCACCTCATGGAATAAGTGGTGACGGGCGAATCAAGAGCAGGAGCTCCACCGTACACCCTTGCATGATCACTCTCCAACCCGTAATCCATCATCGGACGGTACTCCAAATCCTCGTCGTGATCAAACACAAACTCCGGAATCTCCACCTCGTTCCTCCTAACATTCTCCCACAAATAATCAACCCTGCTCACGTACCTCAGCTTCCCATACAACCTATCACAATCCACAAGTGTCAGCCATTAAAATAACATAAACTTCAATAATCACAATTAACTGTTATTAATTAGTTGTGATTTAGAAGTTTCCAGACTAACTTGCGCGACATGCAGTCACGACTTCCTCAACTATTCTGGAATGATGAAATCTAACTGCTGGATCTATGATTAATCATGATAACTATTTGTATGATAATTAAACGGAAAAATATTATATTATTAAAAAGAGGTAAAAATCATGAAATCCGGATCGTGATGTGATCCATACCCAGCGTTGAAGAGGAAGCGACCGAAGGTTGCGAGAAAAAGGCGTGACTGTAAGCCAGGGTGGATAAAATACACGGCTTCGAGATTCTCCTTCACGTTCGCCGGAATCGCGTCGTAGATCGATCGCAGTGAAGAGATTCCAGGAAAATTCTCGCTCCTCTGAACGCCGGTGTGCACGTACAACACCGCGAATTTCCTCTTCCCAAGCTTGGGGAAAACTCTCTCCTCCAGGTACTTCTTCAGAACCTCAACGGTAACGAACCGCGCTGAATCGTAAAATCGGTAAAACACAACATTAATTCGGTGACTTATAATCCATGCATGAGAAAACTAAGAAAGGCGATCTAGCTAAAGAACGAGAAAGGAATAGAGAATTTACAAGGGAAGAATTTGCCGATAATGCGAAGGATCTTGCGGCCATGCTTATCCCTGCCTTTGAATTTGAAAACCTCCAATTTTTCAAGCAACTCTTCCTGTTCAACTTCAGATATGGCACTGCTCATTTTAATTTTTTGAAATTGGTTTGAGGAAAGTAAAAGAGAAAGAAAAGGCGTTTGCGTTTGCGTAAGAGAGTGGAAGAAGAAAAAGAGAAAGATTAAGGGAGTGATAGTGATTGTAATTGGGACTGTGATGGCGAATGCGGATAGGGTTTAAAAGGGGTGGAAGATGGATGAAAGACGAACAGGGCGTAATAATTTGGGTGTGGACAGATTGAGGGAGAAAACAAAAGATAGAAGAAGAAAGAGGAGGGAAAGTAATGGAGAAAATTAAACCATTATGCGGTTGCGCGGTCATAAGGTATATTCCAAAGCATCTTCCTTTTTTTTTTTTTTGACCCTCGTGGCCCCCGCCTCTGCGTGATTCCGGGTTCATTCTCCACACGCCATCACAGCCGTACGTTTCATCTTCCTCATCTATGATTAAATAAACACGGGTGGCTAATAGGTTATGCTAATGAAACTGCGGTCGCTATCTCCTGCCTTGTCTTCTTGCCATTATTGCGTGTGATTGTCTGTTTATTTATTTCCCAATTCCGATCAAAGTATTAAACTATCTTATCTGTTTATTACTATTCTCTTATCTTCTTCTCTTGACTTTTCTTTTCAATTTCATACGTAACCTTGACCAAAAACAATGCTCAAGATTCATTTTTTTCTTTTTGAAATTGAATCATCATAGTCATGTTTTGGGCTTTGGGCCTGTCCGAACTCGCTCAAAGTTTGTGTAGAATTTACACTTTCTAAGGCCAGAAAGAAATAAGAAATGTGTAGTTTCTTGCTTTGGATTCATTGAAAGTAGGGATCGAAATTCAATAATGTTAGTGGGGCTGCAATTTCAATCTCCTATCTTCAAAGAGGAAGGCAAATTAAAATAATCGGAGCAGGGAGAACAGTGGATTAATGGTGTGTCCCATTTTGCAATAAATTTTGGGGAATGAATTAGTCTTCAATATTCAAAGTGTATTACTTTATTTTATATTTCAATCAATTTAAACATTATATTTTACTTCAACTTTAAAATGTTAATTAGCTGTAGATTCACATGAGTTGTTTTCATTTAATTAATTTTTTAAAGTTAATTAAATGATTTATCAAATTTATTTCTGAAATCACTTATACACACACAAATCGGCTTCGAGCCTTCCTGACGCAGCTTCTAAATTTTACAAACCTTGCTTTGGTCTATTCTTAATTTGGCAACGAGAATTCAGAGTAGTGATTTAAAAAAGTTACTTCATTGAGGAAGTTATATACATAGAGCAATTTGGAATTTTTGACTAATCGAGAGTATTTGTTTGGTTAGATTGAGAGTTTAGATCATTCTTTACCATCAACATAGATCCATTGCTGGACTGATCTTTCATTTGCTCGGCAATTCTAGGATTACGCGTCTCTTGTTCTGATTTTTTATGTTCCTTCCAAATCAAGAATATGTAATAGTTTAGATATTATTTTATTGTTTATATAGTTAACAATCTAATAATATAAAAAATAAATGACCGTGTTATAGTGGTTGTTTTTGAAGTTCAAACTACAAGTATTATTCACGGAATGTAATCCTGTTCAAATCAAGAATATGTATATTATGGTAAAACTAGTTCTCTCAACTTAAGGGAAACATGTATCATTTAAACCAGCTACCCGTTATAATAATTAAAAAAAATACATGTACCGATAAAAGGAAAAATTAAAAGACATTAACATTATAGCTTAATGGAAAGGAATTTATACATATGCCTAAGGACAAACAACTCATCTGTAAGCTGTACAATGTGTGTGCTACTACAATGCTATCTTTTTCACTTTCAGTCTAAGCCTTAACTAGGTTGAACAGATTCATTATAACCAGACACTTGAGCCAGCTCCGACAATTCTTGCTCACCACTCAGAACCTGCATGAGATGCCCATGCTTGATGCAATCAGAACGAAACAAATTCAGGTAGGACAGAGAGGATGCAAAGAGACAGTTGCAATCATAGCCTACTTCCTTTTTACCTGGCCATTAATAACCCACGTTGGGAAACCTTCAATTTTGGCATCTAGGCATGCCTTGATCATTTTAGTTCCTTTCCGATAACCTTCGGGAAAGCATTCCACATAATCCAACTGCTTGGCTGCCTCATTTCCAAACATCTGCATCAGCTGGTTGAAGTCAATAATTTCCACTTAAAAGACATGTTAGACAACAAACTGTAGCTAGAAAGGCTTGAGAACTCTCAGATCTGGACATTATCAAGCATAGGAAAACAGGATGAAGAATTAAAATTGACTACGCTAGTATGCTATGATAGATCCAAAGCAGAATAATATAATGATACCAGGAAGAGTTTTCAGGAAGAAATGAACCATGTAATTTCTGAATCCATTGACTGTTTAACTACTCCTAATACCAAGGTCAAGATCTTCACAAAATGTGAAATAGCCATATGATTGAGTTCATGATTGAAAATTACACAACTGAAATTGAATTCTAAAAATTAAAGTGATATTGCAAGAGTCGTTCACTTCTCAGCAGAATTGATGACAAGTTCAAGGAAGAGAAATGCGTAACATTGTTGTATGGTTAAGAAGTTCAAAAGAAATTAGAAGTGACAATATACCTCTTTTTGTTCCTGACAGTGCGAACACCAGAAAGCTCCATACATTTTAGCTCCTATGGAGTGCAAATACTTTGCTAGAGATAGTGTAAAAGGGCTTGATGGAGTTGTAATTTCAGTAGCATAATATGGCAGTTCAATTTCAGCCAGGCTGTTAAAGAAGACATCGGAAGCATTGAAAAGTTTAATTTTGTATGTTACAAGAATATGCATTCACCTTGGTTTCATCTCCAATAGGGATAGGAAAAAAAACTAAATAAATGTATTGCTGCCTGAGATTTATTTGAAAGAACAAAGCTAGCCTTCACATGAAAACTGAGAAATCTAAGTAATCTCCAAGTCAAGGCATTTCCTACTTCTTACAGTTCCACATATTATAATACTATACTAATTATATAGTTATGCATGAGGGTTTCTATGTTCATTTAGTATGCATTTGTGCGGAAATCCTAATCTGTTGATTATGAGTAATGAAGGCGATGTAAAATCCACACCAGCTTAACTACATTCTGCATTTGTCATATCTATGTCAACATGAATAAAACTGAAACAACTAAAAAAGAAAACACTGGATAAGGGACTATTAGCAATGATCATAAAGCCCGATAGTAGAAAAAAGATGTACTGAACAAGGAATTATTGGTAATAAACAGAAAAGGCATGACTCGAAGGAGATTCGTTTTTCACCTAATTTTGTTCAAGCTGATGAAATGGCATCGATTGATAATGGATAACAAAATTGTACATTTGTACTACATCTCCTAAAAAATGGAATAGATATTTTGAAATGATCGAAAGGTGCTAATCAAGTTGCCAAAAAAAAAAAAAAGTCAATAATATTCACCTGGATTTAGAATCGCTATAGGAGGTGCTAAGCATGAGAATCACTAAGCTAGCAGCTAATAGTTGGAGACCCCCTTGTTTATACGCTTCTTGAAATCCAATGTCCTATAACACAAATTCCAAAAAGTGCACCAATTAGGCAACACAAACCAACATGGAAAAGTAGTATAATGCGTAAGTTAAAGGGGCTTTGGTTTAACACAACGAACCTTCAGGGTAATAAAAAACAAGGTGAAGGACAAGAAAGCCGATAGTAGACAATAGGAACAAGATGAACCGGAGAATTTTGTCGTTAGAATGTACAAAAAATACGCACTAGCAGCTGCCATGGAAGTTGTGATTCCAAGCAATACTAATTGAGCATTGGATTTATCAATCCCAAACGCCAATTTCTTTGAAGCCAATTGAACACTTAGAGCAGCAACAAATCCATACGCAGCCATACCAATTAAAGGAAGAGGAACACCTGCAAAATGCAAAACGACCATGCCGTTCATAACACAAATTCCCGTACCGGTTAGTTAGTTAGTTAGTTGCAACGTAAAAGAAAGCGATACCGAAAACAAGGGCGTAATCGCTGTTGAGTATGTCGGAGCAGGTGCCGCCGCCGACGGGGCAAAAAACGTCGGAGTCGGTGAGTTTGAGGTAAGTGAGGTACGAGGTTTCGAGGAATCCGATTCCAGAGATCCCTGCGATCAGTTTGCGAGTCCAATCGGTAGGAGGCAAGGCGGTTTCAGGCTCCGAAGACGAAGAGGAGCATTTGAGAGGTAACAACCTGAGCTGGTTCGGAGAACGACGGTGGCGAATCGTTGCTCCGGCAGAGAAAAAACATGAAGACGATAGTGATAGTGTGGCGTAGGTGAAGGAAGCCATTCAGAACCTTTAACCGTCTCTGGCTACTTCTTTCACCATTCCGTTCTATCCCAATTCACACTAACTACTGAGACTAGTTAGTGTTGAATTGATTGGGCCGATTCGTTGGTTTATTAATGGGCCTCCTAATTGGAGCCCAATAATGGGGGAAGAATATGGTTTGGGGTTTGAAAATATCTAGGCCCAATGCAGAGGGTCCATTAGTTGGGAGGGAGGTGGAGGATGGTGTTGCCACGTGTAGAACAGTAGAAGAATCTCTCCACCCTAATCCGATGGGCTTTCTGAGGTGGAAACTTATCCATGAGTTTCCAGAGTCGTGAGTGGTGGGTCACCACTTTCTTTGTTTATTCAATGCTCATGTTTGTGCTCGGGCTTATCCGTGTGCCAATACGTGTCATCTTATAGGATTTTATCCAAAACAAATGCACCCTCTCATTTCTTTTATTTCACTAATTATAAACGTCACATATATAGTCAAATATTTTAGTTTAGAGATCTCCTACCATATGTTAAAGTTTTCTTTGAAAAATGAGGTTATTATCTGAATAGATAAAAATGATAATTATAAGATAAAATAATTAATATATTAGATAAAACAATGAATAAATATATACAAATAATATAACTCTTAAAGAATTATCATTCCAAGAGTTGTTAGATAATGCCACTGTATATATTAAAATAATGTCTGAACTCACAATGTTATTTGTATAAAATTTACCGGGAATTGGTTCTTATGGATAACCTACAAAATGTATCTCAACAAAGAACATGAACAGGAGTACTAGACATTATTGATGGCGTGGTTGCCCATCACTGCTCCTCAATCCTCACGATTGATTGTGATCTCTGTCTCCTTTTCGTGTACTTCTTACTCTTCTTTTGACGTACTTTAATATATTATAAGCTATCTTTTCTTGAGTTCAAAAGGTAAAGTAACAAATAAGGTAACATCTTTTATTATTAAGAAAAAATGGGATAAAATATTACAAACATAAATAATGTCTTTAAAGAGTTTTTGAATAGATGTGATATAGATATTAAGGTGTGGGCCAGGGGTTACCCTTACTTTGGCTACAAATGCATGCAAACCTTTCAAATCTTTGGCCTGGCAGTGGCAACCTTAAGCATTACATCAACAAAGCTAACCACTTATTTTGCATTGCGTAGTATATACCATTCCGATAATAATCTCATTCTCAGCATCACTAGTAAACAACGACGATGAAAACAATGATAGCAACAACATTTGATGTCTCCGCCGTTTGCTTCCGTGCCCCTCCTTCATGTTCTCCCCTATGCTCACCCAATTTATGTCACACAAGGTCAAATTTATGAAACCATTCTTCTATACCAATACAATTTTTTAATTATTTGTCTTTATTTCTTTTCTTTTTGTTAAACTTCAAGTGTTGCTACGTGCAGCTCATCACCTATAAAATCCCTGAACTCTCACAAGGGACGGAGAACCATTGCTGTTCCACTCAAGTTTCCAAATTTCCGGTAAGCGTGAAGAAAGTGTTAATCATGATTCATGGGCTTCGAAAAAGAAGAGTGTTTTGTTTTGTTCTGTTCTTGTTTTTCTCCTTCTGTGAGTGAAATTAGATGATGAGATGGAACATAACATAACCAAGTAGAATAGTTTTATTGTATGAATATTTTTTTGATTAAAAGAGACTAGTTATATATATACCTCGTAGTACCCTCGAGAATAAACGAAATGGATCACGTTTTAATTGCGGTTACTAACTTGCTAATCAATAGAATGAAAATATTACTTATATTTTTCTCTTTTCATGAATTTAAACATGGCTTGTGACATGGGTAGTAATTATAATTAGTAAATAGTAGCTAACGTGTTATGGGTTATTGAAGGATGGAAGCTTCTCTGAAGGGGAATATGGAGGCTATTAGAGTTCCAAGTCCAACTTCAGTGCCCGTGCGTGTAGCATACGAGCTTCTTCTAGCTGGTCATCGATATTTGGATGTGAGGTAAGAGATTAATTGCCATCACTAATATGCGTAACGCATGGAGTTTTTTTGGAATCATGTTTTAGAAGCAGCCAAAACCTCACCTATTTCCCCTGTTTTGTGTGAAGGACCCCGGAAGAGTTCAATGCTGGACATGCTCCTGGAGCTATTAACATTCCTTACATGTTCAGAGTTGGATCAGGTTTTATTTCAATTCTCAATTTGTACATTAAATTATAATATTCTCAGTGATGATGGTAGCTGCTTTGTTGATTCTTAATGCAGAGTTCCCTTCTAAAGCAAAAATAACTATCTTACCTGATCTGATCATTAGCTTAGACGTTCAATGAATCCAATTCAATCCATAGTTCCAATATTATGTCAATTGTGACATGCCCATCCTTGAAAATTAAAATGAAAGCATTTTGTTGAAAGCTCAAATCAAAATAAATCCTTGAAATGTGATGGTTACAAGAGAGGGTCACAGAGTTATATTATTTAGACAACTGAAAAATGACACCTTATACAGTTGTTTTTATCTCTTTACATACACGTATCCCAAAAATAAAGAAAAGTCGTTCAAAAATCATTTCTTTCATGTTAAAACTTACTGATAATCTAATACTGTACCCTTCCAGAGTCTCATGGTTGTAGGTAAATTATTATTATTATCATCTCATTATGGATTCTCCATTCATGTATATATTCAGGGATGACAAAGAACAGCAACTTTCTTAAGGAGGTGTCCTCACATTTTAGGAAAGATGATGAAATTATTGTTGTGAGTGCATATCTTAAACTCTTGTTTCCCAGTCATTAAATTCTTTATGTTGTTTCTGTGCACTCTTGCTTAATTTTAGATGTTGGCTTCTGGTTTCACAGGGGTGTCAGCTTGGTAAAAGGTCTATGATGGCTGCTAGTGACTTGTTAGCTGCTGTAAGTATTTTATTTCTTCAACTCCTTAAACTTAAAATTGATTGGAGTTGAAAGCAAGCATCCTAGTTTGTTTGAATGTCTGGATCAGTAAGTGTTTCCACAGCAAGGTGTCTATCATGGCTAGCTGTATACAACCTAGATTGATTGACTATTAAGTTTTTCTGTACCTCTTTTAATACTAAAAAAGCAATGGATCAAGGTTGTTCTTACGTTAGCTTGTATCTATAGCAATCAAATAAGGAAGTATTCATCTTCATATAATTTAAAGTGGATCAAGATCTTAAACCATTTAAATTCTAGGATGAATGTAACTTTTTACTGGTTCGCTTTAAAGAGAATATATTGTTGGTTTATTGTCATTCAAATTTCCTAAGGATGTTTTGATATCTTTAAATCTTACTTGAAAATTCAAAGATTGTATAGTGACTAATATTTGTTCATCTTGTAGGGGTTCACTGGACTCACAGACATAGCGGGTGGTTATGCTGCTTGGACCCAAAATGGACTTCCAACAGAACAATGAAATGTTAATGTTGGACCTGCAGCTGTATATAGAATAAGTTTTGGGAAGAGTCTCATGCATGGGGCTGCAGAAACATTTCACCAAGGCATTGGCAATCTGATACTGGGGAGGAAAAATCCTTAAATTGAAATGTACATGTAAATGCGGGAGAAAGAGATGGTTACATATATTTGTTGATATCAACAATTAAAAAAGGTTAATATTTATCAAACTTCGTAAAGAAACTCTCTTTCTTGGCTTCATGTATTGTTGATTACGCCTTCTCCTCCATACAGTTCAAACCGCCAGGCCAAAACTTGATACAACTCTAAGATGATGTCCTTTTTTTTTTTTCAAAAGGGAATTTTTTGTGATTTTTGGGAGAGTTCCACTTGCTGAACCATGGTCCGTATGTACTGGGTAAAACGCAAGATTTATCGAAGTTTCATGTATTCAAAAATATATATTTTGTACTTATAATACAGATATTTGAAAATAAAATAAAATTAAGATGACAGTTTATAATTATTTATAAAAATAAAATAAAAATATTTTTAAAAAAAAACTGAATACACTTTTGTGAATAAAAAAGACCCAATCGGATCATTCTTAAACATAAAAATAAAAAATAAAAAATATTAACAAGACCCAATGAAAAACAAAAATAACATCTAACATTGTCCAATCATTGTTTAAGCAATGAGGTTGACAGAAGTCTTTCCTACTATTCAAACTATCGTTAACATTAATTAATCACAATTCCTATCACAAATCCCTTGATTCGTTAAGCAAATTATTAGTTATAATATTTTAATAACTGGTCAATAAAAATTTGTTTAAACTAGTTCTATCCACTTACATTTTCTAGGTTAGATTATTTTCATATAAAGCGGCTGCTCAATAGTTGTAATAAGAAGATGACTGATGTCAACATGTTTTTTTAACATACCTCTAGCAATTAATCAGCTTCTAAAATATTCAAAATGATTTTTGAGAAACAATAAATTTATAAAATAGGTGTTTTAACTACTTAACAAATAGACTGATCACAAGTATTTTAAAGAATGGTGACAGTGACTAGTTGAGCTGATAAAAACATGAAAAGGTTAGTTGGTGTTTAACCCACAGCAACGGTTGTTCTTTGTGATTACAAGTGGGGGGCGATCTTTGGGCTTTATCGTGGTATCCTTATCACTCGTGACAAGGAAAATATAAATTGATCAAGCACAATATATATATATATATATAATGCTTTTGATAAGAATTTTGACAACCTCCCGTGTTTTAATAATTTTGCATTGAATTGCATAACAATTACATGCCAATCTTATTGTAGTTAAGCCTTGTACATCTCAATTCTCAATGTATAATGCTTGTAGTAGCCAACATCAAGGGTTTGGATACAGGGGAGTGCATCGAAAAAGCTCCCATTCAAAAAGCATAGAAAACAAATAAAAAATTTAATATTACAATGATACTTTGAATTTTCGACTTTCACTACTCTTGCATCCATCCTATATTCACAGGCGAATAAGTTGAGTAGACGCAACCGGGAGAGAGACGCAGATTGTAAGAGAGATTTAAGGCAATAGCACTATAAAACGTAATCTTTCAAGAGCAGGTACAACCAACTCGATAGATCTTTGGTCAGACTACTATACAGGACAAAAAGGCTATACTGTGTGTGATCCTTCCATGGATATCAATATCAATGATGGGCACGTCTAAGAGCTGAGAGAAAGCCATGGGATGACTTATCTTTGGGTCGGTCTGTTTTTTCATCATTGACCTGGTAGAAACATGAAACCGAAAATTGCTTGATGGGTCCAACGTTTATGTTATATTTTAAAAAATTCGGGACTAGTTTACCTCTTTCGCTATCTGCTGAAGAATTTCTATTATTTCAGAGAAATTTGGTCTCTGCGTTGGATCTTGTTGCCAGCACCGCTGGAGCAGTTCAGAAAGTCTTGGATGTGCATTTTTGGGAATAGTAGGCCGTAGACCCTAACAGCAATTTAAGCCACGTAGAATCATCATAGATAAACAAGAACATTGCTTACAAGGAAATTATTTGCGAAGAGAAGAGAATAAAAACCTTCTGCACCACGCCAACTGCTGCTTGTAATGGGGTCAAGTAAGAGTAAGGCAGCTGGTTACAAAAAATAGTACATGCAATGAGATAAGAGTAGTAGAAGCCTGATCAATGTCTGAATCAAAAAGGAATAAATGATAAAGCAGCAAAGTGCACTGCCTGGCATGAAGGTACTCACTTCTCCAGTTAGAAGCTCCCAAAGAGCTATTCCAAAACTGAAAACATCTGCCTTCTGGTCATAGGGTTTGTGTTCAATGACCTTCAAGTAAAAGTAATTTCAATGGAAAGGGATTACCATTACCAGATGAATTTAAAATAAAAATTAGAAAAGCAAAGGAAATATGAAGATAAGGTACCCAATTTAAAGTTCAATATTAACGGGATTGATGAATACAATAATAAGGATGGAACTGAGGAGGAAGTGTCAAAGCATGATTGGTAAGGAAATAACTAAGAAAGCATGAAAAAAGTGGCAATCATTTCATCTGTCTTTTTTAATCTCAATTTTTTATTAAAAAAAAGAGAGAGAAGCTGAATTAAAATTTTAACTTGCATACCTAAACAAGATAAATTCAATAACTATGGCAGAATATTAACATCTACCAAAACCAGTATATTACTTACTACATTAAAGTTTTGCTTCAGCTTGGACACATTTAAATTGAAACCAAGAATATCAGTTCAAGTGGGACTTCTCAGGATTGCTTGAACCCAGAATGGAATCCCACTTGGCTTTGCTTACGCTTACCTTCCCCTCACCACATAAGGTCTTAGACCTCTCTAACATACCCCTCCTCCCTCCCCCCACCCCCCAATAAAAAATAATCCATCATTCTCTATTTTCACCGTGCACCACCATATTTCCCACTTTTCGACCAGGCAGAACCTAAAGGTGTACCATAAACAAATACTGATCCTCAATTTGTATTGCACAATGATCAATGTCACACAAAAAAATCAATCAAGTAATATAAAGTCCAAGCAAGTCCATACCTCAGGAGCCATCCAACGATATGTTCCAGTTTCAGCTGTCATCACTCCAGATTGTGTTTGCACTCTGGCAACCCCAAAATCTGCAACCTTGACCACCTGGTGAAGAGCAATATGCTATTTGAGTACATGTGAAATGATAACTTTTAGAGATGCATAATTATTCAAGAAAAAAAAAATATTGTTTTCCTCTCATCCCTGTATGGCTTATATTTTACTGGATGCTGGATTGCTGAAAAATTAAAGCTATAGTGGTTCTTGTCATTCACTATGACATACAATTCTGGTTCATCAATGAATATAGGGCAAAATATAAGCAGACCAGTATGAAATATGAATGAGACAATAGGGAGAGATGGGCACAAGGCTAGGAGCCTTTTAGATACAAAGATTTAGCTTCTTGAGGTGGGTGTACTTAAGAGAATTATGGTTAAAGCTGTTGATTAGAAAATCAACGGTTGAGATTTTTACAATTTCACGGTTTGTTAAACAAGTGCATGTATTTTATGACAATTCTAACATTGATTTTTTAATGAACAACTAAAAACCGTACTTTATCATCTATATTGCACCCCCCTCATTTTAAAGGAACTAAATCCCAGATTCAACACATAATACCTCCAATAGGTAAACTAATCTCTTTTATTAAGAGCTTAATGGTATTTCAGTGTAATAATGCACATAAAAATACAACAATCAATTATAATTTAAAACACCAATACAATTTTGACAATAAATTATCACACATTAGAAATTCTACAATGAACTCTAAATTGAGAATAGAAGAGTCAACAGTGCAATAACCCCATAACATGGAGACGTAACAGTTTACTTAACATAAGCATACAAAACCAAAAATTATATACAGGGAGAAGCAAAACATAGATGCAACAGACAGAATCAATGTGTGCATTCATGGAATCCTCTTACTTCATTCTCATCCATCAGAAGATTGGCAGTCTTGAGGTCCCTGTGAATTATATTATTTTGGTGCAAATAGTTCATTCCCTTGGAAACATCAATTGCTACTTTTAGCAAAGATGGAAGCTTAAATACACCTCTTTGTTTGTGCAGAAAGTCATATAAGCTTCCCCTAGACATAAACTCTGATAAAGGCATAAACATGAGTACATAAGCATCAAAATTGAATTATCAGGTGAATGAATAGGTCAGCCAAATCATCTCCAAAATTATATTACTTGACAAAACATAAATACATAAGCAGAGCCATTATACAGATTATAGAACTAGTAAACTAGCAATATGAATATAAAAAGGAAGGTCTGTGTATAAGGCTTCCCTCATTATGGGATGTGGGGAGGGTCAATGTGTATTCAGCCTCCACCATAAGCAGAAGTGTTGTTCCCACAACTAAAATACATGGACCACCAAGTAACAATGCAGTAACAATATCATTGCACCCAGATTCATCCTCTAAACTAATACTAAGAAGCATATATATTTAAACATCATAAATTGTCTGGGTTCTCCTATTTACCAGTAACAATACAAAGATTTGGGGGCCTAGTACATGCACCGATGAACTGGACAACATTCTTGTGTCGAATCTTCCTGCAATCCAAGATAAAGCATGGTAAAGGAAGAATGAATATTTAGGCATACATGGATACCATATCACCAATCAGTCAATCACTAATACTAACAAACTAAGATAAAAGACTGTTATACAAACTACTAATATTGTCACGATTGAAGCATTACTAGTTAATTTTAGAAAATATTGAGAAGTATTTGAAGAAGCGAATATCTAAAATTGACATATTTTTAGTTAATATATTCCTTTCCTGAATGGTCCACCAAAGGAATCAGATGTTATATAGTTTCTCTACAAAAATAACCAAGCCTTTTTGCACTAAAGTGAGGTTGGCAACATGGATCACACGAAACCATTGAGTTCGGTCAAAAATCAAATTTTCAAAAATCTAGATAATCAAAAAATCTTTTTGAATAACTTCATTTAAAGTTCTTTTGAATTTCTATTGACCCTTTTTTACCGAAGTAAGAGTCGTGCAATTCACTCTTCTTACTTACGCCTCCAAAAGGTTTTCTCTATACGTGACCGAATCATCTTAGACGATTTTTGGTTATCTTTTCCACCATAAGTTCTACTCTAATATTCTCTCATATACTATCATTTTATATTATGTCCTTTTTTAAGTC